TGATGTGTTTCTACCGTATGTGTTAAAAATAAATCGCAGCTCTTTTTTCTGAATTCTTTCCAACTTATTAATATTTGACTTTGTGTGTGGATCCCATACCACATCAGCGTATTCCATCAAAGACCTGACGAATGTCTTATACGCGATTAGTTTTGTATTCTTGGAACAGTCTTTTAGTCGCCGTTTTAAAGTCCATAATGTGCCCATTGCCTTGTGAGTAATGAAGTCAATATGTGAATTCCAACGCAGATCAGACGTTATTACTATATAGTCCCAGGTATTTGTCCAGGTATTTGTATTGGGGTACTGTGTTGAGCGCGGTCCCCTGGAGGCAGTAGCTGGAGGGGAGTGGATTTTTTTTCCTGGTTATTTTCATATGAGCACATTTCTTACAATTAAGGGACATTTGCCAGGTGTCTCACCATGTAGAAACCATCTCGAGACTCTTGTTTAGAATATTTTGATCGTTAGAACATTTCACTTCTTTATAAATAATACAATCGTCAGCAAATAAACGAATTTGAACAGCCGCTGTTAAGCAGTCCTTGAGCCAAATGCACGGGGGCTCAGCATATTGTCCAGCACCCCCTGGAAAATGTCAGCGGGTGCTCAAGCCCCCCTTGCCCCCGTGTTCCCTGTCAGCTTGGCGTCATGTCACGTGGCATGGTCTGAATGTGGTGTCATGTGAGACCGCGTCACGTGACACCGTATCCGTGTTCGTCTAACTCAGCGCAGCTCAAAATACGCTGCCTGTTTCCTAACGTTTATCCTTGGGGCACCCCCAAAAATTCCGGGACACGCGCGCGCCGCGACTACTTGCGCCATCTTTCGGCCACCGTAGTGCCGGCGTCATTAACTCAATGAACCGCGGTGCGTATGCCTGAGTGCTTTCAAAGCGGCCTGGTATTTAAGTTATCGCTCTCCAAATATGACTTTAAACGTCAAAATCAAGCAAAAAGGGTGCACACGAATACATTTTGGCAAAAACTCCGTTGATTGTGCCATTAATGGTGACACTGAGTTCGCAGCCTACAATTGTCAATAATGAATCTCCAGTTGGTCTACTACACGTATGCCCGACTCCATTCTCTTTGTCGAATGTGTGTGTGTGTACGCGTGTGTTTGTGTGTGTGTGTGTGCGTGCGCGTGTGTGTGTTCCATGAACTGAACGGCGGACGGCCCGTCCTGCACGCTCGCCATGAAAAGAGGACTAGAGGGAATCTAGCCGTTTTGCCTGTTTGTTTGAAAGGAGTCGAACAAAATACTGATATAAAACAAACATCAAGATAAGCCTTTTAATATTTTAATTTCTGGAAGTACCGATCCGTAACGGGAGCGGCTATTCACAAGCGTGTGCGCGCATTCACCGCCCGAAAGATCATCATGATCTATAAGGTCGGATTTCCCCTTCCTCCGACATATCTCAAAAAAAAAAAAAAAAAGAAAAGAAACGCATGCCCACAGTCGGACTGAAAACACACCCTCGATTCATCTCGGAATCTATTATCGCTGGTTAACAATACGGTGAAAGCTCTACAGCGCGAGCTCTCATAGCAGAGCGCAAGTATTCGTCTGCTTCTTTTGCAGGGGTTGTGGTGACGTCGTCAGAACGACCAGCTCCGATTGGCTATCCGATATCTACCCGCTATCCTTCCATCAGAGCCAATCGGAGCTCGGCGTGCTGACGTCACCACAACCCCTGCAAAAGAAGCAGACGAACTTGCGCTTCGCATACCTTCGATAATACCTCAGCGTCTCGGTAGCTAACTCGTTAAGACAATATATATTATATATATATATATTATATATATATTATATATATATATATTATATATATATTATCGTTTTCGGTTTCGCACTCCTGAAACGGAAGAAACAAACCTAACTGGCAGCCGAACCCACCGCGCTCGTCTGCTCCCTGACGGGACAGGAGTGCCAGCCTAACGTCTTGCCGTCCGAGTTCGTCCCGCGGGTCACATCACGTGATCAAACATAGCGCAATGCCAGCGACCCACTTTACCCCTAATTGAAAAAAGGGGGACGTCTAACCAAGCCCTAAATGGAACCCTTGGGACCCTACGTTTCGATGCCTACTCAGCTCTTCTTCAGGGGTGTGACTGTGCATGGCGATGGCGGAATAAAGGAGCAGTGTTTTCGTTATCGCCTTCTTTAACGGAGGTGCATTTCTTTTTTAATTGGTCATGTCTCGAACCCGTGGACGTACGCGGATGGTAAAGCGCCGAGAAATCTATTTATGTTTACTGGCGTAGTTTATAAACACTTTCAGGCAGCTGTTGTGCATGGGCGCCGCCATAACCGACCTCAGTTTTTGTTTCCTCTTATTCCGTTCGCTTCACTTCGTCATTGCCACAGCAGAGCAGGTTATGGCCACTTTAGGTGCTACTGTGTCCTTCTCCCCAGCATAGGCCTTTGTAAAGGCTCGTCAAAGCCCGCTTCAGTGGCTCGGCATCTCTGTAAGACAAGAGAAGGTCGGCAATGGCGGCTGAATCTGGCGAGTGTTGGGATACTTCAACGAAATTTGAAACATACCCGTCGTATTCAGATAGCTGAATATGAGCCACAATATCCGTAAATGGCAATCGCACGTTTGTATTTTGAGCCTGATGGCTGTATTTTTCGTTATAAACGGCTCATCCTAGCAAGTGCTCGGAGTGCAGCCAGCGGAGGGGGCGTCACATCCGGCGCAATCGTGACGTAGTTTCTCTCAGAATGAGCAAAGCTGCGGCGAGGTTGACGTCGTCAGGATGCCCTATAGCCGTTCCAGTCACCGAAGCGGTCGAAGCACGCTAGCGATCGGGCCACCGCAACTAACTGCAAGGCTGCTTTTGTGTGAATTTTGAGTGACGGGTTAATCTTCTATAATCTTGTAGAGGGAGAAGGGACTCTATTTTGTGTGTCCGGGACACCCAAAATAGAGTCCCTTCGAGTGGGGAGTTCCTCCCTCCCCTTTCTCTTGTGCTGGCCGTTGAGCTGTCGGGTTGACGTCAGGTTCAAAGCATGTATAGTTCTTGGCGAGAGTTATCGTCACTACCTGTCAAGGTTCCTAGACCGGCACTACAAACGAGGCTTCAGCGACATCCACCAGGTGCCCTTTGCTAATCGTTTTAAAATTCCTTTTCGTGTCTTTTTCAACAAGATATTGGTGTGTCCGATGTGATACTGCTCCTTTGAACACGTATAGACCAAAAAATAAGCACCGAAATTTCGTTGTAGTATCATTTTAAGATACTGAACCGAAATTTCGAGCTCACAAAACTAGGCTGGACAGATAGGCCGGACGCTACAAAACCCAAAAGCTTCACTCTACAGCGATATCTCTAACGGATCGCCGTAAATTTTTGAAAAGAAGTGTGCAATTGAACACGGCCCACGAGGCCGACGAGAGAAGTCACGTCACAATTCTCATTCCCTCTCCTCCTCGCTACGTCCCGTCGACCGAGCTTGGTCGAGCTGGTGAACCGAAGCGAGGAGGATAGCTCGTTGGAAGCGAGGCAGCTTCTATCCTCCTCGCAGGATGACGAGGAGGGGTATACCCTCCCCTCAGTACCCTTCCCTCCTGCTCTTCAAGAGCTGCGCTCTAATTCGGCGTTACAGAAAGTTGTAAACGGCTTTCTTTTTTTTTTTTACTTTCGTTTGTTTTTGGATTATTGCAGGTTGTTCCAGCGGCACCCAGAGTACCAGAAGCTGTTCTCGGGGTTCGCTGACGTACCGCCGGAGGCGTTGTCCACCAACCCAAGGCTCGGGGCCCACGCCATGTCGGTGGCGTACGCCATCACGTCCCTGGTCGACTCTCTGGACGACGCCGAGTGCCTCGTCGAGCTCGTGCGAAAGGTGGCCGTCAGCCACACCCGCAGGCCCGTGTCTGTCACGCATTTCGAGGTAAAGCTTTTTTTTTTTTCATTTCTTTTTTAGTTGGGCAACATTGTTTAAAAAGTCGAACCTGGTAGAATTTTGCCAAATGTTTGAAGGTTCGCCACAAACGTCAAAGCTATGCGACGTCCGAACCTCAGATTCGACAAAAGTTCGTAGCTGGATATAGACGTGCCAAAAGTGTCATGTGCTACATAGCGAAAATCGATTACACCGTATTCTGATATGTTCCAGGGTTAGCACTTTAGGGGTGTTCCAGCAGCGCCCTTCAGAGGACAGGTTGTATTTTGCAATTTTTTCGTGCGACCCTCTTTGCAGTTTGTTGGAGAACGGACATATATGTACACAGCAACAAGTCAGCGTCTGCCCACATCAGATGTGGACGCTGCGTGCGCGCAGAAAGCAGATCCGCGTGAAGCGTCCGCGCAAGCGCCGCGCCCACAGCAGCGCCACCGCAACGGTGTGGCGTCAGAGTCGTGCATGACACAGGAATCACGACCTTGTTGGCTGCTGTTCCGTATTATATTGGCTGTTTTTTTTTAGGCTTTAGAGATTTCTTGAAAAACAGTTTCCAATTGAAGCCGTAAGTTTGTTTCCACTACTTAAGATATTAATTTGTCAGTTAATTATCCGACTTGTCCTTGTGATTAGCACCAGGCACGTAGCCAGGATTTTGTTTCGTGGGGGGCCCGCCCATGACAAAATTCTGTATGAGGGGGAAAGGGGAGGGAGGCCCCAGCAAAATGCAAGATTTCGGGGGGGGGGGGGGGGGGGCGGGATCCCTCCCCCCCCCCCGGTTACGTGCATGATTAGTTCCCTATATATATATATAGTATATATAGAGTATCCCCGTGACCGAATAATCCAGCACACAGACCGCGTTAATGTACCTTTCAAGGCTTTTCTAAAAAAAAAAAAAATGTAAATTTAGAAAAACGCACACACCCTGCATACAGTATACTAGACGTAGAAAGGCAACTATCTTGTAAGCCATCATTTAATACGGATAGAAATCTGTTGTTTTCATTCCGCCAACATTTCACGTCAATGGTAAGTTATCGGTATTGATGTCGCTGAAACAAGTTCAGCTTAGGTTACGTTGTCGCTGATTGCGCTCGCTAAAAGAGTGTATGGTGAGGGGTGTAAGTTGCAGGAGCACCCTTTTTACACCCTTAGGAGTGCAAAAGTTTTTGCTGTGCAAGATTGCGGGCAGAGTTGGCGGAGAGATGTTTGCAGCCACCTTCGAAGATTTTCTGCTTCCGTCGAGCGGCTAATGTATGGCGGCATTCGTCATACATTAGCAAACAACAAATGCCGTCGAGCAGCAATTTTTGCAAGGGTGCTCACGAACTCTTCGGACTAGACGATAAAAAGCTTTTGGGAAACAAGCTGATGAGGCTGAGAACGAATCATACCGGGTCACCGAATTTGCCCCGTTCCTGTCTTATCGACCATTCATTGCGACTTACTCTTGACTTTGTGAACGTCACCAGAAAGTTAGCGGACGTTTTCTGATTTCGTGTCGAGACACTTGTCGACATCAGCAGGTCCTGTTTAGTTTAAAACCTATAGACTAGCTAAAAACGTCGTCCTGCTTTCCCCAACATTTTCTCCTCGCCCTCTTTCCACCCCTTCCACCTCTTATAAATAGTTTAACCCTCCACGGGAAGGTGGTACACAAGGAGTTCAAAACTGGAACGCGAGCTCGTGTTTGACGTGATTGCTGTGTGCGCGCGTACGTTTGACGCTGTGCCCAGCCGTGTCGCTTACACTGTTCGACACCATTTTTGCTCCAGAACCTCACTGTGGTGATCGTGGACACGCTCAAGGAGAGGCTAGGCGGCAAAATGTCCCCCGCCGCCGTGGCTGCCTGGGAAAAGACTCTGCGGCTCGTCGTGACCGTGACAGCCGACGTCTACAAGGAGCAGCGGAAGTAGGAAGACATCAGCGCCGCCGCCGCCATCTTGGAACGCCCTCTTCACTCCGCGCAGCTGAACACGCAGCAGCAAGCAGCAGACGACCAAAACCGGCCGCCACGTCCAGAATGGCACACTCTATGGAGGAATGTGCGCTCCAGCAAACGGACTGTTCTTGATTGTTCCTTACTCTATTTTTTTTTTCTTCCTCGTGTCCGGAGCACGTTTACTGGCGGTATTGCGAAGCCTTCTGTCAAAGTCGAAGTCTTGGGGTAGGAGCAGATTAATGCGTAGGCGGGAAACCACTTTTTTTTCCAACACAATCGAAAACGAATAGTCCGCATTCGAACCAAACTGTGCTAATTTTTTTCTTGTCATTTGTTATTACTGGAAATTCAGGAAACGAAAATTGTTATTTCTGTTACATTCTCTTCAACTGTAAAAAAAAGAAAAAAATTCCTCCTTCTGCCCCAGTCTCCAGTGAAAATAATCATGGTAAACTTCCACCAGCTCGCCTGTTCGCTGACCGAATTTTGTTAAAAATTGGTAACAGTCCTGACGTTCGGACTTCTGAATTTTGTTAACAGTAATAGTAACTCCTTTCACTAGGTGCATACTCGTAAAGTCCCTGTAACTGGAAAAGTAACATTATTCACCCTCTCTCCCTGGCTGAACAACGCCATTTTTGAGCGAATGCACCGGCCAATGACGACGTCGCGTGCACTCACATGGTGCCGCGATTGGCCAGGGTACTTCCCTTTCCCAGACTGCACGACGCCATTTTTTAACGAAGGCGCCGGCCAATGACGACATTCTGTGCGCTCACACGATGCCATGATTGGCCAGCCCGCTTCCCTTTCTCTGGCTGCACGACGCCATTTTTGAGCGAAGGCGCCGGAGGAGGAAAATTTTTAACAATAGATTGCGTTACCTTGATGTACTGCAAAGGGGCTTTACGTACTCCAAGTGACAGCACAAACATGGCACAATGCCATTGGTCCACTTTACTGCAACATGAACTCGGGGGTCGACAGTTAATTTGCGATGTGGTGTCATATTCCATGGCCCTTTAAAACAAGTATGTTCTTCCCTATCTGGACTTCGACACTGGCCCGCGCATCGTTGCAAGTCTACACCTCACCACTGTCTTAAAACGGTTTTTTTTCCAGAATGGGCATGCTTCTTCTGTGTTCACTGAGAAACTGGGAACAATAATTAATGCTTGTGTTCTTGGGCGTGTGTGTGCGTGTGTGTTTCGAAGCTTGTGCAAGATAACATATCGTTGTTGGTGACTTGAAACCCTCTCCTTTCGGCACTTGTGTTTCCGTGTGCGTGACGTGACCAACTTTCACAGGAGATTTGAAGAGCCTTTTCATCGAAGCCTCATTGTCCGATTATAAAAAGGAATGCCGTTCATCTCATTAACATAAAATATCTGTCGACCGTTCAATGCATGTTGTATGCTTTATACGCTGCCTTCGTACACCAGTGTTTTTTTTTTTTTTTCCAACAAGTGATTTGATTTTGCCACTTAATTGGCTGACGATTATAAACCCAGTGTGGACACTCCTGGGGCACTGTCCCACAAAAGTTTGCGAGGCAGGTTTTGCACCAATGACACAAATTAGGAAGTAGTGCAGTCCCATAAGAACGTAACATTTGTGTATGCTGTTGGAGCTGCAATTGGAGACGAGTTAGAACTGTCATCTCCAGTGCAATACCATCGAAATAAAGGACCAAAGCGTACCGTCCCAAAGCCGAAATTTTAGAGTATGGAACACTGCCTCGAAAATGTTTGCACTGAGCAAAGGGAAATTTGAGAATGAACTCGTTCTGAAAAACAAGTTTGTGCACTACTTGCATTTCTCGCTCTTCTTTCCTTTCAGTTCTATTGGTTATCGGCAGCTATAAGCACCGATTGTTAATCTGATGTCGCCACGGTACGTTGTTTCTGTGCGTTTCGAGATTTAAGTACAAAGTTTTGTTTTGCCACGTCCGTTTTGTGCTAGAAACAGACACTTACATTGTTTTCATTGTTGTCAAAATATATATTCTATATATATATACGACCAACTTGAGAAGTTTTTGCGTACAAACTATATTTGAAATGAAACTGCTTTTCCAAACTACACTTGACTCGTCATTCTTGCCCTCATAACAGAGTCGTGCACGGATCTCGAGGGGCACCACGTCCTTGTTGTTCAACAGTTTTATTGTGGCGAAGGAGCATATCGACGGGAGATGATCATTTGTACGTCCTAAGCCAAGACATGGTAACAACAATAAAAAAAAAAAGAAAATGCATAGGAGCTTCCATTTACAGGCACTTCAAAAGCTGCAGAGTATAGGGTAAAGGCAAGTATGGTGAAGCGATTTTGAAGGAACACTAAAACAAGACTTCATCACAGAAATCTTTTCTTAGAGTGGTCGAAGGAAAGTGCGGGCTCATAAGTAGGGTTCCGTGTTTTCGGTCTGTCCGGATTTTTTTTTATAAATGGGGTGTATTTTGTATGTCCAGATTATTTATAAAAAGAAAAGGATCACTTGCGTCGTGGTTTTTTTTAGCATTGGGGCCAAGATGGTGACCGTGGTGGCCACTAAAAAAAAAAGGCGAAATGGGTTAATTAGCAAGTTTTTAGTTAATTAGCTAACTCAGTGGTTCTCAAATAGGGGTCTGCGAAGGCATTTTAGAGGCCTGCGAAGTTCTGCCTCATCAGTCTAGCTCACGAATAAATATTGTCATTTTTCCGGTCGAGAAGAAATGCGTCAGTTTTTGGGCGATTTTTCTCGTATGTCAATAATGGCGAATTCCGGTGGTCAGTCGTCTGCAACTTATTTTGCCGGAAAACGTTCGCGTAGTGAGTTTCCGGCCGGCGCGCACCATTCGGGTGGTGGTTCTCTATCAAGCACCGTAAACTTTCTGGCTGTTTTTTTCCGCCCGAACAGGTGCCAGACTGTGCCCGGTGTCGTCACTACCGAAATGGGAGAGGAGGTCAGTGAGAAAAATTGAATGAAAGAACGAAACTGATGTGAAGTCACTTAGCAGCCACTACTCGAGTCAATCCAAGTCGCTGTGGGGTGACGACAGCCACTTGCTCGCGGTGTTGCGCGGGTGAGAGGCGAAGTAAAGTGCCACTGTCTGGCGTTTCGTGTTCGGGTGCCGAGGGTCACATGGTTTGCCGCCGGCGCGTTTCTGGTTGCCGGTTCTGCCGGCTCGGTTCCGCCGGCGATTGACCACCCGAATTCGCCATACGAGAGGTCTACTTCACATTAGCCCTTAGTTATATTCATTTATTAAATCATTATTATATTTAACCTATACATTTCCTCTCCTCTCCTCACGAACAGGGTCTTCCATCATCTCCGCCGATCCACAAGGGGTCGGCAAAACATAAATGATTGAGAACCACTGAGCTAACTAATTAAACCACTTTGTCACCTCAGGGCTAGAAGAGCCCTTACACAAGTTTCATTTCTGTAAAAACTCTGGACAAACTTAAAAAACGTTTCATACATCTACAAACCCCAGAAAGTAATCTCCAGGACATTTTTTAATCAAAATAAAAAACCAAGAGAAAAAAAACACGAAAAACAAAAACAAATTGGAACTTTCCTTTATAAAAAAAAAAGTCCCCTAGCTTCACAGAAAAAAATCTTTAACTACAGCCTTATCTTTCGTTGATCAAGAATACGGCCCCACTCGACCTTGCAGGCCGAACTGTCAGCAAGACTGATTGTCTTTCTGACAATCGTCCAGTTTCCGTCAACACAAGCACCGATAAGCGACACCTCTTGTCCAAAACCAAAAATTAAAAAAAAACAAAAAAACAACAACGTCGTTTGCAGAGGACAAAATGATTTCCCAAAACACGGAACCCCACCCATACGGGTAGAACCTGAGGGAGAAGGGAGAGCATTCAAACACGTTCGAATGGCGGCATTTACTTTCGAACGGCGAGTGTAGACTAAAACGGCTAGCTTTGTGCCTACACACTAATCAATCCAACACCCGAGCTTGGCGATCCGGCATCCCCGTGTGCACTCGCACAGCACCCGCACCCCCCCCATCTCCCTCAGTTTCAATTGCTACAAAATATAAACGAATTCACCCAAACTTACTGGATAAAGTCGTATCACAGCTCCAATCAACATAAAATTACCAAACAAGTTCTCATTATTTTTTTTTTTTTTTTTGTGAGCCTTTGGCGTTTGTGGCATGTACCCGAGAAAAGGCGCTACTATAAAGAACTTGCGTGAACGACATTTTTTAACCCGTGTCGAAACGTGAAAGATTTATTGAATATTTGGGTGGCTTATGGCCTGCACTTTCCTGTTTAGAGAGTTCCTAGACAAGATGTGGAAACCGATTCGCAGCTCGCTGTCTGGGAACGAGTTAGGGTACTCGGTTGCTTCCAATGAGAACAGCTTTCGCACGCTCCTCTTTAAAATCCTGTTGCAAAAAAAAAAGAAGGAAAGCGCTAATTTAATTAGAGACATGGCTACAATTTGTGCGATTTCGTTTCTGATGCCGGCGCTTTTGATTCTGGGAGCTGCTGAAACAAACTCTGCAACTTGAGTTAAAAAAAAAAAAGAAGCAAAACGCATCTAAGTTTGTTGCTAGACTTGAGCCCAAACTGGACGATGTTGAGCCGTGCAAGTTTGGATGCCATGAGTTGAGACTTCGTTGTGTCGCACCGCTCCAACGGGAAAAGCTACGAAGCGCCGTCACGGTCCATCACTCAACTCCGTCGACGCGCTGACGCACGTCGTCGGCCGAGTTTTGAGCACACCCGAGCCTCGCGTTATTGCGTTACGCGAGTCCGACGAGCCGGAAGCCTGCCGACGTCCCACGTTAGAACTTTACGACCGTCTCAAACTGGAGGGTCACACACCACAAACAAGTCGACGACAACCTCTTCGCGTCGGTCCCGCATCAATGTTGGCGTTCACGCACTTCCGCACGAGTCACTGTGACTTCCGTGAAACTCGGTTTCGAGTCCATGTTGAAGCCGGGCAGCTGTCCGAAGTGCGCAGCCATCCGGCTTCTCGGATAGGCTTGCGTAGCGGCAAAACCTGGTGGCGGCCAGGTCGAGCCAAGACGGATTGCAGGTAGCAGACGACCCTGGACTGCCGGAGGTCGGGGCTTAGTCCGACGGAGCGTTCCCCTTGGCGGCGGCGCTCCCGGCGTCCAAGATCTCTGAGATGAACTCGGAAATCTCTGTGGAGTTTCCGGACTGCCGCTCCAAGAAGGGCATCTTGAGGAGTTCTGGGTAGTTGGGCCGTTTCGTGGACTGCTTCTGCAAGCTGTGTGTGGAAAAGATCTTGGTCAACGATACAACTGTTTTGACGTTGCACCTCGACTATCTGCTTTCATTCAAATTCAAAAGTGGTGAGTCACGGCGGATCTCCCACAACTGCTATGTGCGCAGGAAATGTCACTGCCCCCGATTCGCTCGGTGCGATTCGGTCAAATTTGTCTGCAACGAAGTTGCCTGTCCTGCATTGTATCACTACACCCTTACAAACAGATGGACATTTGCACAAGGCAAGTAAGCCTCATGCCAAATCTGATAATAGCATCAATCTGTTTCAAATTCAAGCTGCTATTATAAAAGGGCTGCAAAGGGTACTATTACATCAAGTGTACCACTTAGTGTATTGAAAACAGAAGCAAATACATAAAGAATAACAGACCTTCCTTCTGTACAAAAAATATTAATTTAACAATTGAAAAACTAATGGACTTTTCCTACCATTCCTTCAAAAAGTTGTGGGCATGCTAAACATGACAAAAATACTAGGCAATTTACAGTCATGCCAAAGAACAAGTTTGTAGAAATAATTGCTCATGTTAGACAAACTAGGTAAAATGAATCAACTGGAGTACAAAAGAAAAGGCACGGTTTTGCTCAAACAGAGGTCAGCTATGGAAGGAATTTTGGCCAAGCTTTACACTGGTCAGATTATCGAACGACTGCAAAGGCACCTGCACCTCCCAGGTAAGGCTTTGCTGCGTGACATGAGTGCACCACACTGAAGCCAGCCTCACTGACTTTGGGTGATTTTTTAACTACATTGCGTTTTCCTATTAAGTGGGAACAAAGCGAAGTTGCAAGCATGAATATGCTGTCTTGAATAATTTCAAGTCGCACACACAAGCATGCAGGCCCGCCCAAAGTACTAAGCTCATTCGTGTAGCTTTTCATTTGTTTGTATGCTGAGAGAAGTATAGAAAAATATTTATGGCACTGAAGCCATACTTGTGTCCCAATTGTGTCCAAACAATTTGACTACTGTCCGACACTGATAAGTGCACCACTAGGGAGGTGTCAAGCTGTTTGTGGGTAACACAAAATAAATAAATAAAAAGAAGCAAGAAGGAGAGGAGGGTTGAATTTTGAAGCCTTGCAAACAAAAGGGTTTACCAAGGTTACAAGACGTTTCAAAGTTTTGGGTATGCAATTGACTTCGAGCAGAGTATGCGAAAAACACTTTCATCCCCGAAAATGAAGCCCACCCAGAAAAACGGAGATGTGCGTAATGACGTCTTTTCTTAAACCTGCTTTTGTTACACACAACTCTTCCTTTACCTTTTTTTTTTTTTTTCCTTTTTTCCCTTTTGTAATGCAAAAGTAACACCGAGTTTCAAAACCTGCTAGAAAAAAAGACCGAGGTATACCTAAGCATTCCTTATGAGTTGTGAATGCGAAAGCATGCAAGCCGCTCGTCCGCTCCCTTTTTCGTCTGCTGCATATTTTTCGTCGCCGGTCAGCGCGCGTCCTCCCCTGGTGACCTTGGACGCTCCGCGCTGATGGACACGCGGCGCGGAGCGTCGAAGGTGAGCGGTCATGGAAACTGACGAGCGCAGCGACCAATGGGAGCCCCGTCGACTCACGCCAGCTAATGGAACCGAAGGAAACTACCTGCCATTTTCGCGCTTCAGACTGATGACGACAGCTCGCTCCACGAGACGGTTAAGCATTAAAAAAAATGAGTTACTACAGTGCAGTGATGGGATTGGCCTAAGCCATTTTGGAGCACCTTTTGGAGCAGCCAAACAGTGTTTTGGAGCAGCAAATGTGGCTTTTGGAGCAGCCAAAACAGCGTTTTGGAGGAGCAAAAGTGGTGTTTGGAGCAGATATTCTTATAAAAATAAAAATATTTGTTTTAAGTGCTGGACCAACTAAGAGAACTTTGTGTTGTGTTGTGACGCGTTGTGACGGGACTCGCTGCTTGTGTTTTTACTGCTGAGAATCCAACAAGAGTACAGTGCTGTAGGCACGTTGCCGAGCAATTCCGAAAAACCGCTTGCCACCGTTTGACTGGTTCCCGACGCGCCAGATTTTCGTCAAAAGTAAGCAAATGTAAAATGATGAATTGCAAGCGTCCTGGCTGGTGCCTCTATTGTGCAATCATGCTTGCATGCAAGTAAGGGCAACTTGGCAGGCATGCAGTTGCACGTCCTTCGTCGCGCGAGCGGCGACAATGGCTGTTCGATCGAAACTGAAACCATGCCACTCTGCTTCGTCGCCAACTGGTTTCCAAAATTGTATGCAAAACATACCTGTCCAGCATACGGCATAAAAGTCCAGCGGCGCGTGCTTGCCAGGCCGGCATGCGAGGTACAAGCTGAACACTCAGAAAAAAAACTTGAGCGCATATATGCAAGCCATCGCGAGCGCTTTGTGCAACGACTGAAGTCGGGACAAACAAGCTCGCTGAGCTGGTTCAGCGTGCAGATATTGTCTACTTTGCTTTAGCTCAATTCCCTTCACCAACTTCCTTTCGCAGCAGATTTTTCCCGTACTGGGGTCCCTCTAGGAAAAAAACCCACTGAGAAAAACCTAAGTAAGCAATACTTTGAAACAGCAGTCTTTGAGTTAAAGAGGGATTTTTGTAGTAGCGTATAATTTCGAGAGGCACCCACTTGATCGAATGACGGTTTAGTGAACACCGACGTTTCACCGAATGACACTTTAGCAAATAGTCGGCCGCCGCGAAGCGGCGTTTACGGGTGGGCCAAATGGGTCAACATTTTTGTAATGAGCCGCCACATACTGCTGCCGCGAAGCGGCGTAAGCGCAGCGAGGGGGAGAGGGGGGGTTAACACATGCCCCTGTTATTTGCTAAAACGTCGATTCGCTCAAATGTCGCTGTTTGCTAAAATGTCATTCGCCCATGTGTTGATGAAGGGAACTTTGTGCCGGGCGGTCGCTTGCGCCACCTAACTCACGCATACTCAATTACGCTACTCAGTTTAGTTTCGGTTTTGAAAGGTGACTGAAATTGGCCCTTTGGCGCAGGCTTAGTGCAGATTACCCTTATTTTGGCGAAATGTAGCAGGGTTAGCCCCTTGGCGCAATTTAGCACAGCAATCACATCACTGCCAGTGGGTCGCATCACGTGACAACGCGGAGAGAGCAACGCTGGACGTGAGTATGTTTTCGAATGGCAAGGCCGGAAACATTCATTCTCGAGTGAGATCGAGTAAATTTGGGGAATGCAGTCTAAAAGCAGCTCTCCACAGCTATCCGGGAACACATTTCGTCGTTCAGCGATTGTTCTCACGAAACCAACCGACAGCTCTCGCGCTCAAACACAACATTTACACCTGGCGCTGAAGAGAGCTGGATGGATGCTAGTGGTGACACCCTTTGTATCGTACACGAAGTGCAGAGTAAAGCCCGGAAAATACGGTAGCTTGCGCCACCTGGATGGATGGATGGATGCTAACGGCTGTACCTTTTGTAACGGGTGATAGCTTGTGCCACCTAGCCTAGAAATTAAAAACCAGCAGTACGGTTCCTCCCTTCGCCCTTCTAAGCCAATTTGCTCCCCCTCTGAAATTTAGTAACTATCCCCAGGCGGAGTCCGGTACCACCACGAATCCTACATGACCCATACCCCCGGCACGTCCAATGTTGCCAGCCTCGTTGCCCTTGGAGCGATCCAGAATACTGCGAAGTGAGAAACTCCTCACCAGGCACTGATGAAGTCTTCGTACTCCGGAGAGAACTGGCCGGCTGGCAACCTCGGAGGATCGTCTTCAATGACGTGTTTCAGCTGCTCAAAGGGATTCCGGAAGCTCGGGTAGGGGAACTTCCCTATGGACAGCTCAATCTGGAAGAAAAGAGTGTTTTTGCGACAACGCGACAAGCCCGATTTCGTAGCCGTCTTCTCCGCAGGTATTCCGTTCGCGAATCTAGAACTCCGGAGGGACGTCCCTCGAAAGCTACGTTTCGGTTACCTCGGGAGCTTGTGGACACAACCTCAAGCCCGCAAATTGACACAGGCGTGTCGATTATGCGGAGAGGCAACGGAAAGCGGGCGACGACGCGGGTGCAGCTTTTCCTCGGCGCTCCAAGAAAGAGTAGGTCAGAGGGGTAGATGGAGAAGGCACGCGCACTTTGTCCACTCCATTTTTTCTCTCTCTCTCAAACTGCCGTTGGCACCGAAGACATTGCTCAGCGGTGCTACAGAGCCCGCGCAAGCTTTGGTGGTGCTGCACTGTCGCCTACTTCCAGGCGGTTGCATGTTTCAGAGATGCGGAGCTGCGTAGGCCGCGTTTACACAAAGACGGCGTCACCCTTGGGTCAGACGACACGTTTCTATTCTCCTCCTACACGAGGACGGTGTCCAGTCAGCTCTGAGGGTTGGTCTACCAAGCCGGGAGACAGGGGTGGCTTCGGGGGAGGGAGTCGAGAATTCTCGAACACCCTCAACCGAAGCTGCCCCAGCTCGAAACGACCTGGTGGACCGACCCCGAAATGGACTAAACACCGTTCAAATGAAGGGAGAGGACGGAGACGCGCTGTCTGACGCAAGACTGACACCGTCATTGCGCAAACGTGGCCCGTGCAGCTCGATGCCTCCGAGACGTACAGAAGTGACAAATCGGCCGGGTTCTAGTTTTTACGTCGGCCAGCGCCGCGGGCAGCGATGACCCAGGGAGGGTGCGGCGACTCGAGAACTTCTGGTGGAAGTGGTGACACCGTAGTCACCGGCAGAACGAGAATGGATGTTGTCCGGCCTCCGGCGCAAATTCCCTACCTTCAATCACGCTTCGGCATGAAGTGTGCATGATGGAGGCCGGTTGTTCTAAAGAGACGCCCCGCCTTTCTTGTCTTATCAGCAGCCCTAGAACAGACTACAGTGGGCTCAGGATAATTCAAACTCTGACATTTCGTACTAACGGCCCATTCAAACATAATTAGAAATTTTGGCTGTCCCGCTGCATTTTTGATGTAGGCATTTATAAGCCGGTAAATGACAACGGCGTTTTAGGGTAATAGACCATTTGCTAGATCACCCAAGCATCAAGGAGAATGCAGGGATTGGTGTTCCACGCGCCACACGCGCACGCCTTCCCCGTATAAAACATTAAATCTCAATAACCAAAATAAAGCGTTGATGACCGCGCATGCAAGATGCTGTTTGTTTTAGGTATTTGCTTTAGAAAAGTTGCTACCGCTGACGCCAGCACGTGCGGCGTGTGGAACACCAATCCCTGCATTCTCCTTGATGCTTGGGTAATATAGCAATAGGTCTATTCATACTACTTGTTCTCGCGGCGCCGCGGAGAATGCTTTTTTCCGAGCACAGCTGCATTGCTGAGAAGAAACCCCCGCGGAGCTCGGTTCTGCGGGTGTTGCTTCTCCGCGGTGCACCGGTGCACGGTAAGAAGCGCGTCGACGGGGCCAAAGGTCCACATAGACAAGTCTCGCTGAATGAACAAACATAATTTTGTTATGAGGTGTCATGTGCTGTCTAAAGAGTTCCCGACAGGCAACGTTTTCGAGGGAGTAATAAACTTATTTCGTACATTTCACCAGTGTTTCATGCGTGGCATACCTGCTTGCGATTAGCGCTGTAGAGGAAACCACCAAATGTCCGCTTCGTATGTGTAGCCATCCATACAACAAATTGTAATTTTATCCTGAATCATATTTGAATGAATCTCTGATAATTCAAACTTCTCATAATTCAAACAAAACTCGTGGCTTCCTACAGTCTGAATTAACGAGAGCCTACAGTAGTATACTCTGCAAATGTCCGTAGTGCAGAGAAAGGCACCGGCGTACGAGCCCGTGGTCACTGACAGAGAACGGCACGACGTCTCTCTCGGATGCTCCGCCTCCAGGATACGCTCATTGCCTTCCACCACGCTTTGGATCCACGTGCAAGTTTGAGCCGCACAGTATGTCAAAGCGTCACCGAAGGAAGGAAGCTCGCACTGTAGGCGGGGCGAGCGAATGACCCCATTCTGTCGGCGACTATGGCGGAAAATGGATGCAACGTAAAGACAAGACGACGCCCGCTCACCATCGTGATGCCCAGGCTCCAGACGTCGGACTTGACGTCGTAGCCGAGGTGAGAACGTTCCGGGTTGATTCGCTCCGGCTGCGAGTCGAGAGGGGAACATCAGCGCTTTGTCGCCTCCGATGTCTCGCATCTGCGGCCCCGAGGCCGAGCAAATGTCCGTCGAAAACGGAACTGACGGTAGAAGTTCTGCGTCTGAATTGAAGGCTCTCTAGGTCAGGCATTTGGTGGCTCACGAGCCGTTGCAAATTTGCATTTCTGCAACTACCTTAGCTATCAACACAGTAGCAGTTGTAAACAATAATACATCTTTTAACAAAAGAAAAAAAAAAAAAAGAAAAGCTCAACGTGGACACGACATAAATTCTTTGTAAACAATGAATTTCTAAGGTTTGGTGACATTCAAACTAGCAGAACCGCCGAGTTCGTCAGTTCGATAACACGAGCCTTAAAAAAATTTGCATCTGATATTACACATTAGAAGTTGTGATTTTTGCTACATCTTTTACAGTGCAACCCGCTTATAACAATACCACATATAACGATGTACAGCTTATAACGATCAGTTTCAAGATGATGATTGAAAACCTGGAACTGTGGTCGAGTTTTATCTCAACACCCTAGACAGAGTTGTGGTTGAGAAGATGAGAGAGCTGCCCCCAGATGTAGGTTTTGTCCGAAGATGCGTAGACGATATAATTGTGTGCACTTTTCAAGATCAAGATAACCTTTCGGATACTCTACAATATGTAATAAGTTCAGAGGCCCCGGAGTTGCATTTCACTGTGGAAAAGCCGGAGTAAAATGTCCTTCAATTTTTGGATTTACGCATTCATGTGGACAGTTGGCTGTGTTGGGAATATGGGAAGCAGGCACCAAAACCCATCCTGTCGAAGCAGAATTGTCATTCTAAAATTGTAAAGGCCCAGGTAGTGAAGTCTCTGACCCAGAACGCTCTACAAAGGTCATGCATTCATTACATGGAGCAGTCTTTGAAAAGACAATGGGGAAGACTGGAGAGGGCCGGCTATCAAGAATCCTTCACGAAAGGGCAGCTTGCTCTACAGATCGAAGATAAGCAAGATAAGCGAAGTGTCAGGAACCGACGGGCTGCCATTCCATATTTTCACGCCATTTCGCATAACTTGAAGGCATGTGCAGAGAGATTTGGGGTTAACACCGTTTTCACATGTGATTTCAAATTAGCTAAACTGACTCCTTTTGAGGCAGGACAGAAAGAATGTAAAAAATGCATTGCGACAGATCTGTTCCATGTGTCAGTTTAGTAGTGTATGAAATTCCTTTGGAATGCAGCTTTAAATATGTTAGTCAGACTGCAAGATGCATTAGCGATAGGTTGACAGAACATAAACGGAATGTGCGGATTAACGCTTCAAACTCTGAACTAGCGAGGCATCCCCAGGAGTGTAATGCAAGTACAGCGAACTGGTCAGAGACAGAAATAGTATAAAAAGAGCGTGAGGAGATGAGACGTGTTGTGCGAGAAACTGTTTGCATAAGAACATCGGGAAATCGCATTAGCCAAGCGTCACTGCAAATTGGAAGTGAGTCAAAAAAGTTTCTTGGACTGTAAAGACTTAGTGTGGGGTGAACGTAAAAGGAGAAGGGACTGCTTCGCAGTTGTTTGCATTGTTGGGTTCGGGGTCGTAATGGGGGGCATTGTTGGCGACTGTGTGTGATTCATGGTTCAGTTCAGGGGGAAGGTGGGTAAGTTAGAGACGGTCTTTTTATGTTTACAAGTGATGGTGTTACATTGTCCGCGTCGAAGTCCTTCCGGGTGCGGTGGTGACGACCTTGCGTTTCTGCTTGTATAACGCTTTTTTTTTTTTTTAATGTATTGGTTGCAGTTCGGTGTATTTTCATTCCGGTGTATTGCTCGTAGTCAGTGATCAACCGTTGTGGTAGTGGCGACGTTCGACGTCCGGGGGAGGTGTAGATAAGACGTATAGGCAATAAAGTTTTTAGCGGAGTTTGAGACGTTGTCTGTCCCTTTTTCTTTTTACTTCACGATTTTCTGTTTTTCAAACCACAGTCTCAGGTTTTCAATCATCATGTATAACTTACACCAGCTTGCTTGCAGTTTAACCGTTTTTTCAGTTTCAAGAGTTTGCTGACTGGAAATGATCAGTTTCTAGTCTAAGTACAATTATAATCCGTTATAACGATTGAAATTTCGGGTTTTCTCCTTACTGTTATAAGTGGGTTGCACTGTAGTGAAATAAGCAAAAAAACAGCACGCAAGTATGGACAGATAAATTCTCTGTAAACGATGAACCTCTAATTCTCGGCAACAGTAAAACTGGAAGACCTGCCGAGTTAGTCAGCTCGACAACACAAGTTTTAAAAGATTTGCCGAGCCATACGACAAGTCTCAGGCTTTCGTCCCATTCGCCTGTTAGGTTGCATACACTTAGAATGCTTTCCGAAACTCAAAGGCAATTGAAATGTTCCGACCACCCAAACAACACTTCAGAGATACTACAACCAATCATGGGACACCGGACAGCCGCCATAAAAAAAACTAGAGGATATGTAAATTCTTGCTTAGAACACAAAAAAGAGGCCCTTTCTATAAATGTTGTCAGGGGACCTCACCGCCATGTAGGGCTTGCAGCCGGCGTTCATGGTCTTGGCTATGGATTCGACCAGATAGCCCGATATGCCAAAGTCGCACATCTTGACGTCTCCCTGCCGATTGATGAGGATGTTGGATGGCTTCACGTCGCGGTGGATCACGTGCAGCTTGCTCTGGAGGTAGTGAAGGGCACTCACCACCTGCGAGGAAAGCATCACCCCTAGGTTGTGAAGCAATGCTATGCCGACAAAGTGGTGATAGAAGTTACTAGATCAAACTCGGTTGACAAGATTTTTAGAGTGCCCGGTGCCTTCCCACGGCCCGTCCGCCCGGTGGTACCCACTACGCCATCAGCCTGCCCTGTGGACAGAAGCCGCAATCTTATGATTATCTTCCATGCAGCTTGTCCACCAATAGATCAAAGAGCATTTGTGGCAACAGCATCAACGCAGCCAACATCTGAACAATGTCAACAAATATAAGGGTCGCTCAAGGTCGACCGGGAGCTTTGTCCACGAGAAATCACAGAACGAGTGTGGCACGGCGAAACTTGCGGAGGATGCTAACGTAATCCTTCTCGAAGATTTAGCGTCCACAACGACCGTTTGATGCATGCACAGCAGTTCCAGCTATCATGGCGGTGAATAACGTGTATGAAACTGTGGAGCGGCGGTGCACAATAAAATTTTCGGAGAACGAGACACATGCAGCGGCTGAATTTATGAGAAGGTTACAGGCACAGCACATGGTGAACAAATGAGGTCACGGACAGGAGTGTACGAATGACGTCAACCGTTTGGCGAAAGACGGCAGCCAGTGACAAATGAAATGCATGGACACGTTCGTCCCACTGCGGTCACATAGCTGAGCATTTTTTACGCCCAAGGAATCGGGGAGCTGCCAAAACGACGGCAGAGGCACTTGGACGTGCATGGGGAATACTTTCGAAAACCGACAATGTTCCGTGTTTGTCGGAATTTTGATTTTCTCCGTAAAGGCAAAAATCCTGGTTAACTCCAAACGACTCCTGTAGAATAATCCACACTCCGCAGGTGTTCTCAAGCTCACAGATTTCAAGGAACCCTCATCTGTCTGGTGCAACAGGGCAGTGCAGAAGCCCACAGACCTTGTAAACAAAAATGCATGCACTAGAAATGTTATGCATCAATGGGTGGTTCACATCTGCTAAAATAATGCCTAAGCTGGAAAGTTTATGCACTATGGTGCCCTTTTCAACATTAGTGCCCTTTTCAGGCACTATTTTTTTATATCAATGCTGGCTGTTTTAGAAGGCTCTGGGTGAGTAGGGTTGATTGTTCTCCATTTCAGAGTTTCAAAGCTGGTTTGCATGCAATAGTATTCTTTGGTTTGCATGCAATAGTATTCTTTGTTCAATCTCTTGTCACTGCAATTGTTCAATACCCTCTTTACCGGTGGACGGAGTCTCCCATCACTTCCCCAAAACATCGGTGGTTGAGAGCCACTGGTCTAGAGAGCCAAAGAGAGTAACTCCAGACACAGCTCACCGAGTAGGCAATCTTGCCCAGGATGCTCTCGGGGATGGTCTTGCCCTGGGCAAAGACCTTCTGGTAGAACTTGTCCAAAGACGTGTCCATGACCTCCATGCAGATCCAGACGTCCCCTTCCCGGAACAGCGCCCCGTAGAACTGCACCGTGTTGGGGTAGTCGCTCGTGCGCATCGACACGTCCAGGTCCATGAGCAGGCGCTTCTGCTCCTGGGTGCACTCCGTGAAGGTGATGCGCTGCAGGCGGCGGGACGAAGGCGACGGAAGAGGGGTCATTGTCCGGAACCGGAGGCCGACGGCAAACCAGCCGCGGGCATTCGGTAACTCGTACCATGGTCCCTATGGTAAGTTACAGCTCAAGAAGGTAGGGCGAGGAAAAGGAAGGCTGGGGAGGAAGAAGCAGACGGAACGCTGGAGAGGAGAGGGGGAAACCTCCTCCTCTCCAGCCTTCTTTTCCCTCACCCTACCTTCATGAGTTGCAACGGACTATAGATTACCCGATTTCGTATCTTTCTGTCGTGCTACGGAGAAGTTTCCCCCAGGGCACGGCGTAAGATATCTATAGGTGTGGACGCTGCACGCGTCGCAGCTAAGGTCCTCTCCTCGTCTTGGTTGCAACTGGCGCCATGACGTTTTGATGATCGGCTAGAGGTGACTTATAACAAGCCTGGCTTTCGATGCTCCTTTGTGAGCAACGCGCCTGTTTTTAAAATCGTTTTCTGCGTGCACCGTGTCTTGTGGAACTTGGCACTTATGGAACATGCATTGCTCAGACACCGCTTCATCATCGACCCTGGTTTCATGCCTTAACGGCAGCGAGAACAGTTTTATGAGCGCGTTGAAGCGGAGCGATCTCTGGCACGGCAATTGAGCCAGCGTCCATCGGGGTCAGAGCAGATGCGCTGAGCGGAATGCGCGCGAGGCAGTTTTTTGTTTTGTGTTTTCTTTCAGTTGCATAGTCCGGCCAGCGGAGACATTGTCGAAACGGGATACTGGGATGCGCACCAATAGGACTTTATCTAGTCGACTGCGTCACAGCGTTAGCCATGGCCCATGCTGTGTGCCCACACCTTGATATATGTTACACTGTGCCCTAGGGACATAGTGAAGCACTAGAGGCGCTCTGTTGACATCAGGAGTCAGCCAATCAGACCGCTCGGAGAACCTTGTGATTACGTAAGTTTGGAGACGCTGCAGCCGAAAAAGTCACCGGATGCATCCACCCTTTCATAAACAAAAAAAAAAAACCCAGAAATGGCCGAAAACATGGACGACGGAAAATGCCATCTATACCTGAGACCTAAGGGTCACATAACTTGGGAATAATTGAAATGCCACACAAAAAATGCTACATCTGCTTCAAAAAAGAAGAAAAGCTTTCACTGTTGTTAAGGTGTCTTATTTTTGCACTCTTAATATTAGCACCGATCGATCGTAGTGGCAACGTTTAATGACCGTGAGGACGATGTCAGGATGGCTCTGGCTAAAACGTTGGCGTGACTCGACAGGGGCCTCCTCACCTTTACGGCCATTATGGTGCCAGTTGGCACGTGCCGCATCTTCTCCACGATGCCGTAGGCTCCCCTGCCCAGCAGCTGGATCACCTCCAGGTCTTCGGTGGACACGTCGATCTCTCGGCCCTCCACCACCAGCTTTGCCCGCGAGTCCAGGTTGCGGGGAGGAGTGCTGCAAGTCCGGACAAGTGAAACGCTCGACTTCGGCCATGGCGTAGGTGATCTGGTATAGGTTTTTCATTTTCGCGAACCACCTGAGACTGTTTGGGGAGTGAGAAGAATCCAAGATAGAAGAGAAAGCAACAGAATGACAGAAGGTAACGTCTAAAAAACACTGAGACGTTGCCTCCTTGCATTCCGTTCCTTTCTCTTCCACTTTGGATTCCTCTCGTTCTCCACCCAGCCTTAGTGATTTAAGAAAATACCGAGGCTGTCTTCGAGATTGTCTTTTTATTGCACAAACTCAATCTACATCCTAAAAAAATGCAAAATAAAATTTTTTTATTAACATTCTTATTTTGTAATAAAAGTAAAATTAAAAACACTGCTCATTTGAGATATACAAAGAAAAGAAAAGAGTGCATGACCTTTTTTTCTTGTTAAAAATGTGACCAAACATCACGACATGCCCCTTTTTTTATAGATTATCTCAGAAAGATGGGGGTAACAGAATGCTTGGTCACATTTTTGTTAGAGAAAAAAGCCAGGCATGATCGTAATTCTTGATTTTCTAGAATGCATAGAGCATGCAAGTTAAATCTGCACTAAAGAGACCCCTCAAAATACACTTGAGTGCCCCTTTAAAGCAAAACAAATAGCTCGTTGGCAAAGACAGAAACAAAAAAATTAACGCGTTTTCTCATGGCCTCGTTAAAAGTATACTCACATCAGATAGACCACCAACACCAGTCAAGCGTAAAACGACGCACATTTGCCCCCAACATGAAAACCGATGTGACCTCGATCAAATTGAAAGGAACGGCGTAAAATCGTTCCGCAAAACTCACACTCTCTGATGTGTGTTCTGGTCCGGCTCCGGCATGATGATCTTCCCTAGCGCCTTCTTCCCTGCGAGACGGCACAGACGAAGCAAGTGACGGATGGGCCCTTTATTTTCACACAGCGGGGGACGGGAACGAGAGCCGAAGCACCCCGGGATACCCAAAGACGCGTGTCGAGACCGTCATCGCCGTTACTCATCCTGCCAAAAACCCACACAGGGACACCGCCTAACTCTTCCAACTATTTGTGACTCTAGCAAGACGGACGACACCTGGCGGGAAAAGACCGAGCTGGATGGAGCAGGTCGTTTCGCGATTTCTGGTCGCCTCTCGAGGCTTTAGCGATTACAAGTTGTCGGCGGTCGGCCCGATGGAACACTTGTCCCGGTGACTCTGTTGTTACTGTCGAACAAACTTGTGCCCAGGTCGCCCTGAACGCATCCTGCACTACTGCACAAAGCAGGCATTGTGCGCTTGTCGACATTCATTAGCATTAGGTTCAAAACGTGGTGAATAAGAATCTGGACAAACCATTTTGAGTCCAACGTTTGGCCGCTGAAACCTGAGTTTTGTGTGTCGAGCTGGCACGTGGCACGGCGCGAGCCCTTTTAGACCGCCACATCTGTCCGATAGTGGCGACCCCTATAGGTCGCTGGAGCCGTGAACAGTTGGTGATGGGTTAAGAGTTTGAGGGAAGCTCCTCCCACCTCTTTCCACTTCAGCAGGGCAAATGATGGAGAGGAGGATCTCCTCTCCAGCGTTTGTCCTGCTGAAGTGGAAAAAAGATGGGAGGAGCTGCCTCCAAACTCTTTACCTGATACTGACCATGGCAAGCGTCATTGCTATACCGTAGAATACCGCGCATCCGCCCATTCCACATTAAGCGCCCATCCCCAAATTTGTAAGATCTGAGAAAATATGCACAGTACACTTATATGTAAAATTGAAGACCGGACAAGTGCCCATCCCCTATTTTTTTTATTATCTCTCAAGTTTGAGTGTGCGCTTGCCCAATATTTTACGGTAGTCGCCGACAAGACAAGAGCAACAAAGGGGAGTTTCAGCTGTCCCACCTCCAGCACCAGATTCCTGCCTTCGATAACACATCGGCACTTTGTGAGCTTCGAGCACACACGTGCAGCCAAAGCATGACAGAAGGCAAGAGCGCATGCTCGAAGCCGGGCATTCGGAAAAGACGTCCTGCCCTTCTCGTCTTATCAGCGACTTTAGTTTAAAAGAGTCTTGCCTTTGACCGAATTTCCTCACAGAACGCTTATCGAAGAGTAAGATTGCATGTCCGATTTAAGCACGACGTCTCTCCGCACAGTTCCTCGCCTCCAACAACACATAGTCGACACAGCTTCTCACAGGTGGCACCATTTGAAGTTATGGACCAATCTAGATAGATCTGTGACGGCAAACTACCCAATCACGGTACTCAAGCGCTTGAATTCCCTTTCGTTGCATTCTAATTGTGCAGTGTACTGACTGGTACCTATAGAGGCTTATAAATCTGGACAAGTTGGCAATGCATTGAAATGAGAAAACAGCGTGAAATGAAGACAGACCAGGGGAAGACACGGACAAACTTATAACAACCAAATTTTTTTATTAGGAAGAAACACGAAAGCCGCGAAAGTCCCGAATAATCCATCACGCCGACGTCAATACGCACTAGACTCCCATTGGCTAGGTTGAAAAGACAGCGAAAACGACGCGCCACAACAACAAAAGAATGAGGGACATTACCGAAGCATTTCACATGTCGGGATGCAACAGGGGCCCGCGTGTCAGTGCGCAATCTGATGCCCCGTTTCAGAAAGAGCTAGAGTATCTCAGCCAATGGGAGCCTATACCTCGTTTCACCTTAAGTCCAGATGCAGCCAATGCTACAAGCGCAAGCATGTGGCCCTAAACAGTGCTTGCAATTCACGAGCGCGCGTGCTTGAAAGGGACGCCGAAAGGCCGAAGCTCGCTCTAGTAGCTTCTGCTATGCTCACACTTAAAGTGAAACAGAGTATAGCGTGTGCATCGACGTCGGTTCTATGGATTTTTCGGGGGTTTCGTGGCCTTCGTGTTGTTTGTTTCCCCAATAAAAAAATTCAGTTGTTAGTCAGTACCTGGTCTGCTTGTGTGCTGTTCTGGTCCATTGTCATTTTGCACCGTTTTCTTGTTTTGACTCATACCCAAAAGAGCCCATAGACTAATCTTTGTTTTGCTTTTCGTGCCAATAAGATGGTTGTGTCATGGTTGGCATTATTACAGTCACCGAGGTGAGAACGGCAGTGAGGAGCTTCGATTGCTTAGGCTTTAGCGTGAGGTTCTTGGCTTTGGCAAGGCTTCAGTGTCTCGTCCACCACAAGGACGTGCACGCAGCCAAAGCACAGTTGGAGCCACGGAACGTGTGCTGGAGGCCAGGCGTTCGGACGACACGGCCTGCCACGCTTCTTTTGCCAACGACCGCGGTGACTGCGACCTTCCCATTTATTTATCTGTATCACTGTGTTCACTACACACTGCTCAATGACTGCCACTCCAGGCCCTACGGCAGACAGGAAGCACCTCGGGAACTCGAATGAGGAGAAATTGATGGAGGGAAGGCCTGCCTGTTCCGTAAACGGCCATTATTTTTAGCAGGCCAACAGCAAGCACTATCTTAAGGCTGGGCACAGTGCAGGACTTCGCCACATCCAAGTACAAGCGTCCTACATCGTTTGCTTTCCTTCCGATAAGGAGTGTGCCACACTGCCGATAAAACAGTGGCGTCTCGTCTCGTAGGGGACATTCCCAGGCGTAGGACCATGGCTAGTGGAGCAGTCTTTTGAGACATATACCCACTGTTCCTAAATAATATGCGAAGAATAATAACAATAAAACAAAGAAAGAAAAAAAAAAGATTTGATTTCTTAATTTTTTTTGCAAAAATAAATTATGCATTACTGAACGCTCATTTTTCGCCCAAATAGCGGTCCGAACCAAACACCAAAGTTTCAGAACTAACCGAGAGCTTATTCAAAAGTTACGAGCAATCTTTTAAGGTTTTCAATGGGAAAGTGGTGGCCGACCTAGCTCTCAAATACGTGGAGCCAAGCGGCGCCAGTCACCAAAAATGAGCGCAGTCTTCCGTCGAAATTTTCAGCAAATAGCTCGTAACTTTTGAAAGAGGAGACGGTTAGAAAACGCGACAACATAACCCCTGCAACAAACCAAAAAACAGACATCACTGTTCTCAGAAGATATGACCTGCTCTTATCTTCTATTTAATCGCCCATAAATGCCTGAGGGCCATCTGCTGAGCCAGATTCGAATGTCGAGTCCCGAGTCACTTGACAGTGTCCTTGCATATCAAGAGTCCTCGCAGTGCGTCTGAACTGGCAGCTGTACAGGACACTCGACTCTTGCGGCTATTTGGGTGCTCATCACTTATCAGCAACATAGGCAGAGGGGGGGGGGGGGGGGGGGGGGGGGGGCGAGTCTGGAGCCAAAATCTCCCCCCCCCCCCCCCCCCAGCTATAACACCCATCTCACTCCAAAAATTTCTGGCCATGCCACTGAATGATGCGGCAGAATTTCATTCAAATAAAATTATTCGCACACTCCTAGTGTAGATGCCTCAGTGTAGTAATTATTGTAATTTGAATTGCACACACATACCTTAAAATCCCGAGCAAGCGCCCAACTCAAAGTCTGAAGATAGTCAGCTGGGATATGGGCGCTCCTTAGGTCAATGATGTGTAAAGATTTGTCCTCTATGCATTTTTTGAATGTTACAAAATTAAGGGTGGGCGATCATTGTGGAATGGGCGGGTGCTCGATATCTTACGGTAGTTCTATCTTGTGTTCTTTCCAACGTGATGTCATTTTCGCGCGGGTAGTAACACGCTTTGACTGAAGTTTTCAGCATTTCATTTGTTTCCCCCGTAAAAGGATAAGGCGCGGACTCGAGATACGATACCAGCAAATCTTATCGGTAAACTCGTTGACTGACACTTTGTTTTTTTTTTGTTTTTTCTGATCGTAAATATTTTTCTACATCGCACCTTTTTGGTGCTGCGTTCTTTTATTACGATACGCACCTACCACGAGATGTTTTTTAGTGTTGCTTTTTAAACAAAGAATTATCCAAACGAAAGCGGTAACGAAAGGGCGACACCCACGCAGCCAACGGAGAAAGAAAATGAAAGAGAATTGTAGAGGTCGCTCACCTAGTCGCTTCATGATGTCGTTGATTGAAGATCGAACCACAAAGCCACTGTTATCTAAAGGGAGCACGAACTTGGATCTTTAGCGATGATCTGGACACTTTTGGCGCACACTTGGAGCTTTGTCGACCGTTCGCCGTACCCACCAAGCTCTCCGATCTTCGACGATCACCGAAGCAGTCAAATAAGCGCGTTCAAAGCGTTTCCAGCAAGATCGAATTCACCAAGGTCAATATCAATTAACGGCTGTTTAAAAAAAATTATATGTATTCTCGCGAAATCACGTTTTGTTTTTTTGTTTTTTCGTGCCGGGAGTCACGCAGCAGTTCGAACTTCCGACAGGACTCGGTCCTACGTCCTAGCCTCCGGCCGAAAACGTAGAGAGAAGAGCGTAAAATTAGGCTTAGGAATTACACTTTGACGAACGTGTGGAGCCGAAGGGTCGTCTCGGCGCAGTGTGACGACGATGGTCAGCTGCACTGTCGCAAATTCCGTGCGACGAAATCGTCGGTCAGAGCGTCCGACCTCGAGTCATCCATGTTTGATCACTCGACGATCCGTGCCGTGCCAGGGCAGGGGCGGCCGGAGACACTACGGCGAGACGCGCACGCATGCAATGTAAAAAAGAAGAAAATCCCCTTCTACGGTTACGCGCGCACAACACACACCGCTTCCAAACCACCAAAGATCCCCTTCGTTGCCGATCACACGCACGCACAAACGACGAGATCGGAGTTCTTTTCTACTACTCGATGAATCACGCCGATCGTCATAAGCTCATGGAGCGGATGTGACGTCAAATGACGTCACCAAGCGTGGATGGGTTCGTCGGTTCGTTTTGTCAAGTAGAGTTACTGGAGTAGCCTACCTCGTTGGGAGTAGCTGGCGAAGTGTATTTGAAAACGCTAGAATTTGCTTAAAGTGGTTTGGTTATTTTGTCACAGTTATTTGTTTGCAATAGCTCTTAAGCATACCTCTGGTGTTCGTAATTAAGAAGTAATCAAATGCACACGAACGCGCGCAATACCATCGAGGCTAGATGGCGCTAGCTACCACCTATTATTTATTGACTAGACGTTTTATTTTTTTTAAAACAATGCAACATGTAGCAGAAAGAAAAAGTTATTATGTTATTAAATAATGGAGCATTTTAACTTGCTGCGGAATGTGACTTGTCATTGACTAAACGTCTGAAAGATACTTTTTAAGAACTCTAGAATATTCCATGCAAACTTCCGTCTTTCTCAGAGTTCTATTGGTTCAATGAGCCTGGGTGGAGTCACCATACACAATGTACGAAGCGAAATGTAACGGAAGTAGGCGCAGCCACGAACTCTTCTCAACCAATGGGGAGCTCGTCAATGGGTGCCGCCATTGGTTTTTGGGGTAAGCAACCCTCGTTGCCATGGCATTGCCGTGGTAACGCTGTTGTTTGCCCCATAATTTCATGGTGGTGTCCTCTGAATCAATGTCGAACAGGCGAGATTTGGAGCCCAACACTTGCCTGACCAGTAGGAAGTCGGCATGTAGCGAACGCTCTCGACACCCGCCTTGAGCGTTGTCTAGAACGAGTCGTCATAGCGCGGCTTTGGAAAGCGATCGCATATCGGTTGTCGTACGCACGAACGCTGAGAATGGCACCGCGGGTTGAGAAGCCCAAACAAACCCTACTCCCAGAAAGTGTTGGTTTCACTCCGCTGTGATGAGATTGCGGGTTTGCATCGAAACATCTTTTGGTGCACTGATCAAATCGAAAGCCAGCTGCGACAGCGAGCAGACGAAGCAGAAGCAAGCACAGAGCAGACGTAGCTTAAGCCTAACGACCGAGCAGAGAGGAGACGATGGGAGCTTGGTTGAATTTAGTTTGGATAAAAGCGCGTCGGTGCATGAGGCAGTCTGGGATTGTTTTTTTTTTTTTTTTTTTTTTTTTCCGGCGTTGCTGGGTCTGGACGACATGCCAGGTCCTGCCCTATTTAAACGTCCTTGAGCCTGGTGGCACCATTCCGTGCGGTGTGCTGCAACATCTGCGTCCAACACAGCTTGGCAATCTTGTCTTGAGTATTGGACAACCACATGCTGCTGGAAGACTCACTCTACATACAAAGAAACCACCATTTTACCAACACTCACACACAGACATAGACCACATACTTTAAAAAGGCCATCACATTTTCCCCGGTGGTTGCACACTATGTGCTGGCACATAGTGTGCAATGACAGACACCATGACAGACACCAAGTTTCTAACAGAGTGGTACTTCTTCACACAGCAAAGGAAAAGCGCAACAACTGTGGGACACATTTTATAGATGTGATATGGACGTACAGCAAGTCGGGAACGAGACTTCCTCTAGGAATAAATAAATCAGGCTCCGTCCCGGAACGCCAGTGCCGTCAACGCCTTCTGGTGTCCACTGAACTCCCTCTTTACTTCCGCTGGTTCGACGCTCCAGAGGCGAGCTACGCTGTCCGACGAAGCTGCAAGAAATCGCATCACACGGGACGGTAAACAAAAAACAATCAGAAACAAAAGCTTGTTAACTGTTCAATTGAGATGCGGTGTTCTAACTCGGTAAGAATGAGCTACATGCTTCGACTGTGAGATTCAGTTTCAAAAGCTGCTGCACTGCTCCCTCAATGTTGAATGAACAGATGGATGGATGGCAAGTAGATTTCCCCTTTGTGCTTGGCGGCACGTTGCAACGTTTTCACTTGAATTTGAAGTACATTCAGTTCCATTAAGCCGCCTCACCCATACATTTTATGTGTGATTTCGTGCCCTCGATCTTTCTACCAATCTTCAAACCTCTTTGCGATTGCAATTCTTCATACCTGTTACGTATAGTTTCATAATGCCTCACGTTTTATAAGACCCGTTTCTTTTTCCTGTCTCTATTCTATTTCCGTCATGGTCTTCAACATATTTCATTTCTTCATTTGTGCCGCACCCCCAAATACTTGCGACTTTTGACACAGTCTATTAGAATGCTTTGTACAAGGGAGTGCCAAAAAGTAAGTTAGACTTTTGAATAAAACAGAAAAATACAGATACATACTCGTGCCATGTATATAGGTTTAAAGGTACTACTGCCGAGACCGGTTATAACGAAGTCGGTTATAACGAAATAGCAGCTACAGCAAAGCGATCACGATTTCCCATTCCCTCTTGCACTCCGAAGTCAGTTTTAACGAAACGGCAGATATAGCGAAGTGATTTCCGATTTCTGTTGACTTTGTTATAACCGGTCTCCACATTACAACCTTTATTAATCTGACAAGTGTTCACAGTCCTCAGGCAACCATGTCGAGAAGCGAATAAAAGATTGGCCTCTAAACAAACAGACACCATGTGAGTAGAACTCTTGATTTTGGCATTTTATTTTAAAAATATTTTTCCACATTTCCTGGGCTTTGATTTGCCAACTATAGACGCGTTTAAAATTTGAAATTTTATGCGGTGCAGACCACGCAAGAATTAATTTTCTTGCAAACCATTCCTTACTACAAGATGGGATGGGCTTTGGCGAAAGAATTATGTACATGAAGGTTTCTATATAAAAGCGCCTTTTGTCCATCTATAACGCAGGCATTTTTGAAAGTGCGCTGCATAGGAGAAATTCTTACGTGCAAAGTACATACCAAAGAAAAGGCTTTTTTTTTTTTCGTCGGTCGAAATTTGCTTTTGCAGAATACTATGCGCCGAGTGTGGACTACAGTCCAGTGAACATGGCACATCGTTTTTGGATGCACTCCTTCCGACTTCCGGGGGTGTCCCTCTTTCCATGCATTTGTCAAAAACCATCATCCCGGCCTTGTATCCACACACAACCTCGCCGCAACCTGCAACCTTCGCAGCATTGTCAGCGTTAAAGCACCGTGGCTCAAAGCATGTGAAGCAAAAACTCACGTTGTGGAACCTCAGGTATCCTGCGCTGAATTCCCGCACCTGCCCGTTTCGATTCGGACGGGTGTCACACCGGGGTGCCATCGCGTTCCACTAATGCGCGACGCACATCGATGACTCTGGGCTGGCAGTGGGGCCAACTAATTTTCTCGTCCACGGCGAAGACGCCGGACACCCATCGGGGCTGACTAACTTCCCCGCCGTTTAAAACAAAATGCGCAACACAATTTTTCGTTGGCGGTCAATGCCCACTCACCCGTGATGAGGAACTGCGCGTCTCCGCTGAATGCCACGTCCCAGACCCAGCGCTGGTTGGCGTTGCTGAGCTCGGCAGTGGGCAGGATGTCGGCGACCTTCCAGGCCCGCGTCGCCGAGGACTGGGACGAACTCCGCCTGACCAGGCGCTCCGGTCCGTTGTCGTCTCCCGACGCCAGGAGGTCGGAGAGGCGCCAGACGCGGGCGGTTGCGTCGGCCGACGACGTCACCAGCAGGCTGCGAAACAGCAAGGTCTGAGAATAGGCAAATATAGGGGAAAAAAGGCAGAAGGAATAGTGCACCCCCCCTCCACCCCACCCAAGGCCCCTGAGGTCAACTTTTTCCTAATAAAAAATTTATATACACCAGTTTTTTTTTTACGAAGAAATGATTTTTTTTTTCTTTTTTTGACATAACAAATATTAGGTCAACAAGACAAATCTGAGCAACTTTTTGCCCATAATGTCATCTCCTTGCAGCCCCCTCCCCCCCCCCCCCTCATTCCCCAAGCCTGACCCATAGACCCGCCCTTGGGTTCCGAGGTGTCTACGCGGGGCTAGAGCTTTATGGAAATGTGCCCCGTGGAGTCTAACTAGAGCTATTAAATAAGCTATGTTTAGAGTATCGACCCTTCATTTCTCAAGCGAAACTGCCCGAACGACTGTGCAAAGGCACAATCCAGTGGCAAAAACAGTTGTGGGTGGCGCAAATGCCGAAATGTGGGATATACTTAGTGCTTCGGGTGACGAAAATAAATATTATTATTGAGGTGTCAAGTGCGTCTTTGAAGTCATCAATAACAAACAATGTTTTACTACCCATCGGTAGTCTCATTATTTCACAACTAAAAGAGCCTGTACAACATTAGGAGCTAATATTAACTTTAAAACAACAATAAATATAACCACTTTATTTTTATATCCTATATTTACTCGTAAGAAAGCGCAACATGTACATAAAAACAAATGACGTCCTTATATTATAAGTCACGTGACCTTTTGCGCGGATGGAGCGTTCTCTCCTCCCGACGTGGCTACGTCCCCGCGCGTGGATGTAGCCTCTGCCGTTAATGAATTTTTTGATCGGAGGTTTTATGGCTCATGTTGCCATTGCAAAAATAACGGTAATTACTATTAGAGACCAGAGCAATTAAACTAAGTGGCATAATTTGGTTACATAGTTTTTTAGATAATAATATTTTAAATTTCACGTTTTTAAGCCACATCTAAAAATTGTGCGTGAAAATCCCACTGCAAGCCCAGCCCACAATGATGTTCAGAAGAGTAACCATGTCACTCTTCCAAGCGTCAGTGTGGGCAGGACTTGCGGCATGCCTATTGCACGCGTTTTGAGAGCAATTTTTAATCCAGCTAAAAAACGTGAAAATTGATTAATGAATATCTCAAGTGCTAATGAACGTTTGCAAGTTATTTTATTTGATCTGGCCTCTAATAGCAATTTCCATCAATTCCGCAATTGCACCATGACCCGTGAATAATCAACAAAGTTAATTAACATATTTTAGTTAATTAGCGAACTTACCATGGCCATTATTTTCTCAGCTAATGTCTGCCAAATCCGCCATAATTGTGTGTGCGGCTTACCTCTTTTCATAAAATGCCACTAGAGTTCAGAATTCAGCGTATAACGTACAAACTATGGCACAGAAGTCAGTAACCTAGCCCACGACGTACATCCCGTCAAAAAACGGCACTAGAGCCCATAACAGAGTGTGCAACATACCATTTGCAAGAAAACGGCGCAAGGGTCGGTAATTGGGGGTACGGCATACCTTCCGTCAGGGCTGAAACGGCACTTGAGTCCGTAGCGCTTGTGAGCGGCAAACTTGACGAGACGTTCGGGGCTCGCCATTTGGTTGTCCGTCCCCGCACACAGCGTGAACAGGTAGCAGACGCCCTGGGAAACGGCCACGAGCCAAGTCAACACGAAAGTCAGGTTGACAGTAGTCGAGGTTGATGCTCCAAGGTTTGAAAAGCTTACTTCTATATATTACTGGCTGAATAGCATTAGAACTCCACTCAAAAATTAATCTGACTACATGACAGGAATCAAACAAACTATAGACCGTTCCACTAGGAAGAGCGGAGAGAGAAAAAATGCCCTCCCCCTCTCACCCCGTGCGTTGTCTGCTCCGCCGAGTGGGCTGTACCAACATCCGGCGGGCGTTCAAATTCAGTTTAAAATCGCGTCATTTTGGAAATTTCCAGTGCAGATGCGCGGATTTTAATAGGCAAGTTATCGTGTAATGCTGGTCTCGATAAAAAGACTAACAGAGTCCACTTGCGCTCTTACCTGGGTGCAAATAAAAAAAGAAATGGAAAGATTGGGTCCGAGTGGCTGGTCCTCCGGTGAAAAGTAAATCCAGTTGCTGTAGCTTTTTTACTATACAAAGTTCGTACTGCCGTAGGCCTTTAGCGACAATGAGTGACGCAATAGACGCAGCGGTTGAGGGTAGTACTGTCGGCCGGCTCCACTGCTATTGAAGGAAAGGAACAAAGATACGCTAGATGATCCAGAAATAAAACAACAGAGTGCTATAGGCTGATTTCGGAGTGGCTATAAATATTTGTAGAACGCAAACCACTTCACAACGGCAGCCACGAGTGAGAGTTTGATGTTTGGTACAGTTCGCCGGTACAGCCTAAAGAGGGAGAGCGGCAATCTCCCGCTTTGTCGTCTGCTAGCGGAATCAGGCGCGTGCCCTCTCTAGCGTTTTACCCCGCCGAACTTGCTGAACTTCCCGGATGTGGGGAGAGGGTACTGTGGTTGGACGAAATGCCGCCGCCCAGAGAGCGCTAAATGGAATGCAATCTGTAGCTGGAACTTTAGGACAGGTAAAGTGTGCATAAGACACAAGAAAGAAACGATGGCACATCACCATTTGACCCACTCAGTTGAAGTACAAGCTCAAACATATCAAAAGAAGAAGGAACCATGTGAATATTTTTGTTCTCTTCCCTAGATGCACAGTGTGCAGCATTTAAAAGGACACTGACATCCCCCCCAAAATTTTTTAAAAACTTTTTCCAGGCAATTTAATTTGGTGTTAGAAGACTACCCAATGAATATTTTGCAACAGCATCACATATATTTTTAATAAAGTAAAGAAAACGCAACTGCTCGAAAACCGAAACCGGACTTGGGAGGAAGATGAAATGTAGAGGAGGAGAGAGCTGCCGGATGACGTCTGGTTACATCTGACCGTGTCTTTTGTTTTTGTTTTGATTTTGTCTTTGTTTTTCCGTTGTGTGAGGCAGATGAAAAATTTACAATGCACATTGCACGAAAAATGACAAAGTCAAGCACTTCGTGCTTCATGTTTGTGCATTTTTCAAGCTCTCACCAATTTGTGTTTGCAAAACGAGTGATGTCTTCAGCCAGGAGAAGGGATGATGACTCGGCGATGTCTTCGTGCGAATCAGCTCGGTGGTCGGGCTGGTTCGCACGAAGACATCGCCGATACCGCGAACAACATTTCTGAAGCAGACATCCGACACCCGTCGTCCGCCGCCATCGCTTACTCTGCTTCGTTCAGCCGTCCAGCCCTTGACTTCCGCGATACGACGCCACGTTGAGAATTATGCAGAGAATGCACAGAGTGCTTCTGGTTCTCTGCGCAAGTTTTTTCAATCAGCTTTACAGGAAGCCACAGAAAAATGAATATCATATTTTTTTATATCTTTAATATTGAGTGCATGCCTTCAATGACTCACGACTTTGACTATATATGGTCTGTGTGTCTCAAGACTCTAAACCATAGAGAACTGCACGTGACCATGGAGAAGAGGGTGAGCCAGTTTTCGATCGGCCAGTTTTCGATCGGCGGTTTTTGAGAGGAAAGAAAACGAATTTCGGGCCGCAACTTGTGTTCTGGGTAGTTGGGCTCTCGTATGTCACGTACAAACAAAAACCTTGACGAGCGTGAATACCCCGTCAGTGTATCTTTAAACTTTACCGCACCACGGTGCCTATAAATATACACCCCGAGGAGAACATACGACACAATGGCCTTTTTTTTTGCAAGTGAGTTTTGAGTGCGAACTTATTTGAAGACGTCAGCTCCATGCACCGATGAACATTACCCCTGTAATGGCTCTAACCCGACTTGAACTTCCCGTCCTTCGAATCCTGCGATTAGCGCCAAAGAGGCAAAGGTTGAAATAGAGAAACCCTTACCTTATTGTCGATGGCCGCCAAGTGCTGGCCGCTAGAGTCGACATCCAAATGTTGCACCGACACATCCACGTCCAGAGCCTAAAAAGAGCGAAAGGCAAACATTTGCACGAGAGTATAGCAGCTTGCAAAGACCTTATTTCGGGGCTTGTGAATGAGGGGGATCGGAGCACGTGGAGCGAAGGCTCGCGCTGCAGAACTCAGGGACCCTGGGTTCGATCCCCACCACTGTACGTCTCAATCTGGACGTGCATCACCACTGCATGGTACAAGTCAGAGACCCCGGGCTGGCGACTGTACCGCACTGGCTAAATTGCTCGTCTACAGCTGAGACACCAAACGCCCATTGAGGCTGACTAACTTCTGACTGCACAAACATACACACAACATTATTATTATCATAATTTCGAATGATTGCTTTTCAGGATTCATTGAAGTGGAAGCAGATGGTCTTATACTGAAACCAAGAAGTTAGTGATCTATCCTTATGCTAGGCCCTGGACTATAGGTGGGATGCTAGAGGGCCAGTAAGCCGGTATCCTTGTTACATTTATCTAACACCTCACAAACAATGTGGATGGATTTCCAAGCAAGCAGGGTGGGTTGCTACCTGGGGCAGCAGTATTTGGGGACTTCAAAAAATCAAAGGCGCCTTATTTCACCGTGAGAATATCCCCTATGAAAGGTGACCACGAGAAAAAGTAGCGCACACAAAGCACTGTGTCAGCTTTGTCTGTGCACCCTTCTTTTGTGGACATCTTTTGTGCACGCCGTTCTCGCCGTTTGGAAGCATGCTCCGCCAACAGCTTTTCATAAAAAGGCGCATCGGATTTTTGAGCCCCAGCTGCTACTAAAAGAAGACCGAAATATGCGGATCTAGGTAAATAGTTTTTTTTATCTAGTTTTTTCTTAAAAATCTCATTACCACATTCTTTGACAATATTCGTGTTTCGGCCACAATGAGAGATGGCAGAAATAAAGTTCGACGACGATGGCATAGAGGTTTGTAGGACCACCGAGCACCTACCACCTGTTCGTTCTGGTTTGTTCTGAGGTCCCAGGCGTAGACCACCCCGCTCTGGTCTCCAACGAAAAGCTCACACTGGTTCGAATGCAGACAGGCGCAGTTCACTGGTGCATTGGTCTCAAACACACGCTGGCACGCTGGCGTTCGTGACCTGAACCAAAAGGAAAGAACATCTGAGTATGCCTTGGTTCTCCGTAAAACAATAAGCTCTCACCCCCGTACCAAATATACGCTCGCAACATTGTTGGCCCCAGCTTATAAAAGAGCTCGCCAACTATAAACTGAGGTCAGTCTATATTTGATTCCTCCCCCAGAAAAAAACAAATTTGTGCAGTGTTAATTTACATTCCGAGTTTTATTTGAGCGATTTGGAAAAATGCTTCAATTTCAGAGTCGACATCCCGAAATAGGAGCGTGTTTCTGAACCGTTCCTAACTCAAAATAAGTCTCACAACATTAATAGTGTGCTAAAAAATTTCTTTTTAGAAAAAAGTTTTTTTTCTGACTAATATCCAGGCACTAAAAGAAGAAAAAAAATTACACAAGCTTGATTGTGTTGAAAACGACCAGAGTTCTGCAGAAACCGTGCAACTTATTTTTTTAACTTTATGAAGTTTCTTATTCCTCTTTTCTGTCTTGATCTATCCACTCATTCTCCTACTGTGCTTTCCGCACTAAATTTAAAGGGAAAGCTGGAATGGTGTAGGGGTCACGTGACAACAAGTTATGATGTTGATTTCCCCGCTAAACTTAGCGGGAAAACTGGACTGCGTGATGCTCCCAGTGAGGCGCTTGTTCGTGACATTTATTCGCGACAATCTTCTCGTAGAAAACGACCCAATAAACACATTCTGCATTAGAAAAGTTTGAGAGTGCAGTGTCTCTTTAAGGGGACACTAAAATGAAAAATGGAATACACCTCCCATATCCAGAGATCAGTTAAACATGATCAACCCTATCTGTCATTGACAATCGCACGCTTGTATTCTGAATGGATGGCTATATCTTTCGTTCCAAACGGCCCATCCTAGGGAGCACTCGTAGAGCCGCCGTCGGAGAGCGTGACGCGTCACGGGGGACTGTGGCCTCGTGTCTCCCAGCACGGGCAAGGCTACGAGAAGGCTGACGTGGCTACGAGCTTTGCCACTAGGTGGCGTTGATGCGTTACAACCTAGCCATTCGAGATGCCCCAGGTCCGGTTGGGCAATGCCAGCAGGAGGGGAAAAAGAGACTCAACCGCTCTTCAACCTTCACCGACCCCTCCGTCTCGGCCCGTCTCCCCGCAGGAGTTGAACGGGCACGGGAGAAAAGAAAAATTCGGCTCAGCCAAGTCCAACAGGAACACGCGCATGCGACTTGCTGCCGTACTTTCGTGGAGCGCCGCCGATATTTTGGGAAGGGGGAGGTAGCGACATCCCAGGTAGCTTTGGGAACGTCCACCAAGGGCAATCTGGTAACCGGTTTATTCGTTCAAAATGATGATGTGGCGTCTTTCCAAACAAAATATTGGCTGTCTCTGCAGTGTTGCCAGAATATAGTTGAGATCCAGATAATAAAATACGTCCTAGAATTTTGTTTCAGCACCCCTTGAAAGGGACACTAACACCCCCCAAAAATTTTTTTTAATTTTTTGCCAGGCGATTTATTATGGTGTCGGAATACTACCCAATTAATACTTTGCTACAGAGTCACACATATTTTTAATAAAGCCAAAAAACGCAACTGCTCGAAACTGAAACCGAAACCCACGCACCGCACGGAGATGTGGAGAGGAGAGAGTGAGCGGCAGAAGTCACGTAGCTACACCCGACCGTGCAATTGTTTTTTGTTTTTTTTTCTTCCGGATGCAGCAGACGAAATGCATTTGGGATCCGTTCGCTGTGCAATTCCTTTGCAGTTATGTTTGTTCCGCTAGTTGTTCTGTACTTCAAGATAAGTTGTTTTGTACATTTGAGTGTTGGCCATTAGTACTGAGTGCCCGTGGGGAATTCCCGTGATCGGCTCCGAAAAGAATACTCCCAAGATGTTGCGTGAAGAGCTGCCTCACATCTGAAAGTGGCATTGTGCGGCAGAGGTGTCAAAAATGGAATTCCATACCATTTAGTTCAGCGACGTATAGTCAATTGTTTTTTTTTCAGTGATAATTGTAAAAAAAAAAAAGAAATGTAAACATTGCAAAATGCTTGAAAAAAAAATGGTATGCCCACAGTAGGGATTGAACTCGTGCCCGCTGCGTGTGAAGCGGACGTCTTTCCACTGAGCTACTGTAGGAACCCTTTCGTTTGTAGTAATGCATCTCGTTGACTGTATGTCGGAAATTTTGCTGCCAATTTCCCTCCAGTACATGCACTCCCGGCTTGAAGTCGGGCAGCACCAAGCATTGGCCACATTTGCACCAAGTAAAGAAACCGTACGCGTGCATATTCAACTCTATGTATGCACTTCGTGCCTGACGTTTGAGCAAGCGATGTCTTCAGCCACGAAAAGGGGCGACGGCTCGGCGACGTCTTCGTGCAATCGGCATGTTGGTCGGGCGTGTCGCACGGGATGAATATCAATTCTTTTGATCGGTCCAAAATTTCTCTTTTGAAGCAAGACAGAATTCGCCTGTATTGTGAACAACAGTTCTGAAGTAGAGGTCCCACGCCCGTCGTCCGCTGCCACCCGCGAGTCCCACGAAACGCGAAACGACACCATGTTGAGAATTATGCAGTGAACGCACAGAATGCTCCAGGTTGTCTGTGCAACCTTTTATTTTATTTTTTTTTTTTCAATCAATGCATTTGCAGCTTTTTGGAAGCCACAAAATATGGGTTTCATATTTTTTTCTATTTTTAGTATTGACTGTGTGCCTTCAATGACCCCCGACTTTGGTGGTCGCGTCAAAACCTTAGAAAGCAGCCCGTGACCACGGAAAAGAGAGTGAGCGCGACTCAAACCGGCCAGTTCTCGATCGGCGGTGTTCGGGCGGAAAGAAACCGAATTTCGAGCCGCAAATTCTGTTCTGGGTAGTTGGGCTCTCATGTCACGTACAATTAAAAACTTCGGCGAGCATAAATACCCTGTCGGTGTCCCTTTAAGCACAGATCAGGCCAAAAATTCAGCGTTTCAGATGAAGCGGCCAGTTCAAAATATATAAAATAAAATAATAAAAAAAAAGCAGCCAAATGGGAGAGGAGGTTTTTCTTGCCTGGAGTCCCAAATTCGAGCGGAAAAGTCTTCGCCGCCAGAGTACATCCAGAGACCATCTTCGTGGAAACCGAGTGCTGTCACGTTCTTGGTGTGCCCTTCGTAGCTCACCACCGGGTTTGAGTTGGCTGAATTGATGTCGTACGTTCTGATGTGCTGGTAGCCTTGAGTCAGCAAGGGGGCAAAGAAGAGAGGGGAACTCAAATGAGCATTCGCAGACTCAACAAGTCCAAGGTGACAGCAACGTCCGTAGATTACGTTTTGTGTGCACTTGAGTTCTAAATCACTCAATCGTTCTAAAGAACACTTCTGAGCTCCCTTCTTTTCCCGTAGCGACATTGCTTAGAGCTCGAGATCAATAGTTCCTTCCATGAAACATCTAAAACAATTATAATCAAACATCTTACGAAATGCCAGTGAGCAGATCAACGGTTTGATTTCCCACAACTCAGACCCGATATCCCACGTCAGGTTTTGTGTGTGCAGCACTGTGTGCCATCGCCTTTCTTCCGTGTTTGACTTTTGTGCATGCTGTACTCATCGCTTGGAAGTGTTTAAAAACATGCTTCAAGAGTAGTGTGTCGTTTGTGTCCTCTTCTTTTTTGTTGTCCTCCGTCTTGGGTTTTATGATGTTTTCATGTACTGCCTTCAATTCATTTCAATCGCTGCAACTAAGGGCAGCATTGTTTGAACATAAAGAACTTGTTTCTTCTTCCAGGTGCTCGTTCACTTGAAGTTTATTAAACACCAATATAAACGAAAAAGAAAAGGAGAAAGAAACTCACCGCCTGCTGCAATGTGCTGTCTGTCCGGAGAGACATCAAGCACATTCACTTGCTATAAACTGAATTAAGGATTTACATATAAGGTGATATACTGATCAACGGACGTGCATAGAGAGTTCTGTGTCAATAGAACTGTTTTCAAACGATCAGTCCGTCACCGCACATGCGCAGAATCCCATTTCGCGACATCTTACCGATCGTAATCGTACGGGTCGTTTAGAAATAGCGAACATTCGCCGTAAGCAGGTCGCAAAGGATACGGAGTCCGCGTGCTGGAGCGTTCTTTGGCACAGACCGCTGTGTGCTTGCCAGAGCCGTATGCTATGATCGTAGCCTCCCGTAGCCAAGATCACCTGATCACCGTTGGCGTCGGTTCCCATATCGCTTACATCTAAAAATTAGGCGATTCAACAGCAATCGAAATTCGTCTGCCTCCTAAACTCCCATATAGATGACTACCCTGCAGAATCGGATAAACCACCCCGCAGTAACTAATTTTTTTTAATATCAATACACATATTCCCACTTATACACTTTTTATTATTATATTTATATTTAAATATTTTGCAAAATCATAAATTTTAAGTTGTTGAAGTGAGTCAGATGAGTGGGGTGGGTGGGGTGGTGAGGGGTTGGCGAAAGAGCACACAAGAGTTACGAGAGTTACTGAAAATGACCACCAGCAACGCGCACAAATAGAACGGATACCCGAGCGCACCACGCACCACTGGAGCCAACGTTGACTGGAGCGCACCACAAGTTTGCAATGGCAGACGGATTCAGCGGTGTGCTGCGAATTACCGATTTAAACGACTTTATAACTCCTTCTCAAGTAAGTTCACTTCTAAATTGTCACTTATATCGAAGTAAAATACATTCTAGAACACGTTTCAATTATCGCTTTGCGCTGACACCTCGTAGGTAACATGTTTTGACCGTACTAGCGCAACGTCGTGATTTAACCAGTCATTCGGATGGAGGAAATGGTGATCGTCGAATAATTTGGTAGAATTTCTTGTTTATTTATAGGAGTGTATCAAGCCGGTGAAAGTCGAGAAAAGTTCTAGCAAGCTTGGTTCAATCAAGATCGCCGAGGATGGCTCGTATCTGCAAGTCGATGAGGTGAGGAGAACCAAGACGGAGTTCGTGCTCGTCCGACGTTAGATCTTCGACGAAACTTCGTACTCATCTTTTCCGAATTTCGTTTTGTTCGTCAGACTGGAAAAGCATCGAAGCTTGCGAAAGCCCAAATAACGCTGAACGACTGCCTGGCCTGCAGCGGCTGTATCACGTCCGCCGAGACTGTGCTGATCACGCAACAGAGCTCCGAGGAACTCTTCAAAGTTTTGAGGGCCAACTCTGAACTTGTAAGTCTGAAGTGGCGCAGTTTCAAAAGTTGCACATAGCTTGCAAGCGTCGAAATTGCTGGGTACTGACGGTTATTTCTACGTACTGGTTTCTTCGAACTACAACTTTTGTGGTGTGAAACTAACAGACGACCGAACGCTCTCGGCGCATAAAATGCTGCCATGGCCACTAATGACGTCACATGCAGGCTGTGTATATCCTCCTTTACTACCCAAGTTCTTGCTGTTATTTGTTATTCAATTTTAGCATTATCCGTTGAGCATGAAGCAATTGAATTGAGCCTGCGCTTTGAAAACCAATGACTCTTACGGTTGTCATTCAAAGTAAGAGCAAAAGTGTGCTGGGTTCCGCTGGAATTTATAGGGAGTATTCACTGGACGCCATATTTGTGGGTGCTGTTTAGAGCGCATGCTCAGAACAAGCTCATATCAATAGGCTGCTAAGACCGGCACTCTTGATGGTGCTGAATGCACGTTGCAAAAGAACTGTGGATGCTCGCCATCAGCACGGGCTCAGCATTCGCGCACACAGCTATGGCCGCCAGTGAATACTTTCTACTGCGACATTAGTTCTTATTTGAAAAAAAAAGGGTCTTCCTTAATTCTTTTCTTTTATAAAAATGAACTGCATTGTTAAATAATAAAAATAATATGTTTATTGCAGGTTTTTTTTCACTTGTTCTTTGCTAAATTGTAGCATAGTGGTCCTAAGAAGATGCTAAAGCTTCAGAACTTTCCATTATATGATTCCAAAGTTATGAGCAATCAATATCTTGAAAAACAGACTGGGGAACAAAAACTGGACGACATGCACGCAGGTCCTTTAACCATGCTGAATTTAACTGAGACTGGGGAAAGAGAGAAACATCAAAACATAGAAGGAACAGAAAATAAATGGGACGGCGCTCCTTCTATGTCTTGATGTTTCTCTTCTTCCCCAGTCTCGGGTTAATTCAACGCGGCTAATATTCACCATCCTGCCTGCACCCTTACTATATGTTCTCTTACACAGGTCCTCTTTTTGTTCGCAAAAGTTTATCAACTTGCCTGCATGCTCCTTGTTATACAACAGACAGAACAGACAGACACCAATCTTCAAAAATTTCCCACTAGAAAATGGTGGCTGACTAAGCCGAGAAATACACAGAGCTGAATGACGTCGGCTACCGAGAACGTGCACCCCATTTTTTCGTTGAAACTTTCGGAAAATTGTTTGGAACTTTTTTTTAACGAGGTAACGGTTAGTTTTGAGACTGGCATCTGGGCCGAACTGCAAGCGTTACATTTGAGCGGAGACTGAACGTTCGACGATGCATAGTTTATTTTTGCATTGAAAAATACACTTGATTTTTTCGAGGGGAAACGCTGTATAGATCTTCCCTAAACATTTTTTTACCTTTGCCATTCCCCATCAAAATGATCTGGGCTTCTTGCTTGGCTCATCAATCTCGACCCGTCATGTTACCACTCACATTCCGACGGAACCGCGGCTTTCTTTGCAGCCGGTGGAACAACGCCAGCTGATAGTTGTCAGCATAGCCCCTCAAGTCTATGCGTCGTTTTCCGGCAAGTACGACGTCGCCTATGACGAAGCTGCTGCGAGGCTCACCGGCTTCTTTAAGCGCTTGGGTAAGGAGTTCTGCTCTTGAGTGGGTTACGTCGGTCGACGCCCCGTTGCGTTTCGTTAACAGTACCACTGTGGTGCCTGGAGCACTTGTCTAATTCGTGTGTCTACCGAGTTCTAAGTGACGTTTCTCGATTCCCACCTGATAGCGTCGTAGAAGTGTCACGCTGTCGCAACGCGCGATCCCGGTGGTGTCGCAGCAGCTGGGGTGACGTGGCAGACACCTGCCACGTCACCCCAACGTCAATCGATCGTCATCGTCATATCGTCAAATGAGCAGAACAGCTGTCACCGTCTAAACGCATCCTATCACGTGATTGTCGCGCAATTTTTTCTCTAGAACAGCTACGCCCAACTGCCAGGATTGCGACGTCCGACGGCACGACGCCGCAGCTTTTGTGACGTCGTTTGTTGCCACTTCGGGGCCGCTTTCGATGCCGCACCCGGCATCGAAAGCCGGGCCGAACGGGACGCTAAAAATGGCAGTCAGACACGCATTCCACTTTCCGTGGTACCACCGCCACGGTGTGGTAGAGTCACGACGTCTGGCAACGTTGCATATTTGCAATCCTCCTTTCTTTGCGTGTCGTCTGCATTTCACCTCAAAATTCAACAGCCCATGTTGAATGGGGGGGGCCGGTGCTTGTTTCGGTGTTTGACGCTTTCACCACTAGGTTTACGTGTACTATTTGACCGTGAAAGTAGACAGACGCCGATTACGGTCCTCGTCCCTTTTGCGCACATTCGTTCCTCTCCCAACTTGGGGGCTGAATGATGGCATGAATGTTTGGCCGACGCGCTTCTTTTCTTCGTGCGAACACGCTTTTATTTCCCGTGCGGTTTGTTAGAGCGCAAACCGTCGCACGTCCCTTTCTTCCGGAAATTCCCCAGGAGCACACCACGTCTTGGACACGACGTTTGCGAGGGAGTTCACGCTGGTCGAGATGCTGCACGACTTCTTGGAGCGATACCGGAGAAAAGAGTCGGATCCGTCTGCACTTCCGCTGCTAACGTCTGCCTGTCCGGGTGAGTTGTGCATGGGCTGCAGGTTTTGCAGTGTTTGTTTTGTGGTCAAATGTGCGGATATTTCTTCGTGCCTATTTATTAAATGCGAGAGCATTTCTAGGACCTCCGAACCACGAGATAACGTGCATCCTTCCGTAAGCTAAAAGAAAAAAAGCTAAATTTGGCTTCAAATGTTTTTGTTAAAATTAGTGGGGCAATGTTGCAATGTCACGTGACGTTACGGTATCACGTGGAACTGTGACAGCATGTGACACTTTAACATCGTGACTTGAAGTTACGTGACGCCGCGTAGCCTGATGCGATGTCACCTTGCCTCGTTTTTGAAACCACGTGACTACCGTGCCAAAGGGAATGTAATGCGATTGCATTTACATCTTCTTTGGCAGCATCCAGAGAGAAGACATTTTTTTTTTATTTATTTATTTACAGAAAACCCTGCAGTGCCAAAGAACCATTGCATGGGAGTGGGTTTTTGAGTCACATTATTACCTGAAAATATAAAATGTTTACATAATATACAAAAAAAAAAGAAAAAGAAAAACTGCAATTATCACACTGCAACAGCCATGAAGGTAAATTAGCAATGCGTTTATTATTCTAAAAATGATTCACCATCAGTTGAGACCATATCTATCATCAGATCATTTTACTCCGTTATGGGTCTTGGAAAAAAAAACCAAAAACTTCCTGTACTTTGTTCGACATCGAAGTATATAAGACATACGGCGAATACCATGTTGGGAAATATGTTAAGTATGTTGCACTTAAGGTACTAGTACTTCAAGTAGGTTTAATAAACTTGTGCTTTACTTAAAGTACATTCTTTGAGCATGTTTTTATACTTTATCTAAAATATCTTTTCTGGCACTTTTTGAGGAAAGTAGTACTACTCCCGACTTTACAATGCATTTCTCAAATTGGAAAACAAAAAAATGGCGCATTGTCATGTGAAAAGACGCTATCGTCTTTCGAGATGTCATCCGGTCATTTGCTTGAGTGAAAAAATGGTGGCATTAAGACAGATACAAATAAGTGCCTTATAAGTTGATTGTGTTAAGTAATTTGTCGGCAAAATTAAAACAACCCTGTGGCCACTTGACTTCCTCCAATATTTGCCGCCATTCCGATAATAACTGATAAACCCCTGATTACCCTTGGGGCAACGCATACCAGTTAAAAAAATATACTATGGGGGAATAAAAGGACTCTATGAAAGATTGTGTTAAGAAGTACTACTTGTACTTTAATTTGAAAGTACAATGTATTAAAGTACTTCGTTTGAAGTATGTTGTGCCCGGTGTACTTACTACTTTACTTGAAGTACATAACCTCTTGTTTACTTTGTACTTTACTTTAAGTATTTTTTATACATACTTTACCCAACACTGGGCAGTTGTTGCACAACGATGGAGACGGGGCCTGTCGTGAGCGTTTTCGTCTGCAGCGCGAATGCGCCCGGCTTAGTTGCAGTGTGACAACTTAAATTCCTCCCCTCCAGGTTTTGTGTGCTACGCAGAGAAGACGCACGGCGACTTCATCTTGCCCTACATCAGTCGAGCAAGGTCGCCTCAGCAGGTCATGGGGTCGCTGGTCAAAAAGTACCTTGCCTCCAAGATCAGCAGGACACCCGATCAGGTGACTGCTCTTAAAGAGAAAGAGGACACGCGCCAACCGTACAGCATATTAAAAAGTATAGGGTGTTTTTTTTTTGCCGCCGCCAAACAAACTCTTGGACTTTGAGAGCTAGAGCAATTGTCGAGCGATCAAAAAGTTTCGGTTGCCCCGCGCGTCGGACGTCAAAGTCTGCGGTACGTCCGTTTCCTCTCTGCCCCTTTAAAATGTATTTGACACACCAGGTGGAACGCTACTCGGAAAGGCAACCCAAACAGAAATGTGACGCGTCGTCTGCATGTGGAGAAAAGGCGCGTGGCAAGTGCAGAGTGAGACGCTTGCACGATTGGTTGTTTAGCAGGCGGACATGCCCATGGTAGCTGTGATCGATTCTACGGAAAAGAAAGAAAGTTAGGCGGCACTTCTAGTTTGAAGTCGTCCAAGGTGACAAGGAGTGCACCAGTTCGCCATCTACGTCACAGACTCGTGCAGAAGATTTGCAATCTGGTTTTCTGAAAATATTTCCTTTCTCTGCAAGCATGTCATTTCCGAGCTTAGAGGTTTACGATGGTGCCTGGGGATCGTTTCCCGTTGTTTGCAACAATAAAAAAAGCCTGTTGTTGCTGGTAGCCTTCAAAGGCAACTCTGGTTCGTTTAGCTTTCAGGAAACAACGCAGTTCTCTTTGGTATCGCCTAAAAAGGCCACACGCCAAATATTTCAATCTGATTCCACCTAAAAGTTGATGAAACTGGCAAACTAAGTTTGAGGTGCACGAAATTAACAAAATTTGCTAATCCTAGCGGGCGAGGCGCGGCAAAGCCAACAGCGTAGGCGGTACCACCGTGTCGGCGCAGCCCACCCTGCGCTACCTGAATCATGCTCGGGGCTCTCAGGAAGACTTATTTGCTTGTTTTGTATTTATTCAAGCAAGAACTACAGGCGGTGCTATCAGTGCGGTCATCGTTGGCCATGTGATTTGCATAATGTGCACGCGCTTGTGTGCTCCCGTACGAGCATGCGTCATCGTTGGCAGCGTCCGTCGCGTGCGAGAGAGCCAGTTTGCGACGTTGAGAATGGCATACTTCCACAAAGTCGACGCAACATATTCAATGTGGTTTACCAATCTCTTCAAAATAAGCCCTTGAGAAAACTTGCCTTTTTCTGCACTAAAACACAAGCTGCGGCCACTGTAGAACAGGCGTCGTTAAAGGGGTCATGAAACGCTTTTCCAACTTTTTCCTGTTTCGCTTTCCTCCTCAACTCATAAATCGCGCATTCCACCAAGCAGTTCAAGAAGACGAAAAGAAGCGAGGCCCCTCTCGCTCGGAGAGAGCCATTGCCCCCCTAGAAGATTAGCCCGTCGCTCAAAGCTCGGATAAAAGTTTCTTTCCCTACCCCGTTCACCCCTAAGCTGACAGTGCTGTGGAAGCTACGTGCTCCTTGGGCTAGCCACACTTTTGCCACGTGAGCGTGGCAAATGTGGCTGCAGAGAATGAGGTCAGGTGATGAAACGGAGGCGGCTGATTGGTCCGGCAAGCGCGTGGCTTCCACCACAATGTCAGCTTAGGGGTGAAAGGACTAAATGAGGTCCGGTTTCGTGTGACGTCAGTTTGGACCCGATGACGCGCTTTCGGGACCGCGGATGTATCACAGTGAAAAGGCAGAGAGGTTACGAAGGGGAGGAGGTACAAAATAGTCCGCTGTGTTTTCAAATTTTCGCACTGAAAGTCAGGCTTTTGACTTACTACCTTTTTTCTTTTGGCCCACTGAACGATGTGCTATTAGTAAAATCCCAATCTAAAATGATTTATCCCAACCCAAAAATCGTTTCATGGGCCCTTTAAGTGTAGCAGACAACACTTTTGCTCTTGCGTCAAGCTGCTCCCAGCGGCCTGGTATGTGACGTCCCGATTTGTAATACATGGTTAGAGATGTAGGTGATGACACAGGAGCAATGTTGCCCGCCGCAGGCAAGGTTTTGGTTTCAGTTTGTAGTGAGCTTTAAAGGGCAACTGCGCTCCATTTGGAAGATTCCGAGATAATGAGTGATTTCATATTAAAAAGCACTAGTAAAAGACACTATGTCATTTGCTTTGCGAAAAATGGGATACATATTGCCGCGCGCGCAGCTGGCCAAGTAGGCAGCGCGCACGTGGCCTAACGGTTATCGTACCTGGCTCCCACGCGAAAAGCTAGGATTCGATTCCTGGGAGCGGCGCATCTTTTTGTTTATTCCTGCAGACTAGTATTCTGGTAGATTCGAGAATCCTGTTGCGTGTTCGAGGTCCGAGTGTTCTATGCGTCAAACATTCTACGCCGATTATTCCAGAAGCTCACGTATGTACATAAGGGGCTCCGCGTGGCGAACTGGACTCGGTCTCGCCCTAGCGCTTGAACCTGCTGTTACGCCGACTTCGACGCTTGCGACGCTCTGTTCTTCTTCTTTGTGTTCTGTTTATTTTGGGCACAAGTTCGCCCTATTAAACGTTTAGTTTTCTTCAGTTATCATCGCCTCATCAATTGTCATTCGTGACAATATTGTAAAATCTAATCTTAAACACAGACAGAAATCGAAACCGAAACTCCGGCTCTGTCCGGCAACATTGGCCTCGGGCTGCCAAGAGCATGGCTATCACATGGTACGAGAAGTCACGTGATCTTTTACGCAACGACAGCTGGGATTGGGGCGGGCATGTGCCAGGCACAAGTGTCGTCTGCACTGCACTCTTCACCAGATTTTGGTGTCTATGACATTCGACGACGTCGGCACAACTGCGGCATAAGTATGTGCACGTAGTGCCCATAGTGCGAACAAACCTCCGAGACAATAATCACAGACGGTGAGACAACGATGGCGGTTGTGACGTGGGAGACGGCGGGACGGCTCCCAAGAAGTGCGCTGCGCAATCACAAGGATACCGCTGAGCGCCGAGAGGAAACGTTTCTGACATCACCCGTCACGTTTGCCCGGAGAAGTAAAAACAAGCAAAAAGGGGCAATGGTGTTGACGTTTGGCTCCAATGTTGGCTACGCCCACGCCTTAGCCTTGACTGCGCTGTTGGTTGCGCTTGAATTTGACCGCTCGAGTCAGCCGATTTCGGCAACTTGGAGAGTTGCAGAGTTCACCGGACCGTTTAAGAAACATTTAGACAGAACTACATCGTAATACTTGACGTGTAGTCTTTCTAGGTAATACTGAAGAGGACTGCGTCATTTTTTCAAAAACAAAAATGAAGTGGAGTTGCCATTTAAGTGAAGATTGCTCGAAAAATATTACATTTTTTGGAAAGAAGTAGTTGGGTACTCTAGCTGCCTTCCGCTTGCATTTCCCAGATCTATCACGTGAGCGTGATGCCATGCTACGACAAAAAGCTGGAGGCATCGCGGGGCGACTTTTACGACGAGATCTACAGCACGAGGGACGTCGATTGCGTCATCACGTCAAGTAGGCTTCTCTACTCGTCTCGCACGTCGAGAGCGAGCGTTTTGCGACGTCGCATACTGCTCTGCGTGATGTTGTTTCAGCTTTCAAATGCATTTTCCTTGTGCATTTGGGGGGGGAGGGGGGGGGAGAGAGAGAGAAAGAGAGAGGGAGGGGGGGAGCCAATCATTGTGCCCCTAGTGACTAAGTTGTGAACTAAACCTACGGGGACAACAACGACATTACCTATTTGTTCTCCTGGCCTCCCCCTTTCCCTTCCCCCAAAAATAAACAACTACTTGTCTGTGTTCTTGATGTATAATTTGCACACTTCCCGAGTTTGGAAAATATTAATAGTGGGCGCTTTAGTGAAGTGGGTGTTTTCGTGGTATTTCACGGTAGTAACAGTTTTGGAAACCGGTCCTTTTTTGGGAGGCTTTATATTTCCTATCCTCAAAACAACAATGGATAGTTAGTTCAAACTGCTTTATAGAAATTACAAGCATATACTAGACAAAGAAAGGTGTTTCACTCCAGATGTAGTTACAACGTTTTTTTGTTTGTTTTTGCTGATGTGTGCACATGCTTTATCAGAGCTGTCTATTTAACTATTCATCTTTAAAAAAAATCATAATTAGCCTTAGGACACAGGATGATCAGCATGTTTTGAGCTGAATTAATTGAGTTTTGAATTGGTGCGTCATTATGTATATCGTAATATCCCGAGATGCCCAAACTCCAAAAGATAACCCGCCCCCTTTTTTCGACATGATCTCCTATTTTTCCAACAACACTGAATGATATCCCACTTCTAGTACCTGCAGGGCCCTGGCCAATGGTGACATCAGCAGAGATGGTGTTACTTAGCCACGGCAGGGGATAAGCGAACATTGCTGACTGGGAAGGGCAGCCGTCTTTGGTCAAAAGTCAAAAGTTTTGCAGGTCACAAAATATAAAACTAGCACTTTTTCCAACTTTTTTTTGTTGCACACCAAATGTTAGCTCACTCTTTATTTTCACCCTATTTGCTTTCGATTTTAGGTGGGCCATCTCTCAGGATATTACAATATACAAATCTGATTTTCGCACTAAATTTAGTGGGGCTGCGTTTCACCCCCTAGAATCATCAGAAAAACCTGAATTGGTGCGATTCTACACAAGTTACGTTTCCCTGCTGGGTTTAGCCGGGAAATTGCACGTTGCACTTCTGCGTCACGTTTGCATCGCATGCTCTTTCGTTACTCACTTCCGCTACACTTTTTGGGGGGACATGTTTTGTCTTGTTACTTAACCTTAACCCTGTACACATTCCACCTAAAACAAAGTGTACGAGGCTGAGGAATTCCCGGAAGGGTACAGCTTCATGAGAAGTTCAAGGAACCAGAGCTTGTCTTTTTGCACTTAATCAAATTGTTACGTGGAGCGCAAGTTCATCTGCTTCTTTGCAGGGGTTTCGGTGACGTCAGAACTCCGAGCTCTGATTGGCTCTGAATAGAGGATAGTGGGTAGACCTCGAGGTCTACCCACTATCCTTTCAATCAAAACCAATCAGATCTCGGCGTCATTCTGGCGTCACTGCAACCCGTGTGCGAGGAGCGGACAACTTGCTCTCCGCATAGCTTTATTTGAACCTTCCTGGTTGTTCAAATACTGAGCAGTTCTTGTCTGGTGGTTTTGTGACTGATAACCTTCAACGTTTCCCCGGACGGCTTTCTTTCACAGTCGAAGTGGAGTCCATGCTTGAACGAGAGGCAACCAGCTTTGGAGAGCTCGAACCATCCCCATTGGACACCCTGTAAGTGGACCGAAGGGTCGCCATGTTCCGCTGATCTTGGTACGGCGCGGCACTGCGTTTTTGTAGTTGCATTTCGTGCACAAAAAAAAAACACGAAACGTAAAAGGTTCTTTAGCACCTGTGCAAGCTCAATCACGGAGGAGCATTTGTGAGACGCAAGTCCACTAGCGAGCGCCACCAGTAATGCGAAGCGCGTGAATTCTTTTGCACGAAAAAGAAAAAAGGTATTGTGTTTAAATTTTCTAAAGATTTATCTGTACACTAGTGTGCATACGTCGTGGCCGCAATTCGAAGCATGATCATTAGGAGGCCCGCAAATAGTTGTCGGAATAAAACAATGCCGCATTATTCTAAACTTTTGCGGCGCACGGGAAAGCCATGCCATGTTGGCTCTCTCTACGGTGTTAAAGCCAGCGGCGACTGCTGAGCTTTACTTGATTCAAACCAATCTTCGTGCACCCCTAATAATCAAACATTTAAATGTTAGTTCTAGTTGCCAGATAAGGAATCTCAGAAAACCCTTAACCTTTCAAGGGTCGCTCAAACGTATCCGTTGCGACGAAAGGGGCCTTTTACTTTTAAGTGAATACGGTGGCCCGACTGAGGGGTGAAAATTAAGTTCTCAGTGGACGAGAGGCTACTCGCACAACTTAAAGAGCATGTCTGCCTTTCCAGGTTCAGCTGCAGGGTCGACGGAAAGTCCTATCGTCACGCCGGTTCGGGTTCCGGGGGCTACTGCGAGCACGTCTTCGTGCAGGCCGCAAGGTCGCTTTTTAACCATCGGGCTGAAGAATTGACCTTCAAAACTCTCAGGTGAACTCCCCTGGCCCGCCCTGAGCGTCCCTTTGTGCCCACTTGAGTACGGCTCTTTAAGCCGGCGGCAGCACACTTCTGAATGACTCGCCGAAGTGAGCCGGTGCATTGATTGTAGAGATTGGAGTCACTTCATTCCCGTTATCTTTGAGGTCAGCAACTTGAATATGCCAAAGGAACTTTGAGCCAGTGTTTGTTGCTGATTGTGAAGCAGAGATTAAGACAAATATTTTAAAATATTGGGCAATTATCGATGCATTCATTGCAGTGATTAGAGTCACCCCATTCTTATTATCTTTGAAGTCAACAACCTAAATTTGCCAAAGAAAGTTTCAGCCAGTGTTTGTTGCTGATTACAAAAGAAAGGCTACGATGACTGTTTAGAAAAAATGGTACCGTAGATTGATAATTATCACATTACACTTCTGCCCTAACATCCACCACAGCTCCAACATCAGTTATTAATGAATTAATTCACGCATTTGTTTTTTGTGCTCATGAAGAGCTTTCACCTTCGTAATGATGCACAATATACATATAGCAAGGGGAAGAATAATTCTAAAGATTATTAAAGAAAAAAGTTGAACGCAATAAAAGATGGGTTAAAGGGACATGCGCAAGGGGAAAAAATTTTTAACAATTATTTACGATATTGAAAGGAAACTTTCACAGTTTATGGTGCTTAATCTTCTCTTTATAAATCTGCTGTTAGATTTGATATAGCTTATTTTCTAGATTCTCGACGCAGTGTACATGCAGAAAAAACATGTTCTTGTGCACACGTGAGGCATGGCGATGCACTTGAAAGAGTCTAGTAAAATAAACTAATACGCTCCTTATAAACCACCAAGTGCAGTGAACAACAAAAATAATTTGTGTGACGCTTCTTTTATTTTAAAATAATTCAAAATAGCAAAAATGCCATTTCAAGGGGCTAACAGATGTTTCCTAAATTTATCATAAATATAAAAAGTATACATTCTAACCAAACCTAGATAGTAGCATTCTACGTAATTCTAAAGTACATGCGTGTCAGATTTGGTTGTGATAGGACAATATTAAGAACAGAAATTCTTGTGCACAAACTGGGAAGATGCCCCAAAATTACATAAAAAGAAAACATGCGCTCGTATTTTATCATAGATGTGTGGCTATACTCTTTAGTCGTGGAGAAAATATTGTAGTGTTAATAAATTTCCGTGAGAAATTGATGCTACAAAAGACTGCAATGGAGAGGAGACGGCTAGGCTTACTTGTCGACGTAAACGTAGTAGCGGGCAACGTCACAATTTGGAAGAACCACCCTGAGAAAAATGACTCAAATTCAATGTGATCTGGGTTCCCTGAGGGTCTTCAAATGTGTATTTGACTAAGTTCGCGGTAATAACCGGCAATAATTATTTTATACATCAAATATAAAGGTTCAAAAATAATAAAACGCCATAAAACCAAAAATCAAATTTTTGCAAAATATTGCCGTTCTTTTTTTATTAGCATCTCCCCTTGAGAACGTCAATACATGGAGCATCGATGGTATTTTACATGTTCTGAATGTGTGTCATAGATAGGGCAAGTCTGAAAAATTTGATTAACATAAACTGTAAAAAAAATTCACAAGAATCCTCTTGGAACATAAATATTAATCACTGAAGTTACATCAGGACAACGAATTACTCAGTGAAGGCATTTGAACAAAAATATGAAATCTCTGTCGCATCGTTTAGCACTCAAAGTAGGACAGCTACATCATTCTATGAGTCTTCTATATTCAAAGAAAACTGTACAACCGACGTAAGATACGCTTCTGGACATCTTGGGTGTGTGCGCCCAATAGAGTGTTGGTGTTTTTAATTCAAATCCCGTTTCTGTATTGTTATACATATTATCTCCAACCTAACATAAAAGTGCCCTTCATGTCACTACAAAACAACTCTGCAGAACATGATTCAACAACTAGAAAAAACAAAATGGGCACCCACGGCTCTGTTCGAGCACCCTGTGTGTTTGCACATCTTGGAGTCGTTAATTTGTGTTTCACACTGATTATTTTTTTTTTTTGTCATGCACTAAATGTCCTAATATATATATATCTTTTTTTTTGCAAAAATTAATTTTTTTATGCATTAAAAACACTGAGTGTGTGTCCAAACGTAGGACTAGTGGTCTGAACCACATGCCAAAGTCCCAGATCTTGCCGTTGTCCGTTTCATAAGTTATCAGCGATTTCAATAAATTTCTAATGGGAAAATGGCGGCCGACGGATAATGGCGTCGGCTACCGATAGTGGGCCCCATTTTTTCGTTAAAAACTGGAAAATTGAAAAATAATCCCGAAATCTTTTGAGTTGAATAACGGCAAGCTCCGAAACTTTAGCACCTGGACCAGACCGCTAGTGCTAGGTTTGGGTGGAGATGAAGCGTTCGGCAACGCATAAATAATTTTTGCAATGAAAAAAAACAATTAAATTGTTTTTGCGGGACACCTTGTATACTGCAATTGACCGACCCTACTTTTGCCTCGTTCCATCTCTCCTGTTACGTCTGGCAGGAACCAAGATCTGAAGGAGGTGACGCTGGAGTGCGGCGGCGAAACGGTGCTGAGGTTTGCCATTGCCAACGGGTTCCGCAACATCCAGAACGTCGTGCAGAAGCTGAAGAGGGGACGCTGTCCGTACCACTTCGTCGAGATCATGGCTTGCCCCGCTGGTACGTGCTGCCATCGTCGTCCTCGGCGCCAAAAAAACTGGGCTGTCTTCTTCCGCCGACACACGCTTTCCGAGAAATTTCGAGAAAAGTGTGTGGAAAATCGTAGCACCTTTTGCGATAATTTTTTTTTCTTCCCCGAGAATGTGCTTTAGTGGCCGGGTTTCTTTGTCTTATCTGATTAGTAAAAAGAAAAATTCAGTGCCCAGGTTTTTTTGTTTTTTTTTTAATTATTTAATGGGACCATATGTACATGTAGTGCCAAGTTGTCCAGATTGTCGCCTACAAGCTGTCCAGTTGTCGCCTTTCTTCTTGTTCGGTTTCATTTTGGCGCATCCGCTTCCGTGACATTTTGGCGATCTCAGTCTCGATATCATAAGTACAGTAATCCCTCGTTATAACGAAATCAATGGGACAGCAAAAAAATTTGATATAAGCGGTAATTCGACAAAAGCGATAGAGCCGAAAAAAACTGTTCCAGCGGCTTTGAAGGTGGACGGGAACACTACAGTACTCTCTGACTGTACGTTTAATCAAACAAACCTTGGTTATGAACATCTCGTGGCAGCTTTACCGAGTAAAAAAATAATTAAGTGGAGTTTGCCGATAATTTCACCCGGGTATCAGTTCTCCTCGACCTGCTCCAGGCATCGCAAGAACACAGTCACCGCCGCTGCACTCCACTTTGTTTCGAAGCAGCCATAAGATGTTTTGCGTCTCCCCAATCGTCGGCGTTTCCCGAGGTGCCTCTCCGACGTCGCTTCGTGTTTTCCCTGGCCGCACGCAACGCCTTTGTATCGCAGCATCCGTGGCAGGCGCAACAACAGGAACGTCCGCATTGACAAGCACGAACGAATCAAGGCTATCCTTGGTGCCTTTGCCAGCATGCTTTCACACACTCCCATAGAGATTGTTGCAGCTCCGGGAATCGTGCGCCGACTCGGGCAAGCGTGCTCGCGAAAAAAAATCCAACAGTCACAAAGCAGTCAGCGATTTTTCATCTTCGGGTCACGGGCACGCTTTCTCTTGCATGAGAAACTTCTCGAACCCATGCAACACCTTGCTTGTTCCGCAAAGTGATGAACAGTGTCGAACAACCGATGCCGGATTGTCGAATTCTTTGGCTCTTTTCGACTTGGGCCAGCCACTTTTCTCGACCTCACAGATCTAAGCGAGTTTCGGTAACCACTCCCAATCTCGACGCATGTGTGCGTGTAGTACGCCGCAGGCACGCGCATCAAAGGCTTCTGAAGGGGTTATCTCTTCCGGGCTCCATCGCACCCTTGACCCGATTCCAATAGGAGGCAGCAGCGAAGGCTGGGAGTGCTGTGAGTAGTGTTGGAACGTGGACACTGCACCGCTGCTCCCTGCCCGCGTCCCCGCATTGGCACATCGGCATCGGAAACAGCGCTCTGCCCTCCGTCACCTGTTTACTCCGTTTTCGTGTTTGCTGTTTTCCTCGTTTGCCGTTTGCCTCGGTGGAGAAGGGGGATGGAACGCAAGGGTCTCTGTGTGCCCCCGTGTAGGCTTGCATGCTTTCGGCACTGTGGCCTTCATAATAAGCGTGGTCGCCCGTCGATACACTTAGAATAAATTTGGTTCAAAATGCGTGCATTTCGGTCAGGACCACTTTGAACTTTGATAAAAGCGATAATTCGAAAAAAGGGCTTTTGTTATAACGAGGGATTACTGTACTTTACTGAGCTTTTCAATCGGATGATGAGCTCTCAACCTCTGATTTCAATTCTGAGGAGCATTTAAAGTATGAATCGGAAGGGTCGATGCTTCGATTGCCACTGCCGCAAGAGCAGCCGACATGCGAAGCGAGCATTCCTTGCACAAGGTATCTAATTTGGAAACTGTAAATAGCCTTAGCAAGATGAAACAGGGTACGGATACAATGTCCATTGTTTCCCAAAGATGTAGCAGATAAGTAGCACGTGCCCATGGTTGCGCGTTCAGATGGGAACTTTCAAGTTCATACTGTAATTTACGCCATACATGTTTGGCCGTGACCGATAAAGGGTTAAACTTTGTTTCAACTTGGAGTGGCAATAGAGCCCGAATGCGTGTTGTGGTCTTATATAACGACCGGGGAATGTGGGCTTCACTGTAAACCTTGTGGTCACAGAGCGGCAGAGGTTTTGCTGGAGTTCTTTCGAACAGCATGCTTTCACGTTGTACAGTAAGCCTCTCTCTAGTGAAAGCAGACATTACGTAGTCGAGATATGGGCATGGTGAAGAAACGTTGCTGTTGGGTTGTAATACAGCATGCAAGGTGTTTACTGCACGTTGAACATTGAATGTTGGACACATGGAACTTACCAACTTACTGCACGTAAATCGCTAATGCATAGTTTTGTTTAAAGGATATCCGCGATTTCTGTATGACAAGATACTCGCGCATGGTTTGCTTTGCCAAAGAATCCGTTTTAAACTATTTTTCTAAAGTTTCAATTTCTGGTTAGTTTCTTGAGCATATGTTTTGGCCTTGAATAATTCTTGTTCGAAATTGTCTTTTCTCAACAGGCTGTCTGAATGGCGGTGCCCAATTGAGACCACAAGACGGTGACAGCAAATCATTGCTGAAGCGCGTCGAAGAAGCTTACCACAGCCTTCAAGTCAGAGCGCCATCTATGAACAAGGAAGTTTTGGAAGCCTACCGCGACTGGCTACAGCTTGAGGGCCCTGACGACACAATTGGTGGAGACAGGCAGCCAATCAGGACCGGCTACCATGCAGTGGAGAAGATGACAAGTGCCCTCAACATCAGATGGTGATGGCTCTGTTCTGGAATCTGTGGAAGTTTTGCATCACTTGGCAACATTGAAGGAATACTGTTTGGTGCTATCAACTGTACAGGACTTGATGGACATATTAAAAGTGAAATATAGAATGTAGAGTGTGGATTTTCTCTGTGATTATGCATCTGAAAGCTTCAAGTGCTTTCCTTCTGGTAATATTTCAAGTTGCATAACTCCCAAACAAATAAAAAAGAAACTCTTGACCATTAAATGTAATAATTACAATGCTTGCTTTTCGCATCTTTATTCAAGCAAAACAAAAATGGAATGAATTTATGGAATTTATAAACGCGTTGACGACCTACGCAATCCCAACATGAATTATCTTATGAATATGCTTTGGTCATATGAGCTAATGAAAACGTGCAAAAATATATTTAGTTTATTTCCTGTGAAGAATATATTAGGGTTTCGGAATTTGTACAAAGCACACAGCCGCGCAGTGTGAGTGGAAGCTCCTCCCAACTCTTTCCACTTCAACAGAGCGAACCCTGGAAAGGGTTCTTCGGTTCCGAGTTAACTCTATGTTCGGTTCGCGGGTTCGCTCTGCTAAAGGGGAAAGGGTAGGCGCTGTTCCGTTCATCACATGTCAAAAAGTCGTGACGTCACACGCGCCTTGTTCCGTCGATCAAGCGGCAGAAAGTTGTGACGTCACTCGCGCGATTTCGTCTGCCGAGAACACTTTTTGAACGTGGCATGAAACTTTGCACGGCCAAAGCGGCCAAAGCGCTGACAACTGGGTAAACCGCGGACACACAGGCTGGCGATGATGTGACAACGACACTGTGTAGTCCCGTTCGGCGCTAACAAAGAAATGGGGCTCGCCTGATGCTTCTCGTGTTTCCCAAAGGGTGTCGTTTGACAACCATTGTTTCCTGCTCAGTTTGGAAAAACGGGATCCGCTCAGATGAGTTCGCCAACGTTGGAGGTAAGTCAGTCAGTCTTCACGAACGCTCGGCCGCTTCGGCATTGTCACTTATGTAACGTGTGACACCATTCACTTCATTCACAGTCGATCCCGTTGTCTAGATCGTACGCAATAACTGTCTCGTTTCTGCGCTGGGAAGCGTTCTCGGGCAATCTGTTTGCGAAACGCCACCACCAAAAAAAAGACGTTACAAGTTACAACAGTGACTATTTTTTTTTTCCTGACCACGTATCTAACCCAACAGTTGTCTTATGGTGCACGATGGAAAAAACATTTAAAAAGAAAAATTCGACTATCGGCACGATTTGCAGCGGATGTGTTTGAATGTCCGAAGAGATTATTTGAGCGATATTTGAGACCGTGACTGTATCGTTTCCGTCGCTGGCGTCGCAGCACAGCACACACAATACGATGAAAGCTGTCTGTGAAAGTGAGTTGTTTATCTGTTCTGTCGTTCGCTTATAGTTTCGTTTCTCGCACGCCAGACCTACCGTTTTGATTGCCGGTACCGCGGTACCAAGAGAAAACTAAAGAAAACTAGCTATTAATAATAACAATGCTTTATTCGGTTTATAAAAACCCGTATGACAGAGAAAAGGCTTTTGCCCATGCCATGGAGGCTCACTGTACCCGCCACTAAGATAAATAATATAAATAGTAAAAAATCACACTGCAACTTTAGGCTGGATTAAGGTCTCAATGTCTCTATCATCATAGTTATTTTAGGTGGAGGGTTGCACACTTGCAGAACTCCTTTATGTGCTCTTTTTCATCAAATGGCCCTCGCATAACTTTGCTTGGGAGGGAGTGCCAGAGCTCGGTGGTTCTATACTCTATTTCACCTTATAATGTACTGCAGGAAAGGCTACAAGCGCGAGCTCTTTGCTCTGGGGCACGTCTCGGCGGCACAAGCTCTCGTGCACCAAGGGCAGCTGCTAACGCTATGAGCTCGTCCTTCTAGCCTTCGCTGCGGTACAACATAAGGTAAAACAGAGTATAGACGCTTTGCACACGCGCCAAATTACAGCCGCCATTGCTGACCTTCGCTTGTCTTACTGAGATGCCGAGCAACTGAAACGGTAGTTGACGATCCTCATCAAAGGCCGATGCTTTAGAAAAGGACAGAGTTGAACTTAATATGGCAATAACCTGGCCTGCTATGGTAATGATGGAGTGAAATAAACGGAATAAGAGGAAACAAAAACTGAAGGTCAGTTATGGCGGCGTCCATGCACAGCTGCTGCAAAGCGTCTATAAGGAGGAACATATTTTTGTGACGCTATGCTCGTTCGAGGCGTGGCTGTAGTCCTCCATAGCGATTCTTTCTCACATAGTATGGGAGGGCTGTCAGCCAGGCAGGTTAGGAGGCAAAGCGAGGCCTCCTGTCTACGGAGATACAGGCGGTTCCACTCGACGCCTCCGAGGAGTTTGGAGGTGGGGAGTGGGAGAGAGGAGGAGCCTATCACGTTGTCCCCGTCGTCGTGTAAGCCGAGTTAACGATCACGAAATGAAAACGAGGAGGAAACAAAATTTTCCAAGCCCGCATGCTCGCCGGTCAGGCCGTGTGTTTGCTAGAATGGGCATCATCTATATTTTCACGTCGAGAAGGTACAAGCAAAATGCCTCGAGTTCTCCGAAGCAGGTGGTGGGCCTCTTTGAATAGTGTGACCTCTGTACTCCGTTCACCCCTAAGCAGAGACTGCAGTGGGAGTTACGTGTCCGCTGGACCAAATCGGCCGCCTCCCTTTCTTCACCTGACCCGGCTTTGCCGTCTATTGGCTAGCACAAGAACGCTACCTATCCGCATATATTATAAGCATTGTTCTTTTGCCATGTGCTTGAACCAATATAATGAGACCCTTCTTCGTAGAGAGTGATCAGATTTTATCTTGCAAATACCTTCAGCTTATGTGGAGTGCAAGTTTGTCTGCTTCTTTTGCAGGGGTTGTGGTAATGTCAGAATGCCGATCTCTGCTTGGCTCTGATCGAAGGATAGTGGGTAGACTTCAGAGCGAGCTGCCTTAAAATCTACCCACTATCCTTCAATCGAAGCTCGGCATTCTGATGCCACCGCAACCGCCGCAAAAGAAGCAGACAAACTTGCGCTCGGCATAGCCGGTTACAGGGTAAGAACCCAGTAGATGCCGTGCCTCCAGCAGATGCTTGTTGCCATCCATTGGGCTTTGACTGGGCGTGCTCGCGTGACGCCAAATTGTTACCCGAGTTAGAAAGCTGGTGCCAGAGGCAAAGCTTCCGGTGCTTTCTTAGCTTGCATCTGACTATGGCGTGCTCTGCATTTTCAGTCGTTCCTGCCATTGTGCAGCACGATCGGGCCCTCTAATCAGTACTTTGGTGTGACATTTTGAAGTTGGCGAGTGGTTTGTAGCAAAGGTGGACTGCTTTTAAAGATTCCCACTGGATAATCTTGTCCAAGCTATGGGCTTCGAATTCCAAAGGGTGAACGGAGTATAGGTGGCGCAAGCTGCTGCCTGATCCAAAGGGTTCAACCATGTGCATCTGTCCATTCTTCCACCCTTTTCAGGCTTCAGATAATGAGTACCAGAGCTGCGACAGCAGCCTGAGCGGCGAAGCGATGAACGACGAGGCTGCCGCCTTGGGTAAGCCTGCACCAGGGCCTGTGAACTCCAGTCCCCTTGACTCTAGTTTATAGATCCAGGAGTCACTATACTTGCAAATAGAGCCACTAAATACAGACTATGCATAAGAGTAACGTAACTGAATCCTGACTGCTGCATGGAATGAGCATGGCCGGTCGTCGCTGGCCATCACGTGAGTTGAAAGAAAGAACTCTCATAGTCATGTTAAAACTGCTAAAATCTGCAAACAAACAAAGTGTTCTATCCAAGTGCCTAATTTTTCTAAAGCGAACGACGAAAGTGTGCTAGATTACCTCGATCTGTCATTTTCTCGGTTTTCAACTTTCGATCGTATGGGTGACGTGGATTTTTTATGGGCTGAATTTAAACGAATTGTTACCTATTGCTTAGAACATTTTATACCCAAACGGAAGAAATCAATAAGAAAATCGAATCCATGGGTAACCCGAGAGATCGTACAACTCAAGCGTAAAATAAAACGCAAACGTCGTAAAAGAAAGGAAAACGAAGAAGAGTTCCTAGAGCTTTCATGTCTTTTAAAGCAAAAGTTGAGTTCAGCGAAGGGACGTTATTTTTCTGAAACCCTACCGAATTTTATGAGAAATGCACCCGACAGATTCTGGCGTCACTTAAAACCTCGGAAAGAGCGATTAGAATATATCATTGAAAACAATGAAATTGTGACCGATCCAAAAGATATCGCCGATAGGTTTAATAACTTTTTCCATAGTGTATTTGTTAATACAGATGGTGCTACAGAGGACTTGAGCTTAAATGCGACAAGTAGTACTATGGGGGATATAATAATCACTGAACAGGGAGTCTTTTCATTACTATTAAATTTAGACGTAAAGAGGTCAACCGGGCCAGACGAAATACCCAACGAGTTCTTAAAAAGATATGCAGAATGGGTTTCAAAATACCTTACCATTATTTTTCAAACATCACTAAAACAACACCAAGTACCCCCCGATTGGCGCAGTGCGAGGGTCGTACCAATCCTTAAAAAAGGAAGTAAGCATAATATTGAAAACTACCGCCCCGTATCTTTAACGTGCATAGTATGCAAATTATTTGAGCACATTATTTCTAAAGCTTTATACGAGTATTTTGAATCTTCTAACATTTTTCATTCTAACCAACATGGGTTTCGCCAGAAACTATCGACGGTCACGCAACTGATAGAAACATTTGACGATTTTTCAGCTTCTTCTAATGAGAGAGGACAGATTGATGCGATATGCCTTGACCTTTCTAAGGCGTTTGATAGAGTACCACACACTGAACTACTTCATAAACTTTCTTTGCATGGTGTAAATCAGAACGTGATCTTCTGGATCAGGGCGTATTTATTTAATCGGGTGCAGTATGTAGAGGTTAACGGTGACCGTTCAATTGTATCTGAAGTGCCCTCGGGCGTCCCCCAGGGGTCAGTACTCGGGCCAGTATTATTTTTAATTTACATTAATGATATCGCGGCGGAAATAAATCAAGGGGTTACTGTGCGACTATTTGCGGATGATTGTCTGGTATATTCAAAAATCGAGGAGGAAGACGACCAGCGCAGATTAAGTGCATCTGTTGGGTCTATTCAGGACTGGTGCTCGAAATGGAAGATGAAAATTAATACACAAAAAACTGTTTTCGCACGAATAACTAACAAAACTAAGAATGTTCTTTCTTATACTTACGAGCTTGATGGGAGTCCTTTGGTTGAAGTTGACAGTTTTAAATACTTGGGTGTGACACTTTCTAAAGACTTAAGTTGGAGTAAGCACATAAATGAAATATGTCACAAAGCAATGAAAAAGCTTTGGTTTTTAAGACGGAATCTGGCCAGTGCTCCGCCTAAAGTGAAGTTAATGGCCTACACAACGTATATTAGGCCTACCTTGGAGTACGCTGCATCGGTATGGGACCCCTATAGAAAAAATCAAATTGGTGAACTCGAAAAAGTTCAGAGGAAGGCGGCGCGATTTATTCTATCCAAATACAAGCGACTTGATTCTGTCACAGATATGCTGAACAGCCTCAACCTCCCCTTACTTTCTGTCCGTCGAAAAATTGCTCGACTAAAGTTTTTCTTTATGTTTTCTCATCACCTGTATAACATTAACCCGGATTCTAGATTAACACATCGCGCATCGAGAGAACTCAGATACGTTAGCACTAATCAGTTTGAAGTGCCCAAATGTAATATTGACGCTTATAGGTTTTCTTTTTTCCCTAGAACTGTGAAAAACTGGAATGATCTCCCACAAAATATATTGTCATTGGACTGTTTAGATGATTTTGAGAGCGCCCTTTTGAATATGACTGGTTTGGAATGATAAATAGTAGTTAAATATTTTTTGGAAACTTCGTTAAAGATTTCGAGTGCTGAGAGTTCATTTTGTTGAGTGCTATATCATATATTGAATGTTTGTGCTATTTCAGCCCCTTTATTTTAAGTGAATGTCGCTGAATGTGTACTGTATTGCAGTCCTGATGTTGTATGTTTCAGTGCTCTTCTATACCCCACACCTGTTAAAGCCCCATACTTGGGGTGAACAGTATTCATAAATAATAAAAAAAAGTGGGTGGGGGTAGCATACTTCCTGGAGCACGCTAATTTTTCCGTTTGTCCCTAATCCCAAGTTAACTGTTCCCCAGTTTAGATCCACTAGAAAGCTGCAAGTAGAGTATTGACACTTGTTTTTCCTCATTGTTTCGCGCCACAACGACGGTCATTCGTCCGTTAGCATCATGTGACATTCATTTAGGTGCCAGCAGCTCGTGGGCACCGACCGCACTTGGTGCTTAGAGCTGCACGGACATGGTTGCAGTGGATATAGTTTTCAAATGCAACTCTTGGGTTTTGGAAACAATGTTGGGAAATCATTATAGCGTTGTTTTTTTCTGTCGTGAACTGTCCTGGTGATAGTTACAAAAACGAAGAGGTGAAGCAAATTGGCTTAGAAGGACAAGGGGAGGAATCATACTTTAAATTTTTTTGTTCCTATGCTAGGTGGCGCAAGCTACCGCCCATTATAAAGGGCGGTAGCTTGCGCCAATAGCATCCATCCGTCCATGGCTGAAGTGTCGCTACTCTGAGGCGTAGCTTATCTTGTGGGTCTATCCCAGTCTAAGCATATGTGAGCCATTCATTGACGCGTTGCTATACTCTGCTTCACCGAACAATGTACCGGAAGAGTCGCTACGAGTCACCAAAGCCAATCCACAGGTTGGAGAGTGTCATGTGACCTTCCAGTTGAATAATGCGTCGCATGGAACCATGTAGCACGCATGGAGCGCTGTTGTGTTTAACGTGGCTCGTGACGTTCATTGCTGTATGTCGCGAGGTGGAACAGGGTAAAGGAGCCAGGTATTCTCATGCTTCTATCCAGTCTGTGCATTCCCATTGACAAAGCTTGTAAGCTTCTAGACTTTTTTTTATTGCGGGACTCAAGATGCAACTGCACTGGGGGAAGTTGCCCCAATAGTCCAGTTCAGCTTCAAACGAAGCAACTTTGCCTGATGTCTTGACATCACAACAGGAGCACTGCAACAACAGCACTGTTGGTCTCCCGCTTTCACACGTGGCAACCACCGAGTCTTAATTTGTCATGTTTTGTTCTCCTCATTATTAACGGTAATTTCTTTTTGCTATTTCGACACAAGCTTTTGTTACTTCTAGGCCTTTAAATGGTGTTGAGATTACTGACCAATCTCTCCGAAGCCACTTACCTCGGAAACTGTTCGTAGCAGACCGGTACGAAATCAAGCCCAGTCTTGGGTCGTCGTTTTTACTGTCAATCAGGGATGTGAGGACACTGCATCCCTAGTCGGCTTCTGCTGCTTCAAATGCCTCAGGGTTGTGTGAATTGCTCACCTGTTTTGATCTGGATCCGATTCCAGCAGTTTGACCACGAGAGTCATTGTTGCGTTTGAGTCGCCTGGCAGCTGGTGACCACCGGCCATGCTCATTCCCTGCAGCGGTTAGGCCTCAGTTACGTTTAACTTGTTTAATATGCATTTGTTAATAATAACAATAATAATAGCAACTATTGGCTCAGGAGAGCTATGACACCGCAGAAAGGCAACGGTCTGTACCAAGTAGGCCTGCAGTGCCGCATCTAGAGGTGATGACTATGTAATGATTAAATATACAAGATGATCACGACGTGCTCTTCTGATCGTCGCGTCGTTACGGAAACCGTTGCCCGAGTCTAGGTGGTTCCAATGATGGTGTCGGGGGGGAGGGGAAGAGCGGTGGGGGTGCTTTGTCAAACAACCTGTGTTTCTGAGAAAATTTAAAAAAAAGCTGTTTGCACCAAATTTTGCCAGATTTCAGTGCGATAGTCAAATTCAAGAGACAAAAAGCCACGAAACACCACCTCTACCTCATTCTTTTAAAAGTGCTTCAGCTTTCCCTCTAAATATCGTAACGAGACCTTCCTTTTCGTTCCAGCGGCGAGTCCCTTGCCCGCCTTCTACTGCGAGTTCTGCGAGAAGCACTGCACGGACAATGACGACTTCCGGAGCCACGTCAACTCGGTGGAGCACCGGACGACCCTCTTGTCGGATCGAGGCAAAGCGTGGAGGCACAGGCCGCCTCCGCGAGGCATTCCGACGGAGGAGTACACTACATGTCTGAGGTGAGCGAGCATGGGCAATCTCGTTGAGTTTGCGGCGGGGCGATACTGCAAACCTTTAGCTGTGTCTGCATTTTTGTTTTGTGAAGTTGAGAATTTAGGGGTAAGCAAACTTTTGTTGACATGACTCAGCAAGCAAAGGGTGAAGGGCAAGCCAGCGAAACCCAAGAGCTCTGCCAAGAACGCAGACGTCGAGGTGTTGTGTCGCTTGTGCAGTAGACTTCAACGCATCTCTCAGGCATTCTTTTTTGTAATGCTTCTAGCTTTGCCCGCCTATTTTTTTAATGCAACTATTGTCAGTGACAGAATGAGAATCGCAGGCTGTTTCTTTCGGAGTATTTTTAAAGGTAGGAAGCTTTGCGCTGCAACTGGAACAACTGAAGCTCCTCCCTGCCATTTCCACCTTGTCAGTGACTGTGAAATGTCTTGTTTGGGGAAGAATGACCACTGAAAATAAGAAAAACTTCCTTTTAGTCAACTGCAGCCGCACTACAAATCGTGCATGTTGGCTACATGATGGTCATGCGTCTCGTTGCGCAGTCACCAGATGTACGGCCAGTGCCGCCTGGGAGCGCAGTGCTGCCAGGCGCACAGCACGGAGGAGCTGGAAGAATGGAAGGAGCGGCACCGGTACCGGAGGATGCGGATGCAGAAGGCGCAGGAGCAGCAGCTCGAGGTGAGGACGCCCGCCGCCGTGTTTGGTGCGCTCTCGCGTTCCACGGAGTCTGCAGGGTCTCGGAATATCATGATGCGACGGACACTTTTCAATAGTGCGTGCCATCTAGTGGTTGCTGCGCCAGTTGTCAGAGTCTACCGTCGTTTGGGCACGCACCTCGGTCTTGTACTGGACACAAGTGCTGCGTCAGCGTTCGGCGGGGACGCGAATCTAATTGCAGACTTTGTGTCCGAGAAATGGCAACTGTCCGTGTTGTTTGACGGGGTTTTGAAACAGGTCTGTCGGTTTCACAGTGTCGCACGATCATTGAAGGTGGCAAGTTTCGAGCAGTTGACCGGATGCTAGGACCAGCTCCTCCCAGAAAGCCCTCCGCACTTTTCACTTTTGCACAGCAAATGTTGAGAGAAGGGCGGCAGAACTTGAAATTTTGTTTTTTGCGATGAAAAATTAAAAAAAAAAAAAAATTGCCTTTTCTGACATACCTCGTTTAAGGGTTGATTCTCGTACCTCCAAGGATGGGCCCGACTCTTTCAGCAGTGTGCGGAAGTCCCATGGCTGGGAACTACCGTTACTCAAGGCGTTTTGCAGTGAATCCGAAATAATTTTGTGTTAAAGTCGTGGCTGGAAAATTTCTTCGCTAAATTTAGCCAGAAAGCTTTTCTGCTAAACGACGTAGTGTCGTGTGACGTGATGTCTTCTGGCCACACTGACATTGCGCGACACACACCGTAACGTGACGTCGTGGTCGGCGTAGTCCGTGTGTAATAGATTGTGAAGTGGCCTCGGCTGCCACCACACTTCATTTGCGTACACAACAAAAATGCAACAATTTTGTATTAATTTTATTTCCTACGACTATGCGAGTGGGTATTTCTGTCTGGTGATCCTCCTGGGGTCCTCATCTGGACACTTGGCTAAAAAGTTGTAGAGAAATCCAGCAGTCGTGATAGGCCAACGCCGTACTTGACCTTGGCGCCAGCCAATGCCGCCGTATCCCTTGCCGACCTATTTTTTTGTCAAGTGTCCAGATTAGAGCCCCTGTTGTGTCGCCGTGTGGCGTCATAGTTTAAAAAAAAATTGGGTCGTTGCGAGCAGGCTGTACACTTAGTGGGCCCGTTAGAAAACACGGCAGCTTGCAAAAGAGCGCTATACTCCATTTTTAAATCCGACCGTAGCCGAAGCTGACGCTATGATTCGACGGAGCCAATCAAGCAGATCCGACTGTGGGTCGTCGCTTCGCCCATTTACTTTGTGGGTTTGCCACCACGGCTAATTCAGTCGCGCACAGAAGAAAGCGCAAGATTGCAACGGTTCACTGAGCGGGTTTGGTTTAGTAGGTGGTGACAGACGCTCAAAGACGACGAGCACCTCGACGATGTACTTCCGGCTTCGTGCAATTGGCTCCCAGCGGATCGTAGCGTCGGGCGCCGTCGGACTCGAAGTGAGACGTCGCGTAGCCGCGCCTGCGGCCTTTCCCCGACGCATAGTTGTCCGCTCCCAGGGGAGCAAAGAAGCCTGCGCCAGCTCGTCCGCGTCCTCACCACTCCTATTGTCGTCGCTCGCGCAGGGCTACCACCAGTACTGCGAGGAGCTGCTGCGGCGCTTCTCGGAGGCCAAGGACCCGGCGGCCATGAACGCCGTCATGACGGACCAGATCAAGGGGCTGCGCTTGGTGTGCCGCCAGCCGCTCAAGCTCACCGTCAGCTCCAAGGAGACGCAGCACGTCTGGGAGTTCTGCCTGCAGACAATCGTCAGTGGGCTTTGCCGAAACGTTTATCGTTGCTCTCCGTCTTTTTGTAGCAACTAAAGGGGCACTGACACATCAAAATCATATTTTTTTTTATTATCCGCAACGATTGAAAACGATGCCGGGACATTACCCTCAAAATCTGAAATTTGGGAATTCAGTATTTGTGAAGTAAAAAAAACAATTTCCAAATGCCGAATTCGAAGTTCCCGCGCGATCCGCGCCGGTGCGTTGACGTCAAATATTGCGGACTCCTGAGAGTCCACTTTCTTTCATGACTCCCTGCTGTTGCCATGGCAACCCAAAGCAAGGAGGAAAGGAGCGAGCGCCGGCGTTGCGGCGGACCGGTTTTGAGCGGTGTTGCCTGTTTTCCGTGGGGGGATACAAATTCAGGAGACGGCACCACAACAAACTCCCGATTTTTGGTATTTCAAAAAGAAGGGCCGTAGTGCGTTCGCAATTGCGTTAAAAAACACGTTTTAGGATTGCCGTTATTAAATGTTATAGAGATGTCGCCTACAAGGCTTCTAAATTTCCTGATTTTTGACGTCGCCGATCAAAAGAAGCGAGGAGGCGAGAGGCGGGAAAATCAAACGCCAAAAATAAAAAGGCGCGCGCGGGAAAAATTTTTTTCACAATGCATTTTTTTTTGCGTGTCTATGACTGCAACTTGCATCGTTTTAGACAATAAAAAAAAATACGACCTTTGGGGTGTCAGTGCCCCTTGAAAGCTCGAAAAGAGCAGGGCGTGGCGCTTGTTATGTTCGGGTGTCATGCTTAGTGGATCGGTTGTTCGACATGTCGGCTAGCACCGCAGTTTCTTTGTTTTGTAAGCTGTCGGTGAACATGATGTGCTCATTATGTTGCCGACTGACTTTTCACGGTCTTTAGACAAGGTTTTCAGTCACAGAAGTCAATTGCACCAAAACCAGTGGCGACCGGGGAAGCAGAGACCAAAAATTCCGCTACAGTCACTGACGGGGCGAAAGTGGCAGAGTGGAGTTTCACTTGTCGCTCCCCCGACGCGAGCTTGTTAGCTCCGATAACACTTTGACTTTTCGTGAGCCTCAAGCGGTCACGCGTGCAGCCAGTGCATGGTGAAAGGCAACGAACGCGTGCTGGAGGCCGAGGGTTCGAAAGAGATGCCCTGCCATTCTCAACTTTTCAGTGACTATAGAATGTAAGAGGAAATAAAATATGACTGAAAAGTGCTAGAACCTGAGAGGGGCTGGTTTATGAGGTGGCTAGAACTGGAGAGATGTTAGAACCTGGGAGGTGTTAGAACCTGAAAAGGCATAGTACATGAGAGACACTAGAACCTGAGAGGTGCTAGAACCTGAAATTGCTAGTACCTGAAAGGTGCTAGAACTTGACACTAGAACAGGGATGGCCAGAGTGACATGGGGTTGGAGCCGCAGACAAAACTACAATTGTTCAGAGTGCTGCGATAGAAAAAAGAAGGGGGGTGGGGTGGAGTCTACTTTTAACAAACGATATGGAGGGAACAGTCTGATCCAAAGGGGAGAAGTATAATTGTCGACTACAACAAACAACATTAGGCAGAAGAACGTTTCTTCAACCAGCAAAAATGAATGCACGGTTCGTTAGATAGCCACATTATGCATATACTGTTCGAAATTATTTGTAGAACAATAAAGTAAATATGATCACTGCACACATCCATGTGTCAAAAAGAGGTTTGGCTGTATGTGCGTAGTGTAGCACATGGCTGCCAAGACTGTGTACATTTTTTAATTCTAGAAATATTTTCGTCTTTGGAACAAAGGAGGAGAAGTGGGGCACGCTTACAGGGAACTGCGAGTCGCATTTCGAACCGCGAAGAGCCGCACGCTGCTCGCGAGCCACAGTTTGGCCACCCCTGCACTAGAACTTGAGAGACACTAGAACCTGAGGTGTTAGATCCTGAAAACTGCCAGAACCTGAAGGTGCTAGAACTTGAGAGAGACTAGAACTTAGGAGACACTAAAACCTCAGGGGTGCTAGAACCTGAAAGGTGCTAGAACTTGAAAGAGACTAGAACTTGAGACACTAGAACCTAAGAGCTGCTTGAACTCAAAAACTGCTAAGACCTTAAAGGTGCTAGAAGTTGAGAGACACTAGAACCTGAGAGGTGCGAGAACCTGAAATCTGCTAGGACCTAAAAGGTGCTAGAACTTAAGAGACATTAGAGCTTGAGAGGTGCTAGAAGCTGAAAACTGCCAGAACCTGAAAGGTGTTAGAACTTACAAGACACTAGAACCTGAGAGGTGCATGCCCGTCCTTCCTGCTGCAGACGCCTGTGCGGAAGGCAGTGCTGCTGCGGGACTCCTTCCGGAGCCACTTCTTCCTGAAGCAGGTGCAGTGGAGCCTGTACAACCTGAACCTGCCCCCAGACTGCCAGGAGTGGGTCAATTCCTTCTCTCACGCCAAGGAAGCAAAGTCCGTACTCACCTACACAATCAAGGTGCGCACTCTCCTCCCGGCGTGCTGCCCAGCCACAGCCAACGTGACGCCAGTATAGTGGTGAATGAACCCGTGAACAAAAACATTAAAGGTGTTTCAGTTACTGAAACTGGTTCCCGTACCAAGGACACCAATATCATCTTCACCTACACCATTAATGTGCGCGCACTCTTCTTTATGGGCGTTCCACCATACTGCAGCCAACGCAATGCCCGTATAGTGGTGAACGGAGTTGCGAAGAAGCTAATTTAAAATGTTTAAGTTAGTGCAATTGGTTCCTAAACAAAAGAGACCAAATCTGTGCTGACCTACAACATCAAAGTGTGCTTTCTTTAGGTGCACTGCAGGACTCCAGCCGACAAAATGCCGGTGTAGCGGCGAACAGCCTTTAAAAGCCTATTTAAAAGTTTTTCAGTTGCAGTGATTGGTTCCCACACCAAGGAGACGAAGTCCATTCTCACATACACCATCAAGGTGCGCACTCTTCTGTGGGCAGGCTGCCCGACCGCAGCCGACGCAATGCCGGTATAGTGCCAAACAGGGCTGTAAAGTAACCATTCAAACATATTCAAACTACTTCTCTTGGTCTTGGCCAGGAACGTTGATTGACGTGTGCAGTGCATTCCTTTTCCAACACATTTCAGTGACCACAGGCCGCGCTGCATAAGATCGAGTAAAGAAAGAGTAGATATGAATGCAAGGGGCTGTAACCATGTGCAGCAATGGCCATCGCTGTCACTTTGCACACTGCAACGAAAAGCTATGAGTTAACTGTGTGTTATTGAGTGAAGGAAAGGCGTAAAGGTGGTTGTCCGTACGTGTAACAACAACTGTCGCCGTCACATCTTCGCACACCAGCAGAACGCCGTTTAAAGAGCAACTTTTGGGTCTCCGTCGCCGACGTTCCTGTGCGCAGGTGGGCTTCCGCTCGTCAATGTACGCCACCTACAACCAGACGCTGGCGCTCGACTTCGGCGGCTTCCCCGTGCTCGTGCAACACCTGAGCGTGGACACGGTACCGGCCGACACCCTGGGGGACCTGCAGCGCCAGCGCCGCCTGGTGGTGTCCGGGGAGTCGCGCTGGACCCCCGCCACGGTGGACCTGGTCCCCTGCGGGGACTGGGACAGTGGCGTGCGCAGGGACAGCATGGCGGACCCCCTGGCCCGGCTGTACCCAGTGCCGGATGCGGCGACGTTCCAGCTCACGCAGGCGGTGCTCGGGGACCGGCTGACCAGGGAGATGTATGTGGCACGCATGCACCAGCTGCTCTACGTCGAGGAGATGGCACGGGCGGACATCGTCGCACGGTGAGTCTCGGCGGGCGGTCGTTTGGACTTCCGTCCATGCACGGAAGTTTAAGGGGTGCTCCGTGTGTTGCTAGATTTTTACTGTGAAGCACAAGCTGTAAGGGTCAAACTATCAATTGGAGAAAAATCAGTTGCCTCGTTCCTATGTGTAGAGGCAAAATTGCGTAGAATGTGGATTGAGGGACCGTTATTTATGTTGTGCGGTTGCGTGGCTTGTAGTGGCACCAACTGCGTGACCTTCGTACGCGTGATGTCGTCAGCGTGATGCCGACCACACTACGTGACGTTGGGCCATGTGACATCACGGTGTAGTGTAACGTGACATCGCAGTGGGACACACTGACGTCACCTGACCTGACTTGACGTCATGGGGTTGTGTGACCTCGAAAAAGCTTGTGTTATCATACTTTCATAACGTTTGGTGACACTCTGAACGTGGAAATCGAACCATAAGGCTTCAAAACGTTTGTACCACGAAATCCGGATGCAAGAAGACTGTCAATGGAGAACCGGCCTCCCTGAACTTGTTTAACTCTCTTTCCTCTTAGTTGCACGCACTGAATGTGAGAAGTTAAAAATCTTTCATAACACGTTTGTAAGTGTAGGCAATCTTCACAACATCCGTCTGGATGTGATCAAATTGCCCGTGTCATTACGCTTTGTGGGCTGTCTTTCACATAAAACGTTGCGTTCAGGCAGACAATCGGTTGTAATAAAATGAGGGAAACGTACCTTCTCTCGCAGCTACAACATCAAGGTGTTCCTGGACATTGTGGACACCATTACGTCGTCGTCTGCCAATGCGTCGGACTCTTACTATGCGCAAGGCGGCGAGCTCTATGCCAAGCTGAACCTGGAGTCTGAGCTGACAGACGACACTCCGGCCGGCCGTCTGGTCTTGCAGAACTGCCGTCTGCTCTGGCTGTCGTCTGCCGGAGCGCCTCAGTCGGCTGGGAGGAAACGCAGGGTACGGACAAGCGCGTGGTCTTCCGAGGCAGACAGTGTAGCATGCCATACTCTAAGGACATTCAGCAGGTCGTACTGCCATGTGGTAATTGGATTTTAGGTACATATTTTAGGTGCATCCGTGATCTACACGAATCCCCGATCATTCGATGAAGTTCTCCGCATATTCGTGAAACTTTTCCACTCCTTGGTGTCTCACTATACTGAGAGTTACTAGGAGTGTGTGAATATCTTATATTTTGAATATGATTGGAATATTTTTAATATTCGATTCAATTCCAAAGTTTTATTTCTGATGAGGTGTGACATGCAGCGCATTCTGCATATAGGAGGAATGGTTGAACCGAAGGCAGTAACAATATGCAGACTTTTTGTTACTCTAGCTACTCCGGAGAATATTGAGAGTAGTTGCCTGTAAACTGTATGCTGGAACAGCACTAAAATAATTTTTTGTTTTTTTTTTTGTTTTTAAGTGGGGTGTATTAAGTCCCCAAGCACTAAACTACTTTCCTGATCTTCTTCCATTCACCTGAGAAGTTTGGTTTTGCTTGTTTCTCAGCACATGCTTGTTGTGCGGTTCATAACCTTTGTCTAGAGCACGCTATTCTCGCCAAATCTGTTCTTTCAGGTGTATGAGGCACCCATCGAGATCACCAAGAAGAAGTGCGTCTACCTCAGGTTGTCGAAGCAGTGCGTTGACGAGCTGCAGCTGAAGCCAAGGACGGAGTTCGAAGCCGAGGTAGGCTTCGCACATTCACATGTTTTTTGTTTTATATTCTAACATTGTACCACTCCTGCCATGGCATTCAGTCATGAGCCACAGTATCTCTGAACAAATAAATGAATATACTACAGTCAGGTTGATTTCCAGTTAACCCTCATCGACTTGGAAGTCATTGCATCCAAAAAAAAGGGGATGTTAACATATTTTTCGGATAAATAATGTCTCGAAATTTGAAGCGTACCGGCTGTCGGTTGGGAAAACGGTACCTGTTCTGATGGTTCCACATGTTTGTTTGAGACCGTCACGTGACGTCGCTTTACAGTGTCGCATGACGGTCTCATGATACCGTGACATCTGGTGAAACCACGATGCAACGCTGGCAGCCTTTTTTTATTTATAAAACCCTCGCAATGCGCCTTGCAGAGGCCTCCTTGCCGCTCCCGTGAGTGCCCTTGAGACAGGCCAGAGACAGCCAATCTTTTGTGATGCACCTTTTTCGACAGCCCTAGTTTCAAAGATTGTTGGCCCAGTTCAAAGATACGTCGTTTCACGGTTCGTCCGAGGCCCCAGGGTCATGCGATGCGCTTGAGTTTGCTCGCGACCGAGTACTTGCGACCTTTTGCGACGAGGGGAAATGTTGGTGCCATCTACGAGGTGCATTTCACTAGAGCGAAGGTTTTGTGGTGTTTGCGAGAATCAAATGTACAAACAATTTATGAGAACTGAAAAATGCCGAGTACTTCACAGCTACTCAATGGATGTTGCCAGTGTGTTCTCCTGTAGTAAGATATCCCAAGAGGTTTTAAGGCACTCAATCGTAAGCGGGTACGAGAGTCTGGACTGGCCGTAACGCCGCGACCGGGTTGCGTGTGTCCGTAGGTGCAGTTCCTCCTCGACCGGATCTCCCTGTGCGAGATGCACTACGCAGTCGACAAGCTGAGCACGCCGAACCTCGTCTTCCCTGACTTCAAAGTGAAACCGCCGACGTTTGACCCGTAAGTACTTTCGCCGTTTTCTGCGGATCACTCGCGGCCCCAGAAACAATTGAGGTGTCTCGTCGAGCATTGGGCACAAGCGTGGCGCCGCCATAACCCTAGTTCGCGGGAGGCGCCCGTCCAAGAAACGTCCCGCGCTTTGCACTCGTAGAGCTGCGGCAGGTTTTTCTCACGTGCAGGAGGACTAAAGTTCCCTCGATGCGTTGTGACGGTGGCGCCATGCCAAAACTAGCGGGCAAGATTGGTCCACTGTTTACCGACCTGCAAGTGTCTACGAATCCGTGTTATAAATCGAGCGCCCCCAATAACGCGTGCCGTAAAAATCGGCGCCTGTGTGCAGCAAACTCAAACTATCGTCGATCGTGTATTTTAGGGTCATATTCGACCTTGCGAAATTTCAAGGTGTAGCTCCATTCCTGCAAAAAATAAACAGTCACCCCCGACATTTTTGAAGGCGAGCGCGGACACAGACAACCGTGATGCCCGTGAGCTGTGCTTGTGGCCCCGCCATCTTCATATAGGTACAGTGAGCACTCGGTAACTGTTGTCTGGCTTTGACCGTGTGCTTGCTGCGCATAGACGGCGCCATGATCACGGTTTGGTTGTGTCCATCGCTGCTCGCAGGTAAAGGTGTAATTTTTCACCGGGATGAAGCTACGACTGAATATCTCACAAAATCCTCTGCTAAATTGTGCATTCAATGAAAGTTTCAGCTGGTCGCATGCAGGCAGCGATTTTTCCAACTCTTTTTAAAACGAGCCGCTCGATTCGGTACACTCTATAATTGAGAGTGTTGTCATATGGTTGAAGGAACGGAAGTGCAAAACATGCAAGGACAAAGACATTGTGAAATGAATGGCGCCAGCGTTGAAACTACGATGCCGCACGAACACGCTGGATTGAATGCCGACTCGCCTCTAAGCTTTCACTAGGTCGACAAAATTGCGCAAGTCACGCACAGGACGCAGGAAAATTGCTCGAACACACGTGCAGTGCAAGCGCGCAGCAGCAGTGGCGTCGACCGAGGTGTCTGTTGTAAACAAGTGAAAGCAGCCTCCGGCAAAAAGACAGCCAATCAGGGCAAACGATAGAAGGATATCCCCGCAAACGATGAAGCTTGGTGTATGATTAGATCCGAGAAATCCGACATGCACGGGGGATAATAAGTCATTGTTCCTGCTTGCGTCGCATTTTTCGGATCTAATAGTACAGTCGCCGACCGATTATTCGGACTTTGCAGGGACCAAAAAAACGTCCGAAGAATAGAGCAGTCTAAAAAATCGGCAGATTGAAAACCTTGCCTTTATTACTTCCAAGTGGGCTTAAAAAAGCCGTAAATAGTGCCTTGCTTCAGGTTACGCCTGCGTGCCTTGTTTTAGGTTACGCCCCCGTTTGCGTTCGTCAACTTTCTGTTAGCTTGAGAATCGCTGCCTTGTTTTCTAGCGTTACGGTCGAGTACTTTCTGCGCTTCTTAACGACGCAACGCGGCGGCAGAAGAACAGATGGGACTATGACGTCCAAGCCAGCGTTGTCCAAACGAGATCGGAGGCACAAATCCACGAGCGCAAAATGGCGGCTGGCAACGCGAAGGTGGGGCGGAGGCCCGAAGGGATAGAAGTAAAGAAAGCAAAATGAAATAATGATGATGACGTGCAGCTAAGTGGAAAAAAAAGGGCTAGCATAGCGTCAGCTAACGGTAGGACTCAGGACTACTCAAGTAGCGCTGCCAAATCAAGCCAACCCATTTACAGCCAACATATAAAATTCAAAATGGCCGCTTCTCGGTGGTGTTTCCCGCTGATTGCTCGCGACGATTTCGTCCGAATAATCGAACTTTCGGACTTCAAGCTGTCCGAAACATTGGTCGTGAATATGCACTATTTCTATGGGGTAAGTCATGGTTCCTCCTTTAGGTCCGAAATATTGAACAAGTCCGAATTATCAGAGTCTGAAAAATCGGTCGGCGACTGTATTCCAAGCTTTGTTTTTTGCTGGGATTCTTCTATCGTTCGCCGTGACTGGCTGCCTCCGTGTTCTGCAGGAAAGCAAACTGACCGACCTTTTTTAGAGTGCAGTGCTTAACATAGCCACGACGAGTTCGTTTTTTTGAGCTCAGTGCCTACCTTCGGTAATGACTGTATAGTGTTAAACAGCTTGATGTCAACTGGTGGCAATCGGTTCGTTGAACGGCGTTCTATTGAAAGATTGTTTCATCGACACTGCAACAGTTCGTCCATATTTAGTTTCACCTAAAGGTTTCCGTGTTTGTTTCGTCGACACAGTTTGCGACGTTCCATCGAAAACGTCTTTTTGTGTACATTACCGCCAAATGTTCAGCCAGCTTAACTTACCAAACTCTTAGGAGTTTTGATGAGGCTTGATGCAAGTTTGAGCATGAGGTTATGACTCATTTTCCCCAAGCGAAGCGAGTGGTAACCAAGTGTAGCACATCTTTTTTTTTAAAAACCTAGGATTAGAGCTCGCGGATTTGTTTTTGCTTTAACAACACCACATGTGTGACGTTGTTCCGGTACACTTCTACAGTTCCGGTACACTTCTGCGAAACAAAATGAAGCCAGTAATCAAATCGAATTCACCTCAAAACAAAATACGTCGTTGACAAAATATCGCAGGAGCACATGCTCACGAAACCAGTTTCCGCAAAGCATCGCAGTGTCGACGAAAAGTGCGTGCACAAAACGTGTGTCAACAAAAAGTTGTCCACGAAATGCGCTCCCACAAAACACATTTCCATGAACTGCGTTCCCATAAACTGCGTTTCCATAAACCGTGTCGTCACAAAACAATGCAAACCCCGCATCGACTGGCCCGGCGTCACGTTGGCAGGTGCGACGTCCTGGACTGGGACCCGCGGCTGAACTCGCAGCAGCGGAGGGCGGTCGCCTGCGTGGTGGCGCCCCGGACCACCCCCGGCGTGCCGCCGGTGATCGTGGTGGGGCCCTTTGGGACGGGCAAGACCTTCACCCTGGCCCAGGCAATGCTTCAGGTGCTCAGGCAGGAGGGCACCCGGGTGCTTGTGTGTACCCATTCCAACAGGTGGGTTTGCACTATCCTCCCCCGCCATGGTGCCCAAGAGCCCGTCTTCGACCGGTGCACCTACAGCGTCCCAAAAAGGGGTACCTCCATTTCCGCTCAACGGAAAATCGTAAGCGCAGACGTCGGTGGTCTCAAGGGAAAAAACGAAAGCGACAGAAAAGTGGAGAAGGAAAGCGTCCAACAGGTTAGGCGTGTTCGTTTGGCCGCAATGGTTTGGAGTTGTTTCAAGTTGGAGTTGGAGTTGTACCGTGCATCTGCCCATACCACACCAAGCGCCCATACCCGAATTTGTAAGATCTGAGAATGTATGCACAGTACATTGATATGTAAAATTGATGACCGGACAAGTGCCCATCTCCCATTTTTTCGCGATTATCTCTAAATTTTGAGTGGGTGCTTGCTAGGTATTTTACGGTGATTTATTTTCGTACGACGTGGGACGTGTATGTTTTTCCGCGAAATAAAGCTAGAGAAACACCAGATACAGGTCTTTGCAAGTGACGGTTTTCCTGCTTTGGGTATTTCGAACCGGCGCGAGCAAGATGGTCCCGTCGAGATCATCCGCATCCGTGCCTCACATTCCTTTTGGATTGTTATACTAACTTTATGAGTGAGAGAGTCCGTTAGCCTAGAAAACTTGTAAGTATGAGGCTGAGTGAGGGGCGTGACATGTACAAAGGATAGAGTGTGTGAGTTCTTAGTTTTGTGACTGGAGGGAGTTTGCTTGCTTAAGTTTGCCCCCTCTGGCTGTTACAGGGTCTGAAACCGTGCTTTTCGTAAGTGTTTGCCTCTAGGGCTTTCTTGTTTAAGTTTGAGTCTCGGTGAGCTGTGGCGATAGCGGTAAATCTGTCCGCCTCATTAGTTTCTGTCTGAACTCCAAAAACAGCTCTGTCTCTACTTTGGGCTCCTGTCACGAGTTGAGCTTTCACTAACCAGCACATAGGTAAGGTAAGCATGTTACTAACAAATTGGGATTATTGTGAGCTACTCAGTAGCATGCTGATACATAGCTGCTTTTCGTGCCAATATATGGTTTCCTCTGAACAAAGCTGCTTTCATTGCCTTTTACTGTGAAGCTGCTTATTTATAATCACAATCAGTTTTGAAGGCCATCGTTTAGACAACGGCCTTTTTAATTCATTCACTTTGACGAGGCCAAGCAATTCAATGCTGCATCGTCGAATTTGTACTGGAGTCGACTGATATGGCTGTCTATTTTTCTAAACCACAGGTTTGCATACCTTGCAAGTTGGTGAACATAATATACATTTTTCTTTTCATTTGAAACTAAGTGCCTTGTTTGTTGTGCCACTGAAGGGGGAGGGAGTTACAATGACTTACACTAGGGATTTATCGTGAACGGCTTTGCAGCGCCGTATCAGCATCGCGGCATTGCTTTTTATTTACCGCATGCCGAGACCGAAAACGTTCCTCGACTTTTAATCGAGAGAGATGCGAGTTCCACGATATCTAAAAGTCTCTCTTAAACAAATGAGTGGTCAAACAAAGCGTTGCTTGATGTTCCTTTTCTATCTGGAGCGGGGCGTGATTTGGCCGTTTACGGAACGCAGTGCTGCCGACCTGTACGTACTGGACTACCTGGACAAGCTTATCCACAACCAACCCGAAGCACGCCCGCTCCGAGTCCTGTACCAGTACCGGTTTCCGGCCAGCATGGACAAGCGGATGCTCCAGTACTGCCTTCAGGTCTGTTTTGCGGTCCCACCCCCCCTCATTCGTGCAGTGCTGCAGCGAGTCGCTGCAAAGTCGCCGTGAAACGTCTCTTCTGTAAATCTCTGTGCTGTTGCAAGTTTAATGGCAGATTCTAATGAAGCAGCTGGCTAATCTGGGCTTTGTCCAGTACCATCCAGTTTAATGGCAGCATTTAGGGAACGAGCTGGCTAATCTGGGCTCTGCTCAATACCATTCAGCTCAATGGGCAGAACCTAGGGAAGAACTAGCCGGCTCTGTCCAGTACCGTCCAGTTCAATGGCAGAATTTAGGCAAGAACCTGGCTATTCCGGGCTTTGTGCACTACCATTCAGTTTAATGGCAGACAGAAAAAGAATGTCAGGAAAGTTGACTATAAAATGGCAGAAATAGACTGATCTGATGAACCACTTTGGCTACACTGCCGGAGTGCGTCGTGGGAACTCTTCTATCTGCACGATCCTGCAACTTCGCTCCTGCTCTATACGGTCTACTGCCCGCTGCGAACCAGAGTTAGAGTGGCGTTGTGTGCTCACCGGCCATTCGGCGAGTTTGGTCTGATAAGGAGCTGCATGGAGATTTAGTACTTCCACGCGTGCTCGAAGGAGTCGGCTGCTACATAGACACTCGCTGCGTAGACACGTGGTTAGTGCCGCACTCCGGGACAAGCCATGGCAATCGGATCTTGAGATGTATAGCACCCCATTTTTTTTAACCATCTGACCGAACTGAGGATAAACATCTCGAGCAAAAGCAGAAGAATACGCGTTTAACATTTTTACAGCGGAGCTGTTGAGGGCTAGGTTGCCCAGGATCGTGTCCGGCATGTCGACACAAACTTACGCACCATCTATAAGCGACAACGGCAACCAGTCTGGTTGCCACCGTCGCTCCTAGATGGCGGCAACCTTTCAAGCTATCATAGAAGAACGGATTGGTGGGAATTCATCGTAGAAAACAGTGCGAAAAAAAGAAAAGGAAGAAAAAGAAACGCACGTGACGAGTGCAGCGCACGTCACGTGTGTTTCTTCGGCCTCGTCTGCTTTGCGTTCTGTTTCCTATGCTCTTATCAGTTTCAGTTTGGACTCGCGATGGATCGGCCGTGTGCCCTTTCTTTGGGGAAAGAAGACCAGGTGCGGAAGGAGTGGCGACGTACGCAGCAGCGCGAATGGGTCCGCAACCGCCGTGTGCGTCGAGCGCTTCAGATTTTCTTGCGAAAGAAGAGCACATCGCTCGCCTGAAAAACCACCGCTGAGAACAGAAGCTACAGCTCTGCTGCTCTTCCTTCTTCACCAGAGTGGAAAGGCTGAAAGTTTTTTTTAAGGACTGGGTGTTACGAATAGTGTAGATTTGGGTGAATTGATTAATTTTGTTTTTCTCTTTTACCCATGTATTACACAATACTCCTGTTTTTGTTTGTGTTTTTATTTTGAACATTGTACATTTTCATGCGCCGTTTATCCGCTGCTGTTGGGAGGAAGAGGCTTGCCAAGCAACGTCCGAGTTGCCTTCTTCCCTGCCTCCCCTTTTCAAGCGGAGAAAGATGAAGAATTTGAATTTGAACCTTCGCTTGCCGTACTTTTGCACGTGCTTGATGTCGAAGGCGGCATTAAAATCGTCGAAGCACTTCTTGGCACTTGCCACGAACGTCTCCGGCGACGGTTACTTGGGACGATAGGTCGTTCGTAAAAGGGTACACTGGGCGTCGTTCCCAAATGTAGCGGATCGCTTACTTTGCGAGCGCCGCGCGTTTGGCCGCAGGTGCCGAGGGAGCAGCAGACGAAGTCGGGACCCTGGTTCCGTGCCCCCACAAAGGAGGAGCTGGAGGCCCACAGAGTGATCATCACCACGCTGTCTTCCTCCAAGATGCTCCTCGCCACCGGCATTGAGAGAGGTGACTCCTCGCTCGTGATTGGACGGTCGGTGGAAGGCGGGGCTTCTCTCGCGTCTCTTTTTGGCTTTCGACGCGGTGCCAGCGAGCCCGGCCCATGTCGTTTCGTGGTGTCGGGATCTGACATGATGTTTCTCAAGAACAGTGAAGCTCTTTCTGCTGGCGTTTCAGACTAAGCGGACAGCTCACTGCTCTCCTTATATTTTTGTGACTGGACCGTTCGCAGGCTTGTGGCCCGGCACTCTGTGGGGAAAGTTGTGATCTGTCGGTTCGTAACATTAAGTCGGCCTCGCATGTCTCAGTCATGCTCGAAGTGTGCCCGGTTCGGAAATGCGTCTTAACCCGACCATTTTTATTTTGGTGCCCATTGCGCAAACCCTGTGGTCGCGTTTTTGCTACGGATTGTTGTTGCACCGTAAAAACAAACAAACTCGCACTAGTCTGCAGAGTCGGGACCTCGCTGTTGCTCCGTCAAGAGTAACGGAGCGTTGCGTCGTCGTCGTCGGCTGCCGCTGCACAGGTTTCTTCACGCACATCTTCGTGGACGAAGCGGCCCAGGCCATGGAGACGGAGTGCATCCTTCCGCTGGCACTGGCAGACTCTTTGACGCGGATTGTGCTGGCCGGCGACTACATGCAGGTGACTTAATCGGACTTCGGCACAATATCCGTATTTAGCCCGACGTCGGGGACATGTCGTGAACACAGGGTTTTGTGAGACAGTGTGGCCAGGCCCCGGGGTCATTTTTTTTGTTTCTTTTGGTTGTCTTTTTGTGCGCTCAGGTACGGGCGAAGCTGCTGCGAATGTGTACAGCTTAGTTATGCACTGGTTGGTAGGCGGCGTTTGGCAGACGTTGCAAACGAGTCGGCTATGGTGGTGAAATTATCACGAATCATCGGAATGATAGATTTGTGCGTTGTTGAAATACAGTGTTTGGAAAGTGGATAGTTCGTACTTGTCTTCTTGAAATTGAAGCTTGAGACTTGTTGAGATTGCCTTGCAGCGGCTGAAAGACATTACTCCAGGGGCATTATTTTGAGTACACACAAAATTGTCATGAACACGAGGGAATTTGACTCGAGTGCGGTCGGCAAAGTTGGTGAAAGCCAAACATAATGTAAATGCAATAGCGCAAAACAAGGAAAGCTAAGGAGAGGAACGAACAACACAGAAAGCAGTAAAAATATTTCCTGTGTTCGTTCCTTTTCCTAGTTTTTGTTGTTGTGCACTGTTTCACCTACGCAATTTGCTATTTGCAAGCAAATGCATGTGGTTATAGAAGCGCACGTTTTTGCTTCCGATTTTGTGATTCTGGAAAAATTGTGCATTCATATAGTAGTGCCATTTTTCTCCGTGGTTTCGAGGCGGAGCATCTCCTGCAGATATCTTGCAACTAGGGATGTCACAAAGTTCTGTTGAGCCAGATTTTTACGTCGAACCTTAAGTTTGATTGGTTCGACAAACCTTCGACCTTTTAACCACGTTCTACAAGGTTTGACTTTCTGGACAGTATGGCTAGACTGATGCAAGCATGTCTAGGTTTGGAGAAAAAAGTTTTTCATTCCGGGTTAGTACTGAGAAAATTTCATTCCTAAACGGTTTTTGGTTACGGTTACGGTTTGAGTCCCTCGTCGCTGGTCAATGTGGCACTTGCATCTTTATACACTGCTCAGACTGTTCTCTCCTCCTCCTCCTCCCCCCTCCCCCTCCCCGAAAGCAAAAGAAAAAAAAAAGAAATTCTTAATTTCGTTTGAAAGAATTTATATACTCTGGTGCCCCCCGAGATATCCAATACCAGATAATGTCACAGCTGTGACAATAGATGTTCGGCATTCCACAAGAATGCACCATTTTCTGAATTAAAGTTTTTTTGAGTGATTTTTTGTGCAAAGTTGGGTGGGCATGGAACGAGTGAGTGCAAACGTTCCTTCGAGCGACAAAGCTAGATTCCGTTTGCTTTACATAGATAGAGCTCTTGAAACGTCGCTTTTTTTGCTCGTTGTGTCTTATCGTTCGCCCCCAAGTTCGTAAAAATAAGTTTTTCTCCCCCCACCCCTTCCCAACGATGCCCTGTATGTCGACGTGTTCCCTACCGCGAAGTTCTCGAACCAAGCTTCAAACGGTTTACAAAAAAGTGGTGAATTGGGTAAACGAGTAATTTGTCATCCAGTGATTATAATTCAACAACGGGCAGTACAAAGGGCCCGTTTTTGCAACCGGCATGAAACTCTACCATTTTGTAAATCTGAAGTAACGGGAAAAGTACTGGGTTACATATTTCAAATAATGTCCAATTACTTTTCCTCTCAAGTAATTAATTGAATACTTCTTTAACCAAGAGTAATTGTAATTAAATACCTTTTTTAAGTAACGTGCACAAGGCTGGACACAGTTTAAGTTCAGAATCTCTGGAGGCTGATCCAGGCTTGGGCCGGATGTACCTTATAGTTCGACGGCACGGTTTTCGGGGGCACATCGGTTAACGCGGGCCTTGTTTTGCGGTGCGCAGCTCAACCCCGAGGTGTACTCTGTGTTCACCCGGGAGCGCCGGCTCCACGTGTCGCTGCTGGAGCGCCTGCACGACCTCTACCCGGACGACCACCCGTGCAAGGTGGTGCTCTGCGACAACTACCGCTCGCACGAGGCCCTGGTGCGTTACACCTCGGAGAGCTTCTACAAGCGCCGCCTGGTGGCGGCGGCCACGCCTGGCCCCCACCACATACTCTACCCGCTGAGCTTCTTCGCGGCGCGCGGCTGCGACGTGCCCCGGGACGGCAGCACCTCCTACGTCAACGACGAAGAGGTGAGGGAAGCGTACGGGCCGACTGGTCGCAATGAACAAAATGCCAAAACTTAATTACGACGCGTGTTTAAAAAAAAAAAAAAGTGTATGCGGCCGAGGAAATTTTGGAGCTCGGAAACCCACGAGAGGGTACTCTGCGGGAACTCCGAGGTGAAGGTGGCGTAGGAAGCATTACGCTGCTTTGCGAGCCACATCCACGAATGGGGAAGCTGAGCAGACGGTCGTCCCCTGAAGCTCCTGGTGCGACACGGTTGCTCAGGTGAACGAGATCCGGGACGTGGTTGCCAGACTGGTGGAGACGTGGCCCCAGACGTGGGGGCCCCGCAAGCTCTCGCAGATTGCCGTCGTGACGCCTTACTTCGACCAGGTGAGCGGTGGAATCCGTCTGGCCCATGGGAAGTGTTTCGATAGAAAAAATTAAGTTTCAACTTTTTGTTGTTTTTTTTTTTTTTTTTTTTTTTATAAAGAATTTGGGAAGGTGTTCGGTTTGTGAATCACACAGCTGTTACGTCACTTGAGCTGTAGCGACTTACCGGAATGTTTGCGAACGACCCCATATTCGCACACAAAACCGTCGTGCATAACAGAAGGTTGTTTGGGATTTTCGCTCTTTGTGAAGTGTTGCTAATCCTCCCCTTTATGTGGTTAATTAAGGTAGTGCTTGTATATGCATTTCAGATCAGTTATTTATTTTCTTGAGGTAGTCCACATTTCAAATCTTGATGCGAGGCTTACTTTGTGTAGCGCACGAACAGTCTGCAAAATTTGCTTTTTTCTTGATGGGATCACAGATGTAGGCAATTGAAGGGAGAAGTTTGAACTCTGAAAGTCTTTACAAGCTCAAGTATTTTTCTAATTTAAAATGCTCACCGCCCAGAGCTTTATGCGAAACACCATGTCATTTCTCACTTCTTTTATTGAACAGGTTATCTGCAGCGGGGAGAAAGCACTGAAGCAGCGTATGACCAATCACTTTCAGTAATTCAAAAAATCGAGTTTTGTTTTTTTCACTCCCTTTTTATATGGGTGCCTTAAAATCGAGGCTTTCATGCGAAACAAAAAAAAAAAAAAAATGTTTGGCGGCAATAAATAGCGAGTCAAGTGCACCCGAATTTCTCAATAGGGAGACATGACTTGTCTTTTGCTTGTTTTGTTCTAGATGCGATCGGTAAGGGGATTGCAAAAAGAAATTGATGGCTTGAACTCTGCATGCTGTCATAGTCTTCTGATAGAATTTGTTTTGTTTCGCATCACTTTCTGGACGTTGGTCGCCTTTGTAGCCACGTTACATAGAAGACACGACGTGCACAATTTCACAGGTCCAGAGCATACGGACGGCGCTACGATCTCGGAGGCTCAACGAAGTCAAGGTGGAAAGTGTCGCCAACGTACAAGGTGACGTCTACGCGTTACTCTTCCGTTTCCAAAGTTGCGTACATGTGAAAAAGTTATAAAAAAAAAAAAGCGGAAAACTTTTTAGGAAACAATTGCTGTACGAGACTTGAATTGCACTTTCTGACGTGGTCTCGCTCCACGTGAAGACAAACGAGAGGTTGGGGAAGGACTCCACCTCTCTTAGTCTTCCGGCGACGTTCTGCCATTCTTGAAGCGCGCGTGCCACTAGACGCACTTCGCACGCCTCGCCGCTTTTTCATTGTAAGCCTGCCGAATTGTTTCGAAGGTCTTTGTTCCGGACTTGCCGAGTTCAATGCAGAGCCGTTCTCGTTCCGGTTAGCAGTCCACGCTAAAATTGTTAATGTCCTCACGTGCGTGGTCAGAAAAACTCGTTCCGCAGAGGTCCAAGTGTCCACAGAACAACGCCATTCGGCATAACGAGACTTTTCGACAGCTGCGCGCACATCACTGTGCTGTCTCCTCTTTTTACGCCACAAAACTAGTCCCGGCATATTTTGGTCGCATCTCGCACTTGTCCTTGCGTGCACTTAGAAACGTGCTTTTAGGGGTGTTCGGCACCTCTTTAAACCTCGACGAAGGGCGGCGAGTTGAAGGGGGACGGGGTGGTTGCCGACGTCGATGCAGGCAAGGAGTTCCGAGCCGTGGTGCTGAGCACGGTGCGTACGCGCGCCACCTGCTTGCGGCTGGAGCGCAGCACGCCGGTCAAGGAAGCGCTGGACTTCGGCTTCCTGTCCAACGCCAAGCTTCTCAACACGGCCATCACCCGGGCACAGTCGCTCGTCGTGGTCGTCGGGGACCCCGTATCGCTCTGCTCCATCGGTGCCTGCCAGTGAGTCGGCGCTTTCCTCCTTTCGTCGTCTCTCGGTAGGGCTAGAACGCCTGGAACACGTCTGCGACCGGTGTGTCCACTTAGAGAAAGAATGAGAACGACGGAAGAGCGGAGAAAGAAGAAAGCTTGGGGGGGCGTGTTCGTTTTGCCGCGACAAGTTGAAGTTATTACCGACTTTACAGCGCGCAAATTTAGGACAAACACGCAACATACACACCATGCTGAACTCACACCTATTTTGTATTCGTCTTCTTCTTCGTCCGTTAAATCAATACACACAAATTGTCCGTAATTATCTCCTCGTGGCCAACAGACAAAACCATTACATATTGCGTTAACACTGCATTACATTACACAACATTACATTACTGTGAAGTCAGTAATATGTTCAACCAACTCGCCCCAGGTACACTTTTGACTAGAGTTGAAGTTGTTTCAGCGCGTGTGAACTTTATTCATTTTTATGCAATGCGGGACACTGGTGTTCTTAGATAAAACAAAGCCAGAGAACCATTAGATGTAGACTTTGCGAGTGACGTTTTCCGACGTCTGTGTCCTGCGTCTCTGCGCACACCGAAGCGTGGCCAGCATTACGGTCCCGTCGGGACCCCAACCGGCGTCCGCGTCCCCGCCGCTCCGAAGTGGCCATAGTGTGCCGGACCTTTGTATAACTCTACGTCAAAAGCGGTCCCTCCATTCCCGCCTGACGACGTCGTGGAGGCGTCGTCGTGCCGTCGTCTGCCGCCGTTTAGGCGGCGGCGCGGGGGTGGGAGCGGCAGACGCTGCAGGTTGCTCTGCAACCAGACGGTCGACAGAGATAGAAGCAGACGCGAGACGGGACGTCGTGGCGGTGGCGACACCTGCGTCCCCCTCGCATTTTTCGCCAGGCCCGACGGCACAAAACGCGCTTCTCCCGCCGACGCGATTTGTTGCCACTTGGGGACAGATTTCTACTTACGGGCAGAAGAGGACGGTAAAGACGCCGCTCAGAGATGTGTTCCAGGCATCATAGAAGGGTTAACCAGATGGTGAGAGTTGCTGTCGGCTTATGTACGGCGGGGTTGAATGGTTACGAGCTTGGGCTTCTAAGCATATTGAGGAACAGCACGGAGATCAACGCAAGCTTTTTTTAAATTTTGGGTAGACTCTGGTAAAAGACTGGCATGTATGTTGGTAGTGCCTGCATAATGACACAACCTTAATATCTCTCCGATATCCAAGTTATTATTTTTGTTTTGAATCTTGTGGAGAGTGTGCGGAGTTTAGAAAATGTACCTAATAGGTGGTTGCTTGAACATAGAGAGTATTCCCAAATGTATCTCACAAAATGACATTCTTGCTTTTTTTTTTTTTTAATTTAGTCACAATTAGTTTTAATTTTTACTTTTCTTTTTACCCGACTTGGGCAAGAACATATGGCACGCACGCAAAGAAGCGTGCCATAAATTGAAAATAGAATAATCGGCTAAAATTAAAAGGTAACTATGTGTTGCAGAGTTTAAGGGGGGACACTAGCCATAAACGTGAATGTTTGAGCCACTCGTCTGATTTAAATGACATTCACAGGGCTTGTGTCTGGTGACGTTGAGAACATTTCTGCCAAATATTGTTAACCTTGGGTGAAGTACGAAAAAAATTGCAAATGTTCAAAGATGAAAGTATCGTTTTGAAATTACTTATAAATTTGTCATTTTCATGTGTTATATTGCTTTAGCAAAGTTAGAGCAGATATCTGTGGAGCTATATTTCTATATTATACCATCTTTCATGACAAAAAAAGGCACATAAACACAAATACTGTTTTTTGGATTTCCTTTCATTTCTCCAAAATTACCGTTCTTGAGCATGAAATATGACAAAAATAAAAAGTACACACTCATAGCTATCATCTCCTTTAAATTTCACCCAGAAAAAACTCAAAAAACGAATACAAGTTGCATAATAAAGCAATAGTTTTTCTAATGTGAAATTTTTCAAAAAGTGGAATGGACACAAATGCGTTCGAAGTGCTCCACCCTCTATTTTTTTCTTAACATTTGTGGACCGAAAATAATTTATAAAAGATCAACTATGCAGTGTAAACTATAAAACTTCCTGGAAATATTCTCCAGATGTTGGTGGATGTAAATGGACATTTTTTCAAAATAAATTTTTTTGCAGAAATTGTTTTTTCTGGGTAGTGTCCCCCCTTAAAGAGTGTAATGAAACAAACGGAACAAAAATACCCCAAGTGGTTGCCAAGGTGTCAGCTCCACGAGCTGAATGAAAAGCAAGGAATGCAGTTTCTTTAAAAATGGCCACCGAAGTTTCAGGTTATGCTTCCCACCTTAGGAGGCACCAGGGATGTAGCTTCCTGCGTCCTCAACACGTCTCTTCTTTGGCTTCACCCCTCTTGCTTCGATAACCTTTGGAGCTTTCTTTTTTGGCGAGGTGTCCTTGTCCGCTGCCCTACAAAGTGTGAGTTCTCCAGGTTAAACGGCGAGGGAAGAGCAGTACTCCGCTCGATGCCAACACCAGCTCATGGGATCGGGGGGACAAAGCTCGTGATAGGGCTTTTCATCTGTCAAAACGATGGAAGGTTGTCATCACTGCTTGTTACATCTCGTCGACGTCTGAGTGACTTCGCAGAGCCATTCCATAGTAGCTGGTAAGCCTCCGGACTAGCTCCTTTGTCGGGCCACCTCTTCCACCGAGGGGCTGTTCTTTGTTGCCCTTGGTGACAAGAGCAAGCATGGCGGATCCCATCCTCTTCTGCACGTGGTTAATGCCGTCTCCTTTTACGAATGGGACGAGTTCGTAGATTGCATCCTCACTAAGGGCCAGAAAAGTGCGGCTGTCGCATACGATGTTAGTGTAGCGCTGGCCATTCTTGGCCACTGAACGTCCAAACAGCAACAAGGCCGCCTTGACATCCGTCCCGCCCGACTTCACTTCTGCGTTCCCCTCGCACTCGTGCGATTGCCTCCACTGGCTGTAGCCCTCAACATCTGGCTTTGGCTCCACACCCAGGACACAGGTTTAAAAGTACCATTAACCTTGTGTAGTCCTCCATCACGGTACCCACACCAATGCGGGACGTGCGACCGTGCGTCATCCACGTGCCATCGTATACCACAACTGTATTCTCGGTGAAGGCTTGGGCCAGTTCTCTGTATGCACTATGCACAGCTGCAACGGCTTCGGTGAACACACATGCTGCAGGAGACCTGAACAACTTGGACTTGAGGTGCCCCTGGAATGTTTTGTGGTGCATTCCCCGGTGTCTGTCAGCGCAGTTGATCCCTCGCCAACACTTTCGATGGCGTGCATCGATTTCGAGTTGACCTCGAAGGCCCGGCTGTTTTCTTGTTTGCAGCCTCTGGTTAGCAAACACTAATCAGTGGCACCACCACACGTGGAAAAAAGTTTGGAGCACCTTCGCCACCGAGCCAAGTTTTGTTCCCTGAACGAAGGTGACTCTTGGCTGAAAGCATTTCGGGCACGATATCTCGCTGAGCAGCGCATTCAGTACCGCGACCCAAACTGCCAAGTACTGATCGTGTGGTTCCGGTCTGCGGGTTTCTGGCCTTCTCCAGTCAGCTGCATTTTCTGCTCGGTTGCTGACACTGAACCCAACAACTCATGGATCGCAGCGGCGCATTTGCAGAATTCCTCCAACAAAAGAAGGTCCAGTTGTAAATGCGCATGAACTGTGCGACCAGTGCTCGTAGATGCTGCATTTTTTACTGCACTTATAGCACGCAAAGTGCTAGTCTGTGCATCCATGCCATCCACAGTAAACTGCTCTCCAACGAGGGTCGCGCTTTCAGAATTCGGTGGTAGAAAAGTTTTTCTGCTCTTTTTGGCCATCGGAGATTTCCGCTTACGGTTGCCAAAACGATGCGTTGGTCCATACTTCTTTCTGAAGGATCGTCAATCCATGATCGCCGGAAAATGTCCGAGCGGGAACAAGAAAACAGCGTAATCCGAAACTAAGGAAAGCACCTTTGGCAAGCGGGGGAGCGGCCGAAAGCAGCTGAAGAGCAGACAAGTAGACATGCTTTAGAGCTCAGCGCCGCTGTTAGGGGCAAGCACACCAATTGGAGGTCGCGCTTTGGTCTGGGGTGCTTTCAAAGTTTTGTTTTTTATGTCCTTCCTTCGCTTTTGGAGAGCACGCGGGTGTGGGAAACGGAAAGACGACAAAATGCGCTTTCTACCGGTACCAGTGGTGCCGTCGCAAAGAAATAGACGATTGAAAAACCTTAGTTTTTCGTGCACTTGAAGAAATATTTCGCCACCTGAGCTGATATAAGTAATTATTTACAACACTTAGTGACTGTTTTCACTGAGAAGACTTATGCCTGAGTCCCACTAGAGCGACAAACAAAAACAACCGACTCGGACAAGTCTCCAATGCACGCAGCATGTTCGCAAGGCTACCTTTGGCAGGCGTTTAGCCGTTCTGTGCTTGCAAGCCTGCCAAAGATACCCTCGCGTGTATGATGCTCGTGTTTAAACATAGCCTCCTTTATTCTACAAAGCCTGTGAAGTGTTGAAAGACTGGTTGGAGGCTTGTTGCTGTCGTTTGTTTCTTTTTGTCGCTCTAGCGGGACTCGGGCATTAGAGATTGCATAGAAAAAGATGCATAGACACAAAATATTAGACTTTCTAGAAAACAGCTTTTGAACATTTCCTGCGAGTTGATTCCCACACTGACACCCCCCAAAATACTTCTTAATTTTTTTTGCCAGGCGATTTATATTGGTGTCAGAAGACTACTCAATTAATATTTTGCTACAGAGTCACGTGCATCTTTAATAAAGCCAACAAATGCAACCGCTCGAAACCGAAACCTGCCCACGCAGGTGGGGGAAATGTAGAGGAGTACAGAGTGCCAGAGGTCGCGTGGCTGCACCCAAATGCCCTTTTTTTTTCTTTTTTCTTCTTATTTTGTTGCACGCAGCAGACAACATTACAGCGTTGCAGGTACTGTTTGCCGTGCGATTGCTTTGCGTTTGTTTGTTCCGCTCGCTGTTCTGCACTTCAGGATGAGTTGTTCTGTACATTGAAGAGTTGGAAATGAGTGGCGAGTGTCCGTGGTGAATGCCCGTGATCGTCTCCAAAAAAAATGCTTTCAAGTTGTTGCGTGCGATAAAATCGGTGTTCAAAATTACATGCACGTTCCAATCAAAACCAAAAACCGAAACTCAAGAAAAACGCAATACTCGATATAAGGCGGCTAGGCCCACCGCCATCGTGACCGTTTGTTTACGTTCGCCATTTTGGTATACGTATCATGCACATTCTCACGCGTGTATGGGCTCGTGTTTGTCGTTTTAAGATAGAAAAAAAAATATTCCACTAGGAGGATTTATTTAAATGAAAGGCCATCACGCTGGCAGAAAAAGGTAACGGAGCAGTGCTGCGTGGCCTCGCAATCCCAGCCACTTGACGAGCTTGCAGCGTTTGAAAGACCCTGCCAGGGGCAACGGCCGCGCACTCGTACATACGCAAGAAGCGCGGCACTTAAAACGCTTTTGACAAAAGCAAGTATTAATTACCTCTGTGGACAGCAAAGAACCATCGTCGCACTCTGATAACAGCGACTAGTGCACGGCATTTATTTGAGTGTTGGCGTGCATTTCATAAAATTTGTTCTATGAGGCATTTGGTCAATCTGCATTTTACCTGCGCTATAGAATCGGCCCCAATTTACTTTTTGGTTATCTGGAAGCTAAATCTACCTGCTTGTTAGAATTAGGGGCGCATTAGAATCGTGTGAACACGGTATTTGCTCATTGCATTTTGTGGAAAGTGACTACGTTGAGTTCACAGGTGTCAAAAAGGGAGTCCCATACCATTTAGTTCAGTGATGTTTCATCCACAATATTTTTTTTACAGTGATGCTTGTAAGAAAAAAATTTAAATATCGCAAAATGTTTAAAAGAAATATCACTTTGCCCATGCTCTGGATTAAACCTGGGTCCTCTGCGTGTGAAGCGGACACTTTTTCACTGAGCTACTCTACAGTTTTAAATAGTTGCCTTGACAAACCATTTCATACGAGACCCAATTGGGGACAACTGCCCGAGCGATGTCTTCAGCCACGAGAAGGGGAGACGACTCAGCGACGTCTTCGTGCGAATCGGCTTCTCTTTCGAGAGAAGACAAATCCATTGGTACCGCGAACGACAGTTCTGAAGTAGAGGTCCCATTCCCGTAGTCCTTCGCCGTCCAGCCCCAGCCCGCGAGTCCTAGGATCCGCGATACGATGCCATGTTGAGAATTACGCAGTGAATGCACAGAATGCTTCTAATTCTCTGTGCAACTTTTTTTTTTTTTTTTAAATCAACATATTTGCAGCTTTTTCTAAACCACAAAAAATTAGTTATCTTTTTTTTTCTATCTTTAATATTGAGTGTGTGCCTTCAATGACCCATGCCTTTGATTAAAATTGGTGGTCTTGTCTAAACCGTAGAAAACGGCCCGTAACCACGGGGAAGAGAGTGAGCATGACTCAAACCGGCCAGTCGTCGATCGGCTGTCTTCGAAAGGAAAGAAACCGAATTTCGAGCCGCAAATTCTCTTTTGGGTAGTTGGGCTCTCGTATGTCACATACAACTAAAAACCTCGGCGAGGTTCGGTGCATGTGGCATCCGATTATATGCGATCCTTTGGTCGTTGCTCCCTGTGCTAACTCTCCAAGCCTTGACTGTGCAGGAAACTTTGGGAGACCTTCGTAAAGACATGCAGCGAGCACCACAGCCTGCACTACATGACCTGGGCGGAAATTAAGTACCAGCTTGACGGCTTCGAGCTCCAGAAGGAGTACGGGCTCAACCCGCATGCCGAGAGCTTTTGGCCCAGCCGGCCCTTCTTCACTGAGGCACCTTCGTTGCAGACGCAGCCGCAAGGCCGGCCTGCCACCGGTATCCATGGCGACGACCAGCCCAGGGCACCCTACTATTCCTACGGGTTCCAGCACTACCCAGGACACATGATGACGGCCATTGACCGTCGCTTCTGCGGTGCTGTGCTCAACGGAGGTGCTCCGCAATCGATGCCTCAGAGCCCCTGGTACCCTCCAATGTACCCAGCGCCGCCACCTCAAGCGTCTTATCCGCAGAACCAGTTGCCTCAACAGCACGTCTGGCCACAGCAGCCAACAGACGTGCCGAGGTACCAGCCCCAGCAGATGCGTCCTCCAGAGGGGAGCTATCTTCAGTACCAGCAAGGGGTCTACAGCCACTTCCAGCAGGGGAATCCACAGTTCCAGCAGGGGAATCCACAGTTCCTTCGGGGGAAACCACAGTTCCAGAAGAGGAGTGTGCAGTTCCAACAGCAAGTCCATCAGCTTTATCCGCAAGGGAACGTCCTCCAGTACCAGCAGGGGACACTGCAGAACCAGCAGGGCAGCCGGCTGTACGAACAAGGGATGCTGCAACAACAGCGTCCGCAAGGAAACCCCCTGTACCAGCGATTAGCACCGTCGCAGGCGCAGCAGCCGGAGCAGCAAGCCCTGCGCCCCGAGCACCAGCAAAGGCCCCAGATGCATCCGCAGCACCAAGCACCACTGATGCAGCCACAGCCACATCCGCAGCCACAGCCGCAGCCACAGACAAAGCCGACATACGATTACAGCCAGCAGCAGCCTCAGCCGTTGCAGATGCATAAGCAAGGGCAGCCGAGATTACAGAGTCAGCAGCTGACGCAGCAGCTTCAGCAGCACCACGCTGGAGGAGTGCAGATGTCACTCAACCCAAGTGCTTCTGATTATGCGGGACATCCAGTGCAGCAGAAGTTCGGTGCCCGCCCCGTGCAGCCGTCGCAGCGACCGGTAGCCATGGAGGACGTCTTTGCGAGAATGATGCTGGACGACGACGCGAATGCGGAGCCAGGGGCGGCCCCAGCGTCAACAAAGCAGACAAAAAATGCACCTGGTGTAACACGGGTTCTCGCCTCAAAGTCGCCCGTGCCCGGCCAATGGAAGAACAACTGGCTGCACAAGAGCCAGCCTCCGAGCCAGCCTCCGAGCCAACCTTCGAGCCAACCTTCGAGCCAGCCGTCGAGCCAGCCATCGAGCCGCCCGTCTAGCCAGTTGGGCTGGAGTTCCAACGGGCTTGAGAACGGCTTCGTGCAGAAGATGTGGGACACAGAGCAGCGGCAGGTCCACCAGACGAACTCGCATCCAACAAAACCCCGTCAGACGAACAACCACCAGACAAACGCCCAGCAGGTGGCACTGCAGGGCGGACGGGGCCGCGGTGGGCCGTGCCAGACGCGGCGGCTCGCCGAACCGGCGCCGGTCCATAACACAAAGTCTGCAGACGTGCAGCCGTCTTCATCACCCAAGCATTCGGCTAAGCCGATTGTAGCCTATGTTACGGCTGCGCTGAAGCCGGTCACCTGGGAGATGCAGGAGCAGCACGTGGTGGCGTCGTCTGCTCTGCCCCGGGTGATGTCGCTGCCCAAGCCAACGACTGCCGAAGACGTGCAGGAGTACCACAAGCTGCTGACTCAGGACGACGACGAGAGGGAGAAAGACGCGCTCACGAGCCGGCTCCAGCAGGAACTTGCGCGCAGACGCGAGCAGTCGACGAGTTTGCCAGGCACCGCGTCGCGGATGGCTCCGCTGCGGGCCGCTCCTGTGCAGCCGACTCCTGTGCAGACGGCTCCGGGTGCGCGGCAGACGACGGCAAACATGCAGCCGGCTCCTGCAGTAAAGCAGACGTACGCCCAGGTCCTAAACAGTAGGTGTAGGAATGGACGTGACGGCAGAGGTGGCTGTTAGGTTTGTCTGAGGTCTCTTTTGCCAACAAGACAACAAGGCCATAGTGCTGGGTTTTTGATGTCACTTACCAAAAGTCAGTGTGGGGCACAAATTGGAACATGGATCTCAGCAGAACGCTAACGCAGCAGTCGTGTCCAATTTGTGCCCCCGCTGGCCTCCAATGGGCGACACCGGAAATTTAGCACAACGACCTTGTTGAATAGGTGTTCTCTTGAGCACCTTTTCGTCATCCAAAGCTGCAATACTCGAAAGACGACGGCATGTTGCGGTTTTGCTGTGGTTGCCACGGCACCCAAAATCTATTAGCTTTGCATTCCTTCTTTTTTTTTTTTTTCGCTGTCGCATTGCAGACGTGTTGATGCCTGAACTTTGCAGACTCCGGTGACCTGGAATTTTTCGCGAGACTGCGTTTGAATAGGTCTGTATTGGCGGTGGGCCGTTTCGAATCTAGCTATCTTCCCAGGATCAACTGGAATGTGATAACACTTGTATGCTCATTGGAGTAGTGCAGGTGAAAGGCGACAAAACGCTGGGGTCGATTACTACGACCAATAAGAATGTTCGATGTGGCGGCGTCGTTGGCGGATCTCTTCAACATGTTCCAGTACAAGCTTCGTACCTGAGGATTTTTGTACGTGCTCGAAGAACAGACGTTAGTCATATTTTTTTTTCTTTGTAACCAACCAAGTTTTTGGCACATACTTAACGTCGAATATGAACTCTCACATTACTCGATACTAGCACAACTGCAGGACTGGTTGTTGCACTCCAGAGGTGGAGCCCACGTTAAATGTGCATATGTTTGTGATTCTGTGAATGCTCTTGGTACATTCCCCCGCCTCCTTCTAATGTTTATAAGTGTCTCCCCCCATAGAAAAATGTAAAAATATTTCTCATATTTTTCCAAGGTTCTAAGTATTACATTTAAACCAAAGTCATTCTGAAGGAACAATCATTCTTTTCAATCTCTATGTTGATGTTTAAATAAAAGTCTTGTACAGTGATGTGTGCATGTTTCATTCGTTGCAAGGTCAATTGCCTCACAGGTGTTAAATTTAAAATTAGTTGTAGCTTCCGCTACATAATGAAGTGTCCTATGCATCAATGTGTAACCGTTACTCGTAGCATCCTAGCCACGTTCAACTCAGTGTCCAAGTAGCTGGTAAGCGGTGGCAATCAGTTCATCGAACGACGTTTCATCAACAGTTCAGGTTAGCCTTTTCCTTTAATAAGCTGCATGAGGCTTGCTGCGTGTACGGGTCGGTTAGGTAGGTTGACATTTTTATGACACCGCAAACGCAGGAAGGGGGGTAATGTGCTCCCCAGTGATACACATGTGACGAAATGTCCCTGCAGCGTGCAATTTGTGTAGCGAGTGTTGATGAAATGTTCATGTTGACTGAATATGTCCATGAAACCTGTGTTTACGAAATGTAATTCCATGAAACTTGTTTCAACAAAATGATAGGGACCCACTGGTAAGCTTCTACTGTGAATGGGTACCTACCATCATGACCAATATGAGTGCGAACACAGCTCTGCGTGGCCCGCGGTACTATCAGTGCCCCCTGGCGATTGCTCTTTGAAGTACAAGTGCACCTTGCAGTCGAGACATATCGTCTCTTGCGACCGCCGCACCACTCTGCACTTCCAGGTCGTCTGCTAGTGAAAAATGGTCGGCGAAACTGTTCACCAGTGACGAAGAGCATTTGGCGCTAGCAATGTGCGCCAGCAAAAATAACTTGTATAAATATTTTTAGGGTCATCGTTTTGATTAGGAAGTTTTCGTAGATTATTACCATGACTCCGATAACAATTAGTGACTCCAGCAAACTATGGGGGGTGCACTGGTCAGGCAAAATGGCAGACAAACGGAGGTCGTTTTCGTCCAGCACGCGGACCACCATAAATTTCTTGCACTGCAGTGTAAAATCGGTGTTGCACATGAAAGGCAAAAAGATTTTTCGACGGTAGAAACCTAGTCAGTGCATAGGAATGACACCGTGGAAGCATAAAAATAATTACTGGAAACAATGTTTGTTTCTATGCTGGCTACGAGAACCAAGCAGCGATAGCAGACGACAGAGTCGAAATGACCTCCTCTGCTGAGCTTCTCAGCGTTGCCGTTAGCGGCATCGATTTCGCTGGAGTCGCCAATGCCCCGATACTTTGCCGACGCCTTTAAGTGTATGCCATCATATTGTCCTCGGAGGTATCAAAACAATCAACTATGACTGCTTATTATTTACTTCGTGCGAGTTTTGCGAGAGCGAAGGACTACCAATGCGCACAGGAAATAAGTTAGCGTGGGTGATATCCTCCATCATGAAAAACTGCACAAAAAAAATTATGAGGACGTCCCGTATGTTTGTTCTATGTCCTTGTCGTTTTTTTCGCGCTGTTTTCCATAATGAAGGGCATCAACCCGCTTGCACCGCTCTAACTTCTTGCCTAACGAATTGCTAGCGAAAAATCAACTTTGTCATTGGTGAAGAGTTTTGCAGTTTCGCCGACCGTTTTTTGCTCGCAGACGACTAGGAAGTGCAGAGTGGTGCAGCGATCGCTGAAGACGATATGTCTTGACCACAAAGTGCACTTATACTTCAAAGAGCAATCGCCAGGGGGCACCGATAGTGCTGGGGGAAACGCGGAGTGGTGGATTGCATTACCTAGATGATCCATTTGTAAAAATAAGTTACTACCTCATGGCAGTTCCTGTGACATGTGCCATTCATTCATTGAGAATCCTACTAACAAGTGGATATATTGAGTATGAGACGGGCAGTTTTCTTTTTCGTAATCTAAACATTATATCGTTTGCATACCCATCCAGAAAAAAGGAAAGGTGGCATTGAAAGGCGATAAATTGCGTGATTTGTTTCGAGGCAACTGCAATTAATTGCACCACCGATTATTCCTGCAACTAAAACATCACTTGCAATGCCCTTTTCAGTCGCCAAGAGTTAAACCTTCAACTCTGGCAACGTTAAAATGAAGTGACCAGGGAGTTGATTTGTGTACACCCAGAATTAAGACAAATTTTTTATTTTGATCTGTCGATCAATCCATCGTATGCAGAATTTCGTTCTACGAGCAACACAGCTGACGCACCAACTCCAGTCTCGGCCTTTCAGACGCACAACGTCGTGTCCAACGTAGCCACGTCCTCCCTCTAGACACTTTCTTTTTCTCTCGTTATGTACGAAGCTTTCGCGGGGCTTCTCCGAGTCCTTGCCTCGTCTCTTGGTTTTGTTTTCCCGTTTCTGTTCACACCTGCCTCGCGTGGCCGGCGAAGCTCGCAGCCCAAGCGTTGGGCAGCCAGCCAACCCCCTCTGACAGTGGCCACCGTCGACGTTCTTGGAAACCGCCGTGCAACGCTTCACTACGAAATCGGTTGGACTTCGGTGAGAATGCAATTCCGCATTAAAACGACTTGGTTCACAGCTGCGCTTCGTGTGCATGCTTGTCACTGCCGACTGAGAGACGAGATTGGATAAGAAAGGGGACGGAAGAAAAGACATCCACGTTGCCTGGCAGGAGTCCCCGATTGGTGCGTGTTCACCGCGTCCGAACGAGCAATCCCTTCGATTTCTGCCCGTTGACGTAGTAGAAATGTCGCGCCGTCTCCGGCTGCGATCCTGGCAGTGTCGCGGCGGTGGTTTTGGACACAGCAGACGCCCGTTACGTTCCAGGCCGTTCTCCAGCTCGAATGTCCACGGAAGCTTCAACAGCCTGGAGTTGGGACTCCGCTACGAAGGGCGACACTCGCGTTGGCTCGTGCTTTTTGCCGGAACTTCCACGGCCAACTGCCAGGATCGCGACATCCGACGGCACGACACTTCGACGTCCGCGGCATCGTTTCTTGCCACTTTGGCGACTGCTTCAGACACGTGGGCGGAAAGGGACACTAAGCGCACCAGTCCGAGATACCTTCCGGGCATCATAGCATAACCCACCCGGGTCGCCGCCACCACCGCCTCTAGGGGTTTGCTCGTGGTTGGTTGGAGGATGTTCAGTCGACGGCATTCCCTCGCTTTTTGTGGAGCTCGTACCATGGAACGACAAAACCCTGCAAGTACTGGCCTGGGGTGCCAGATTCGGAATCGTGGACGCGTGCTTTTGTTTACCCGCGTTTTTCAACGGGCCACGTGGCGATTCTCTCGAGAGTGCGGAACAGGCAAAAGACCGAGCATCCACACTAGCAATGTTGAACATGGAAGGCTGGGGGGGTATGAGCCCTTAAAACTTAGTTTCACATCAAGTCCAGATGCAGTGGACACTACGAGCTGATGGGACCGATCGGACGTCGTCACGAGCGCACCATCGTGGAGTTTGTCACCTTTCTGTATGCATTCTATCGTCGCTGAGCCGGTCATAAACAGAAAATGCTTAGTGACTTGCACTCCTGGCATTGCTTGATTGGTACCATTAGCTCGTAGCTCGTCACACAAGTCGGCACGCTGAGTTGGTGCTTTCGTTGGCGAAGAAAGGGTCACATGCACCAAATATGCCCAAAGCGCCTGCGGGAAAGCGGCTCAGTGGAGCGCTGGGTATAAAGCGGGACATATTTTTCACTCCGAATTCGCAAAATGTAGATCTTGCACAGAAGTCTGACGAGCAGGAAGCTTCCTGGACCTTTGGGTGTTGTGTGTGCTACTTAGACACGTGTCATTGCATTCTTTTTTTTACGCAAGTGCTGTTACAAAGCAGTCGTGTACACGTGGACGGTGCAGCGTGTACGCTTCAGAGGGACCCAGTAGACGCACATCGGCAGTTGTGCGACGAATTGCCACCTCGTGTCACGTGCATCGCATCTTTTGCAATACTTGGGGTAAAAATTATGAAACACCATCACGATACTCTGCTCTGCAAGCGGAGCATATCTAGTTCCTCAGTCCAGTGGTTCTCGGAAATGTTCCAATTTTTGGGTGAGCGTTCTTGTGTGTATGTCAATGAGAAAAGTCTACTTCACACTAGTCCTTAGCTATGTCCATTTAAAAAATCATTATCATAATTAGCATAAACCTCTCCCTTCCCCTCACCCCGAATGGGGTCCTCCATCATCCTTGCCAAACCATGGGGGTCTGCGAAACATCAGTGGTTGAGAACTACTTCTCTAGTCACTTACACTTTGCCTGTATCTCTCTTTGTGCTCCGAGCAAGTGTAGAGCAGAGCATAGTTCCGCTTTTCACAGCAGTAACTTTTCACACAGTAACTCTAGCCTACAAAGCTACCTTGAAGACGCCCAATGACAGCTGTTCGCTTAGCACACCTGCCATTTCTTTGAACCCTTTCCTCTTGTATGTCTCCATAAGGTGCAGGATGTCGGGAAAGTCTTCGGCGCTCAAGTGGGGCCTGCAACTGAAGATCTCTTCCAGACTTCCGTTGGCATGAGAAAGTGTCCGACTGAGCGATGCCTGTTCTGTTCCCACGGGCATCACGATGACCTTGGTACGACCTTCTGCCTTCGCGAGTAGTGCCATCAGGTCGGCGGACGTTCCAGCTCCCATCAGGTCAATGACCTTGACGTCAAGGTTGTGCTTCAAGGTCAGGAGGTGCCTCGGTGGCATGTATGTGTGCCTGAAGAAGACAGTGGTGTGCTGATGCAATCCTCGGCTTGCCAAGTGGTCCTGAAGCCTGAAGAGGCACGGTACCAGACCGCCCTGGTGCAAGAAGCCGAAGAAGACTAGTCCTGCCAAGTTGCCCGCAGTCCACGCAACAGACAAGAGACGGCTGGTTCGAAAGTATCGCTGGGAAAGGAGGACAACGGGTACCAGAAGTGGTACGAGGAACCTTGGTTCCTGGTGTGGCAGTGTTGACAGACAGATGGTCGATACCAGGACGGTAGAAGCAAGCGTTATGTCGAGGAAGCTTGGAAAGGCATGGGAGGTGTTGGGCTTGGTGCTGGTTGGACGTAGTTTTGAGTGGATGGTTTGAAATGAGGCCCACAGCGCCAAGATTCCAGCAGCGTTGAAGAGCAGAGGTATGTTCACCAGAAAGTGAAGCCAGCGCGGATGTTCACCGTGCGACTGAAGATTGGCGTTGTTCAGGTTGTAGCTAAGGAAATTGAGGGGCGCCAGGACTAGCGGGAACCGTAGCCACTGGTCAGTAGTAGCGAAGGACAACACCTCAGGATGATAGTAGACGGTGTCTGTGGCTGCCAGCAACATGGCGAAGAACGAAACCTTGGGTATGAAGTTGGCGAGACGTCCCAATACGACGCTTGCACCCTCCTTTGAAAGGTGGACGTCATTCAGCAACCAAATGGAAATCGCTGGGAGGGCGAAAACAACAAATGTTGGCCGGTTGAAAAAGCCAACGGCGAGGAGCAGGCAAACGGACATAGAGTTCCGCAGGACTGGAGCCTCTTGCTTCCCTCTGCGACCGCTGCCTTTGAGGTCGAGCCCAACGGAAAGCAGCAGGAGTGCTAGCAACCACGATTCGACAGAGTTGTTGAACGTACGAGTGTAATAGACGACAGCGACGTACGAACTAGCAAAGAGAGACAGGCACAGATGGCGATCCTTCTTCCGTTTTCCAAGGGCCACGGAGAGGCGGTGAATTGTGTAGTCGCAGACGAAGGATGCGAGGCAGGAAAAGAGCCGTGGCACGACCAGCAAAAGGTAAGGAGGTGGGAGAACATCCGGCGTCCGCGCCAGTAGTCGCAGGGCGGAACTGAGCAGCCATATTGGCACCCCAGTTGTGAGGTAAATGACGGACGGACTGCGGATGGGCTGGTCGCTGGTGAATTCCCAAGTGCGATGGACTTGCAAATTAAAGATGTCACCTGGAATTAAGAAAAAAAAAAGAAGACTACAAAATATTTTTTTAAATGTCGGTTCGCTGCTCTATTGAGTTCCATAAAGAGTGGTGACCAGACACCAACTTCGGGTATTAACTTAAAAGTAGCAGTAAAACCATTTCTTCTGTGGTTTTACATATGGTTTTTGAGGATTAAGGTGGGTTTTAAGGAAAAGTTCTACAATGACTAATGGTCCAGTCGCACACTTGCGATTTCTTAGGAATGCGGGAATGGTGTTGCAAGCCATTCATGAATCTTAAGGGAACTAGGTGGTCCGAGTTATCTGCTTCCAAATAAACAAATGTGAACTCTCGGCTTTCAAATATTCCTAGGCTGCACAAATGTTTGTGCCGTAAGAGCATCTGTAGTATTCATCCTTGCACCACTACAGATAAAAGGATAATATCAACTGGTACAGCTTTACTATAGCCATAGCAAGGCCACAGACAACAAATTTAGTGCAGAATAATTTGTTGCACATATAAACTCTGCGTTGTCCTCTTTCGTAAGTATACGTGCACCTACCGCGCAGGAGCACATTATTCTTAACCGAACGATCTTGGGGCAAAAGAAAACAAAAAGGGCATTGGTGGGGCTCAATCTAATAGGGCATTGGTGGGGCCAGCTCAACGAAGCCAGCAGGATTTCCTTGGCTGAGAAAATACTGGGAGTGCCCACGCTCCCTCATACCAGAACCTCATAAACTGGCGGTTTCTGAAAACCTTGGATTAATGAAGAATCCAATCAGGTTTTTCATTTCGTTCTCCAGTACCTATTTTCTGCATGTAGACCTTTAAATAGTTCAGTCTAAATGTTGGGAAGCGGTGCATTAATAACGGAAGCAAAGAGGATGTGTTTACCTGCAGCAATTTCAGTAGACTGGAAGAATTCGTCGGGGTGTATGTAGCCCGACTGCGGCACGAAGACCAGCAGCACTCTGAGCAGAGATAAAATTCCCCAAAACAGCATCGTGCTTCTTTGCGAAGAAAATCGCACGGCAGGAATTGTCACCTTTCGCCACCCTTCTCTTTGAAAAAGTGCGCTCTCGCGGATCGTCCAACGACTGAAACTGACGCACGCATTTGTGTGGTTTCTCACTGGTGACACTTGGCCTGTTGCGTTTTCTAGTGTTTTGGACTAAAATTATACTGCCCGAAGTCACGCAAGGCCCAACTCTTTTGCGAGTTCACATAACTTGTCTACTACACACAACCATCGACACGGTCCACACCGGTCCGGGTCCGCACCATTCGTCCGCACTAGGGGTGTCGCGAACCGGCCAAGGTTCGAGTTCGACCAGGTTCGACTTTTTCGACCTTTTGGTGGAAATTTCGACGAACCTTGTGTTGAGGTTCGACCCGTGTGCGCATGCGCGACAGGCTAACCATTTGGCTTCGGATTGGATGGTGATGGCTAAGGGATGCATTAAGGGCAGCACTGATTGGTTATTTTATTTAATACAGTACAAAACATTAAGTTATTAATTTGTTCAGTGATTAGAATTAGTTTCCTTTAATCGCAGTTGTTCACAAAATTAAAATAATCCTTTGCATAAAAAAAAAAACTCCAAACCTAGAAATGCTTGTATCAAGGTCTGGCCACACTGTCCACAAAGTCGAACCGGTCGAATTTAGTGAAAAGGTCGAAGATTCGTCGAACCGGTTCGACCCAGTCGAACCCCGAAAGTTCGACCTAAAAATCCGGTTCGACAAAAGTTCGCGACACCCGTCCCAAAGAGTGATTAACCGGAAGTTCGGAAGTGGCACCCCCCCGGTTGCCGCCATATTTTACGCAAATGTGACCACTCGTCACGTGACCTCCCAAGAGCCGTGACGTCACAGGTAAGATGGCAGCGCCCAGAGCTGGCGGATGCGAGTTTGTTCTGTGCGCGGTAGCCGTGATGTGCAGCTGCTTTCCGACGACTTCGGGCTTCTTCGTGCTCGCTGACGCAGGTATAATGTGAAAATATGAAGGAATGAGACTTTATACCGTTTTTGCGCAAGATCGCTCTGGATCATATGGATATTAACGCCTGTGAGGCAGCATCAGCTCTGCATCGCCGTACCGGTGCTTGGATTCCGGGATGTGTTCGAGGATCGATAGAACTTTGAGTGCTTTTAACATGAAATTTTCGCATTCTCTTAGCTTTGTTTGAACGTTGAATTATCTAAGAATCTACGCGAAATGTATACGTCGCGTTAGGGCCTAAGGGAAGTTGTTTCAGCCCTCCGTCACCGAACAACCATAGCAACTTTTGGCGAGGAAGCTCCTGCGATTTTAACCTTTTGTGCTAATCCACGATTCTACATTTGATCGCTTTTCTTTCTGTTTTGTGTGTGTGTGTGTGAGTGCGAAGTGCACCCTTATTTTCAGCTACGAGGTTGGCGTTTTATTGAGTATGGGGAAGAATAAATCGTTGCAGGCACCTACTTCAAAGCTATTCGACTTGCTACAAGAACAACTGTTTTGGTGCATGCATAGATTAACTGCGCATTTTTTCTGTTTTGTAGGATTTATTGCAGCTATACTCTTTTCCATCAAGAGTGCATTGTATTAGTCGGTCAATTATTTAATTGTTCTAATTACCTGGATAAGATGATTCATATTTGTGTTCATCCCTTGCCTGGAGAGCAGTCTTGTTGAAAAATGTTGACTACCATTCCTTTCGGTGTCTTCAATAGACTCTTTTTAAAAGTGTGGGCTGTCTATACTTCGCATCACCGTAACTTGGAAAAGGCCAACCGCCACAGCCCCCTCGAGCCAATCAGAGAGACGGAGCGAAGGTGTGTGACAAATCTGTGCAGACGAGCACTCTGGTGATATGCTTTCATGTGCCTCTCTCCAATGTGTGTATTGACTCACCGAGACCGTAGCCTTTGCCGTCTGCCAAATTCTGATGAAACAAATTACAGTAGCTACTACTGTAATTACCCCAGGCTTTCATACTTTGGGTATTTGTTCGACAAGAATGTTATGTCCGCCATCCCTGTGAATTCAACTCAGCACCTATTGGACTCGAATGCTGCATTGGCGTTCGACGTGAACTGGGGCCCGTTCGTGTGCTTTGCGCCGAAAAAGATGGTGACGGTTGTGTTGCTTGATAAGGTTCTGCAAAGGGTCTATTGTGTCATACATATAGGAAGTGTCATGCTATATAACAATGCATCAACACATACTATTAAACTATATGCTCAGGGGTGTGTTTGTTTTTCCAATTAACAAGTTACAGCAGTGTGCTTTAATGCTATTATCATGTGTGTAGTTTTAAGTATCCTCTCTGCAATGCCTACGAAGGCCCCTGGAAGGAATAAATTAATAGATAACATTTTCACATCACTGGAGTTGGTTTTCGGATGCACCACATGTTCAGGAAAGGTTGATTGAGTGCAGCCCCTTGCAAGAAGTCTGCCAGTCTGGTATGACCCCTTAATTAATATTGAAGGGTCAGAGAAGCGAGTGTCCTCGTAAGGTCCAGAGCGTGCAATGGACACAATTCTCGGTGTGTAGACTCTCAAGGCATGAAGGCAAGCGGAAATATGTTTATCTGGTTAGTGTATCAAATATGTTTATTTCCACTTGATTACAAAATTATTGATTCTTAGTAAATGGTTCCATAACGAGTTCTTTCTGCGACAGTCTCGTGTCAGGCGTTCAGTCGTAGTACCTGTGGACCTTGTTGTCGGATGACGCTCCTGGCACGTCGGTGTTCAGTTTGGTCGAGTGGCAACTTTGACCGACTGATGCTGTCTTGTAATCATACGTCATGTGCACTGAAGCTGCAGGGCTGGCTTCTAATCCGAAAATTTTCCTGGTAGTTTTCGGCATCAATGTAGCAAGTTCGGGCATGTATTGCTTACATGGCTGTGCCTTTTGCTGTACCGTTGACTTGAAAGCTGGCAACAATTTTTGTTTGCTATCCAAGTCTGGTGATGCTTGCAGTTCACTTTTGAGAGCAACCAACCATTCTATTCCTTCAAGTCACTCAGGGGCATTCTCCCTCAAAGTTGGAATTGTGTGCTTCGTGGAGTGGACACAGAAAATTGGTGTTAGCAAATTTTTAGGTATTGTCCTTGGACGACAACCGACACCAAATCCACTGTCACTGCATCGCCGCTCACCTGCTTTGTTGTGCTTACCTCTTGTTGAGGTGATGGACATGAGGAGCTTTGGGGTAATCAGGGATTCAGAATCTTCGATTCAGCACCTTCGGCATCAGGGACAAAGGTCGCCGAAGGTAATCCTTAATCTCCCGTGGTCACTCCTCGAGACGTAATCGAGGGTCGTTTGGCACGAACCCTCGCCGACCAATTCATTGGTACGGGCTGCTTTGGTAGACATGGTAGGCTTCATGCAGTGGTAGCAAAGTGGTTTTCGGTCGCACATTCGCATCACCTACGTTTTCCTCGGTGTACTTTGTTGAGCACAGACCTACACACGATATCGGGAATGCTTCGGCGTTGGGGTGTCTCATTGAATTGGCATTGAATACTAAGGGGCAGCCGGTGGCGGTCGTCGTGCCATTGTGGCGTAAGTTGCCCTTGGTTTATCAGATGCCGCTTCGCTCGCAGAAGTCTCGGTTGAAATACCTGTCAAACGTGTTCCGAAACAATCTCGGCAATCAAAATAAAAGCCGGGCAACTGATGGCAGGAAGTAGCTTCCTGATCTCCTCCCAGACAACGTCGTGGGTGATGTCGTGGATGCCTGGGAGGCTGGCGTCGAAGTAGTAGCTGGACAACTCGAGTGTTGAGACGCCGGGAAGTTGTTCATAGTGGCAGGCTCGGGCATGCAGTGCACATTCCATGTTGGAAGCCTCAGTGATATGAACACTTCGACTGTTGTTGGGGGGTTGCGGACAAGGCTGCCGAAGGTGTTGTCCCTCGCGTGAGGCGCATGGGATTCTTAGGTTCTTGTCTTCTGTAGCATCAAGGTCGGCGTGGGCGTGGGCGCTCGATCAAGCGCAAAACATCCTCCACGAGTGCGGTGGCGCTCTCATTGGGGCAGTGTCCTGGACAGAATCAAAAATACGGCTCTCTTTCGTTGATGTTGGCTGACGGATGCGCGCTTCAGCTTGATCTTGCAAACTTCCCATGACGTTAAGGAGGATCCATGGTTCTCAGACCAGCGCCGGCAGTTGCTTCCACGAGAAGTATAGGTTCTGCAGGAGCTGGTTGTCTGTCCACCCAATGTGACGGGCGACACTGTCATATTGTTCAATCCAGTCCTTGACGTCTTCATACAGCTTGCGTGAAAAAGCGTCGGAGTGTGATTTGCGACGGGCATGCAAACAATGGTGGGAGGGGACACGGTTTGCTGCTACAGGTTTGTCATTGTTGGCTTAGTCAGCTTCGGATTTTCTGACAGGAGACCGAATTCCGGTGGTTTTTCCTGGTAGCAGCAACTGGCTCGGATTTCAGGTGCTTCGTGGTGTATTTCCGAGGTTACTCCTTGTGGTACTCGGTCGTCTTGCGGTTGTTCTGCCAGGCTCGGGTCAGGACTTTGCCTACGGCTCGACAGGAGTATAAGACGCAGAATAGTCCGCCAGCCGTGTCCCATTATCGGGTAACTCGGCTGAAGAGCCGCCGGGTTCACACAGGGTGAAGGGCTACGGGTAAGGTGCCCAGTACCTCCACCTGAACATACGATTACAGCTAAGCATGACCTGCAGTGTCCCAGAATAGTGGATATTGATAGAAGATAGGACTGGAACAAGGATCCGTGACAGTATAACAAAACTAGCAGAAGAGAATCTATCCTGACCACTGAAGAAGCTGCATTGCTTTAGTGGCATTCTGTCCGAATAAATCCTCTCCTTCGGGGTTTGGCGACTGCCGTGGACGAACTGAACTGAAATGGATTTGGGACCACTTTTCTGGTAATGAGCCACTGCAGACTGTTGCCACAAAGCGGCGTGAGCTGGGTACGTAACACGCTCGGTGAAATGTCCGGACAGCTTGCAATTCGCGTAACGAGTGTGGATGAAACGTTTGTGTTGACGAAACGTGCGACAGACCAGCGGGATCAATACCAACTGCAACACCTGTGCTCCGTGAAAGTGCACGTCTACGCCGGAACAATTTCGGAAGCAGCACAGCATCACCTAAAGCATGGCACAGGAACTACCAGCTTGAAGGCAGCTCTTCGGTGCGCCGCACACCTGTGCTCCGTGAAAGTGCACTTCTACGCCGGAACAATTTGTAAGCAGCACAGCATCATTCAGCACGGCACGGGAACTACCAGCTTCAAGGCAGCCTTCCGGTGCGCCGCACAACCGAAGTGAGCCCTCCGTCATTTGA